AGTGTTCGCAAAGAGATGAAGTTATCACGACAGTTCAAAGTTTTGCAACGGCAGTCAACAGCCAAGTGGGTAACTGCCGCATCCAACGGTTGGCTCGCGTCAGTTCGACAACAGAACTTCAGAAATTGGTCGTCTCAGTTGATCACTTTTTGAAACTGAACCACCAAAAAGTAAACTTGAAAATAAGCAAAGAAGTTAAAGAAAAATGTTTGTTTTTCTTAAAGTTTGCTATGGTTCAAGTTTATATTTCAGCCGTTAACAAACGGCAACGCTCCAAAAGTTACTCAAGTTAAAGGGCCTTCCAACTTGAACTTAAATTGACTTTTGCAAGTTCAAGTTTACGCTCAGACGGGCCCAGCCGTGGCCTCTACTACTTTTTTAACTTGAACTTGAGTTTGGACTCGAGTTTGAACCGTCTTCGAAAATTCACAAATACATATGTGCTTCTCCTTGCTTTTCAGCATTTCAGTTAATGGGAAATGGAAACAGTTGTGGTTGCTATTTTATCTCTGCTAATAAATAACAGGCCCTTATTCAGAAAAATTGTATTATTTCGATTTCAATGTCACAAGTGATAAACGCTAGAATTAAACCCACTCTAGCAATTAATAGTCTGGTTTCTGGAGTACTGACCAGCTGTGCGCAATTCGGATTGGTTTGGTAGTAGTGATCAGGATTGGGTAGTCGCTTTATAGGGCGGTTTTCCTTATACCATCGAGTCTACGGTGCACTGGGTGCCCAAAATTTTTGTGCGTGAATGGGCCACACAGCACTGTGAGCGCCCGCGACATCTGAAGTACAGAGAACCGCGAGCAGGTGCGGAACCGAAGCCGTTGCCGAAAGCCTGTCAACCGAGATATTTTTTCCCAACACGAGTGATCATTGCAAATGATCGCCACGGTTAAGACGGTCCATGGTGTGATCAGCAGACTAATGAGCGGTTCGATGCCGAGACGTGCGGTGATTGAATCCCTGTTGTGATACCAAGTTGAGATGCACCGTTCCAGAATAAATGCCAGCCGGAAGTAGTTCATCGCTACCGTTGTACCCATAAGCGTTCGTGTGCCTGCCGCCAGTGACACGATGGTTTCGCGAAACTGACCTTTTCCCGCGCCTGGACGCCACTGCCGAATCTTTACCAATACACATATGTAAGCGCACGAAAGAAAGCAGCCAAAGTAATGTGGCTAGAACACCGAGGATTGTCCACATAACCCAGAACGTGCAGGTGGAGCCAACGTTAACGGTGTGCGTACTGCTATTGTTATTTTCCTGCAAAATGATGAAAATTAATACAGTATACGTACACCACAGCTGTTGCACTAAAATAACCTGGTATACAAGTATTTTAATTTTTACCCTCGTGCTGGCATAAGCGGCCAGCGTTTTATGATCCGTTATCAAATTTTTATAAGCTGTCCAGATGAATAGAACGGATTCCAAGATGAACCGCACAGTGGAAAGAACGAACGTCACCCACACTTGCTGATATATGGGCGCAAGTTTACGATAAATAAGCTTCTCGAAATCCGGATGGATATAGAAGTACTCGTCGTTAGTATCAGCTACAAATTAAAAACATACACCGAAACTGGCAGACACCAGTTAAAGATACATAGTCAGATTATGTTTAATACAGAAATCTGCTTACATTCCACAGAGATGTTGACCATTTTTCTGTGTTGCTTGTTCAGCCTTGGAACGATACTCACGTATGACAAAGTTTCGCTACTGGTACTTCACGCTTTCTAGCGCGATACATTGCAAGAATTACAAGGTCGTGTCAGATGTGGTAATAGTATCACTAAATAATATTAGAAGTAACTACAATTTATACATTTATTATCAGTAATCTGACATAGAAGGTTCTTCAATTGTAAAGCGCCTACCCGAAGTATATAGAAAGTCTCAAGGCAGTGTGCTGTAATTCTGCAAAGGAATTAAATTTGCGAAACTGGTAAGGAAGCTACGTACACACTCGTAGTGCTATAAATAAACTTCACCACTCACGTGAATCATTAGCAGCCACTACCTATGTACGAACTGGGGATTTTGCGCCAGGCGATAGCCATGCGACAGCGGGTGCTTAGCACCCGAGGACGTATGGGCTCTGTTGTGTGTAGAATTTGTAAGGGTAGTATTTTTTGTAGAAGCTGTAGTCTGCCTATATGTCCTCTGGAGAGGACAATTTTCGACATGGGTATTTCGATATAAATGAAATTTCAATGTGCAGTTTGAAATTAGTTGGTGAGTTGGTTATTTGAGAGTTTGTTGGTGAAAATCTTTGTGTTGTGCGCACTGATTCCGAAGTTGGAGATTTGATGGTGTTGGAAGTTGGTATTTTTGTTAGTTGAATTTGTTATTAGCGATTGAGGGTTTAATATTAATTGTAGTAACATAATATTACTGGTTGGTGGGAGAAGAGAAATTTGTTAAATTAATCACGGATGGTGGAAGTTGGACGAATAGCGGAAGTACATGGTGGTTTTGGAAAAAGTATTTTTGTTTTGATCATGTTATTTTAATATTTTTTTAGTACTTTGATATGGTTCAATTCTAAATAATAGAAATTTGTCGTTATTTTGATTTTAAGATTTTATGGGTATAGCTGGTATTTTCTATAAACGTGTCTTCTGTCGTTAGTTTATGCTTATTGTGGTTTCTTGTTTTTATACAATTATTAACCTAAATATTAAATTTTTAATGGTTCAGGTAATAGTAATGAAGAAGGGTTACGAAACGCCAAAAGGTTATAATTGGCTTTAGCGTGTTTTGCTGGTCAAATAATGCTAACCAACGTGGAAAAATTATGAGATTGATAGCATATTAATCGATTAGATAATTACTTTTGGTTATGTTCTGTGCAATGTTCTGTGCAATGTTTCGATGTTCTGTGCAATTAGATACTGAAAAAATTCTGACACATTTTGAACATGTATAGAATTGTGATAGTTCTCGTAAAAGTGATATGTAGTAAATTTATAGCTAATAATTAAAATTTAGATAGGCTAAAAATAAAAATAAATTTTATGAAAGTACAATTTTAAAACAATAATAAACGTACGTTTTTTATGTAGTGTATATTGCATTACATATGATGGATTGCCATTACTTGCATTAATATTGTTTTTTCTCTAAGATATTAAGGAAAGAATTTTGAGGGTTCATTTGGGGTTTATACTGCGGACAAATGATTTTCTCCGATAAATTTAGTTGGGGATTTGCAATAAAATTTTGTCATGAGAAAATTTGACATAAGAAACAGGTGGATTCAGTCATGCGCTCCACGGCTTCAGTTAGGCCTTGTCCCGAATTCAAAGCGAATCTTGTTGCGATACAGCAACTCCACCTCGCGAGGTGGCTTCGCGTACCGTATCTGTAGGCGTGGCCACTGCGTAGAGCCACCTCGTGCGGTTGAGCAACCATACCAAATCTAGATTCGCCTTGAATTCGAGACGAGGCCTTAGTCGTTTCAGTGAATCATTGAACCGTCTCCGCAGCTGTAGAAATCTTACAAGATTTAACGCATTAGGATGAAATGCTTTTTTCGAAAATTTTTTCGTTGGAGTATTTTCGACAGAATTAATGAATTGTGAAGCTGACATGAAAATATCCGTCTAATTTAATGCTGCCAAGAAGATAACAGATTCTAGATAAACTGAATCATCACAAGCAGGTGGCTGCAACAGTTTGTATGATTTGGTGGCTGCACATTTGGCTAGCAGCCTAGCTTATTTATTGACGTCAAATTATCTAAAAGTTCAGATGAAATATTGTATTTTTCAAACAAAATAGTATTGGTACTTATTATTTGGTAGGCATTTAGTATTGGTTGGGCGCGGTTGGGCGCATACTTACAACATACAAAAGAAAAATGCGTAACGATATATGGCCTGACTGACCACTTCCATGAGTTGGGATTCTGTGCAGCGCCCTGGCGTTTTGCCGCCACAGCCGCTAGTTTGTTTGTTTGTGTGGAACGGAAGAAAAAAACGTGACTGAGTGATTTGCCCAAGCGGCAGCACCGCCGCAAAGGATACAGTAGCCTAAAATGAGCAAATTTTAATTTATGTACTTTGAAGGAGTATAGATATTATAAACGATAAATACCTAGAATGTGCTTCTACTGTGTGCCCCTATAATGTTCTCCTGTCTGTTTTTCCACTGTCAGTTATATATTGTTGTTAAATTTGTAAAGGTAAAAACCATAAGAAACCAAGGAAAAACATAACAAACCATAAGAAAACATAAGTTCACAAGAAAAAATTTCACAATCCAATATGGGCGAAATGTCCTTTTTGCCAAAATGAAAGCTAGCCGAAGTGATTCAGTGCGGCGGAAATGTAACGCGGCCGAAGTGATCGGACGCGGTAGAATTCATCCTGAAAATATTTCCCGCCTGGCAATTAGAGTGCTCCTGGATCAGACTGCTCGGGAGCACTCTTCCCGTTAGGTTTTAAAAGAACACAGTATATCCGTAGAGTTTGAAATCTGGCGAGCGGAAATCGTCCGACAGTGGGATCAGGCTCCGTTCAATTTTCTTGTATATGCATGATGTATGCGTCTGTGCATGCGTGTCCAAGTTATTTGTAGTTATGCACGTCCACGCACGACCCACTAATACCGTAGAAAATCCATGTACCATCCATTTTTTAAAATGGATTTTGTGTGCTAATATTATTGCCACCATTCACTGGGCACTTCAATACTGTACCTCTATAAATAGAGAGAGATGAGAGTCTGTAGTTATAAAATAGCTACCCTATAATTTAACACTAATTTTTTTTACTTCTATGCGTAGAGACTGGAGTAAGTCATTAAAGACGTTTTGACGTTTTGTGAATGTGTGCATGTATTTTTCGGCCAATTTAGATCTAATAATGACGAACGATGATGCCCATAACAAATGGCAAAGCGCTCTGTTAGGGGCAGCGTTTGTTTGTGTGCTAATAATGACGGTTATAATTCTGATGGGTTTACTAAATACACACAATAATGCCGGTACACAGAATTTTCAACGTTATACTTTTATTACTTGCTGTTTTAGCTTACGGATGTTTATCAAAAACGCAAACTGAACTTGGATATTAGTTAATATCACGTAACGGCACGTTAAACTAAATAATATCTGTAGAACAGTGCAGTAGCACGTTTGAAAAATGATTAAAACAAAGACAGGCATGTCTCGAAAGACTAATTCCGCTAGAAGTATAAAACTACACCCAAATATCGGAGGTACAGTCGCCACCCGGATAGCGCACTTCATGGGCTCGCGCCGGACCATCGGGCTCATTATGCAGATCCACGTAGAAATCCTCATCGACCTTCATTCCATCGGGAGAACAGTTGAACATGATTATGCCGGAGCCATTTCTGCATGCAAAGGGACAAACAGGAATTAGGAACCGAAGAAGTCACGTACAGCTAGGCAGCATACGGAACGGAAATGCTGCACCGGTTCAGCTTGAATTTAATAAAATGCGCTACTGTGCAAAGAGAACTTGGAAAGTGTAATTCTAACAACTCACTTGACCATTTCCGGGTAGAACTGTTTATCATAAGAGTTCAGAATCGACATGGTAACATACAGTCGCTTTCCATCACGCGACAACTGCAACATATTTGGACCGGCTCTGCAAAGGGACAAGTGCGACATTTTTTTATTAACATAATGGAAAAGCAAAACTGGCGCTGAGTATAAATTAATGGTAAGAAACGTACTGTAAAAAACGTAAATCAGAATGGCAGAAAATTCTTACAAAATGGGATGCCCTTTAACAACCAGTCGTTCAGGCTGTTTATCCAGTTCTTTGTCTTCGACAACCTTAATTCCGGTATCCGACGAGATGAGACCACCCAAAAATACCTGTAACGGGAAAGATTTACACGTAATAAATACAATATAAATTATAATCGTCTACCGATCGAAAACGATTAAAGTTGTAGTATTCAACCGGTTGTTAACCACATACGATGCTTTCGTTTTCCCTACACGTACGAAACCGCGAATTTCTTACGGAAGATACGAATTTCGGGTTTTTGGTATCGGAAATATTATACTGGCGCACATCTCCATGAAGCCAGTCGGCAAAATAGAGAAACTGATCGTCCAAGGAAATGATGATATCGGAAATATTTGCTGTAAGGGGAGACGTAAATTTACCATCCGTAGCGAATTACCAATCAGCAACAATTAGTACTGCATCACACAGTAGTGATATTTTTTAACAACACACAGACGAGACTTGGCGGATACATCAATATCTACACAGTCTATCCGTAGTTCCTCTTAAACTCTAAGTAAATAATAAATACAGAAGCAACTGTTTATCGATCATTTAGATGTACGATCTTTAAGCGGCAGTCGCGGTGTGCCTTATACACAAGATCTTGCTTTACGACAAAGATTAATAAAGCACCAGAACGAATAAACTTACCAGGCATTGAGGGCATAGTCCAGTTTTCAACCTGCTTTGGTGGTACTTGGATCACGACTTCCGTAGTCCACTCGCCATCCTTTAAATATCAAATACATTCTTCAACTGGAACAAAGACTACAGTTTTCTAATGAACCGCATAAAAAATAGGGGAAATGTTGCATGCTCGTCTGTTTTATTTTAAACTTTACAATTTGTTACGGATTAAAGAACTGCCATACACGGGCAGCATAGCTGTTTCTTTTCATGTACAGGCATCGATATCTGGAAAGCTTAGAAACGGAAAATTTTGAACTCTTCACAAACCGGAGTCTTAAAAAATCGTCGTATTGTCGATTCCAGGGCCACACCCACAAACCCTTCGCACGCTTCCGGATTATGGAGAAAGCGTAGTTCCAGAGGCGTTGTTGAACCAGCACCTTCCTCGCCGATGTGGATAGACTTGATGAGCGTGTGGTCAGCCCAGTTCCAAAAATGCAAATAATTTCCCAGCTTATTGTTTTTCACGTCTTCCGGTGAGAATCCTTTCATGAAGCAGTTAGGAACACCGAATTCGCTGGATACCTTTAAATGGCACAAAATCAGCAAACAATTAATAAAATTAAAGGATTTCTACTGCTACACATGCAATATAACCATTTACAGAACTTTCTACTGCCACAATAATTTATCTATTATTTTTGGAAGATAGTGTACGAAACGAAAAACGGATCCCTCAATGACCAAATAATTAACCATACCACAAAAGGTATCAACATATTATAGTGAGTACAGTACGCTACTTAATTCTAATGGCTGCCGCCTGCCGACTATCGTAGCGATCATAAAATACTACACAGTATACGCGCATCGGTTCGAGTATTTTTCCTGCACAGCGGTTATTACTCTTACAATACGAATGCACTTAATTGGAAAGCCTCAGTAGTTTGCAAATGGATTATGGATACCACCGAAAATCACAGAATGAATAACAGTGGCCCACATAAATTTTTTATATGCTTAATTATAACCAATATTATCTGTGTTTTGCAGTTTAAAAAATATAGATATAATACTTGAATGCGCGCATCGTACTGTACACGCAAGTGTACCATGATATTGTGACGCGGCTGATACCAGAAATCATAGCCCATGACCGGTCGGTCATTGCGATTCCACAATCCGGTGGGTTCGAAGGTTTTTCCATCCAGCAGCAAGAAGGATCCCTTGCCTTCGCCGTACTTATCACCCATGTACGATATCATCACCTCGCCGCTGGGCAGACAGTGCACCGTATGGGGATGCGTGGCGTCGAACTTCTCGGCCACTTCCGCGCCGGAAATCACCTTGAACAGTGTGGGTTGCGCGGGATTCTGCACGTCCACAATGTGAATATTACCGCTGTTGATGCCGGGAACAACGAGATAGCGGTGCTGCATGGCCGGATTCTTGCAGCTGACGCAGCTGTTCCACCCGAAATGGTGTAGTTCATCTTTCGGATCAGATGAATACAGACGATGGATGACCTACACAAACATCAATACTTCCAAGTATTCCAATCAGCATTAACATGAGCAATATAACAAACACTTTACGAAATAAATAAAGTAAAAAAATCAAACCAGTAGATAGATGAAATTTCGATAGATGAAATTACATGACATTAAATTGCGCACGTACAACAAAAAAACATAAGTAATATCATTAATACAGTAGCGAAAAGCTTAGCGCAGGAGTCGATGGCCACGCGCCGCCACAGAAAAACCAGAAAATTGTAATATGTACTTGTACATCTATCAACTGTGAAATACCAGCATGAGATTGTTGGTTGATTATTAAAAAGTGAGCAGGAAATCTCAACTTACTTTCCCGTAATTGCTGGAACTGGGATCAGCGTCTATCGTAGCCAAATATCCGCATTTATCCTGTTCATTCTCTTCCGACTGCAGGCACAGGACGTACAAATATTTTTCCCGTGGCGACTTCATGGCCTCCACAGGTGTCTGCGCACTGTGGCACTGGCCGGCCACCGCCGTTTCGCCGCAGCATGGCTTGTCGCTGGTCGTTTTGGTATCCTCTTCCGCTTTCTTTACCTGCTCCACTTTCTTCTCCACTGGACTGCTCTCTTTCCCTGCAACGCTTCCTGGCATTTTTGCAGTTGCGATATTTTGTAGAAAATCGTGCAAAACTGGAGAAAACAGTAAACAAGTATAGGAAAAGTCGATCGGATTGCAGGTTGGCAGAACTAACTCACATGCAGCGTAAACACCTAAAGGCGAAGATTCGGCATAAACACGGGTATTTACTGTACTTCTGGCTTTTGAAATTCTGGCTAATACTGTACTGCACTTTGCGAGTACGGTATAGACTTGCACTGGTAGGTACCAGCACAGCGTACGCGGTACTACCTACAGACTACAGTATATCAAGGTGCTTATGAATTGGTTTAAAATAATATGATTACACTGTGCTGACAACAAAAAGTGAGATATTGTGATAAGGCGTTAGCGGTTAATTAAGATCTTTATCGGTTTAACCCGGCACGATGCCTGGATGCCCGGTGATCGCGCACCTGCCGAAGTACTGCACATACCATCGATCTACATATAGATATTACGATTTACATTCATAGCTAGCCAGTTAAGACATTGTGAGAAATGTACTATTGGAAATTAAATAAAACTTTTATTGCTAGCCAATAACTATTGTATTCTCTACTTATACGTAATTACAGTAGGTAGTGAATACGTTTATGCTACTGCATAATGCATACGCTTATGGATTAATCACATAAATACCATTCAATCATATTCTAATGCAACCATCAATAATCATTTCACATCTATATTTTGCACTACGCACATGATGCAGGCACTACAAAGCCGCAGCTTCAAATTTACTCTTTCGTGTGGATCGAAACTAAAAACGCTGGCCTACACCAAAAAGCATATGGCAGAAGAATACGCCCAGTGGGGCTGTAACAAATAAAATACAATTAAAAAAATACAAAAATTAACTTCTTTCAATAAAACCTAAAATTCCCATGTGGATAACCATCTCATCCCATGCATGGTGCTGTTAACAGAATCAGCAAAACTACCACTCATCCCGTATACTAACGGATAAAACAGATAAAAGCTAAAACCCAGAATTACAGCTATCACAACTCCGAAAGTCCACTCAACCACCATCTTTCCGCTTTGTCCAAGGCACCGGGTGACAATATCGCAAACAAGGCAAGTAACTAATCCTACAAACAAATGTAAAAGAGAAATAATACCATCACGAAGCATGGCAGCTCTCACTTCTCAGTTCAAGTTGCCACATTCAATCATAAAACAATTTTCTGAAAAATTAGTCACTGATTAGTTACTTACCGGAAATCATGCAGGCAAACATGTGCGCTGGGAAGTAATGATGATAGTACAAGATTCGTCCCATGCAGTAGAAGGGTACATAATGCACAAACCATCCCAAAAACATCCATCGCGTCGGATGCAGATACTGCGCTTCTAAACGGTCTAACTCCGCATTCGGCTTGTAATTTCGTTTTTTACGTACGGCGAAACAACACTCCACAATTGCATACACCAACCACACCAGCATATTCCCCCACCAAATGATGGGATTCCCCAGAAGGTAGATCCGCATTTCACCTGCCGAGAAGAACTGCCCACGCACATCAATAGGCCACTGCCAAGGTTTGGAAAAGGCTTCGCCTTCCTTCGGCTTCAGTCCACTATTCCCTTTGACCATGACCTTATGGGATTCCAGAAATCGCTTGAGAAAACTGGGCGCATGACTACTGAATGTCACATTCGGCAACAAAGGAAAATGGACGAACTCCACATGGAATAATTCATTGTCGAAGGATGTCCGTTTCGGTTTTGGATTACATGTCACTTCCAGCTGCTCCCAGGCCCATTTCGGTAATTGTTTGGTTCCAGATTCCAGAATACATCTTGTGTTGTGATGCACTAACCGGAAATGGTTAACCATTGTTTTCACAATTTCTTTTGGTTGTCCGTTTTCTATCACAACTTCCCATACATCATTTCCAGTCGAATCAGTGCCGTTTTCTCCATATCCAGAGACCTAAAATTTTGTACATACAAAAGCATTCTCAACTGACAAAAACCCCGGCTTAAAATGTTAAGACAACTAGTTTAGGGAATCACGTGCAGGAAAAAATAAATATTCACTTTATCATAAATTCTAGAAACGTTTCGTGATTCAAACGGCATGCTGCAATGAACTCTACTGGTAAACGAAAGAGACAAATGTTGCCACCACACTACAAATATCATACGTATCCTGGGTTAGCCTGTTTCACCGCCGAAGCATACATACAATAAACCAAAAAGCGGTATCGAAACAAATTCGGGAACTATTTTTAAGATTAATGATAACTTATGCTCCAAAACCAAAAACTTGAATACTCTTAACGCGTTCAAGTATTCAGTCGTTCGTTGTTTTCCTGAAGTACTTAAAACACAGAAAGGGCGATTCGATTTGTTTCACAAGACACCAAATTCCGACGGCCAAAATCCTCACCTGATAATGATGCTTCGTGACCGGTGCAGCAAGCCGTTGAGCATGAAGGTTTTTTCCCGTGACAGCATGTGTTAATCTCAGCAAATCCCCATTGCGTAAAAAATCCACTGTTGTTGGTCCACCCTCCGGTAACTGTTCGTCAACCTTTTTCAGTCTCCACAAATTATTGTCGTCCTTATGAGCATAGCACGTCACCTGCTGATAACCACTGGATTCTTCGGACGACGAAGGATACACATGGACATGCGAATGCAAATAAGCGCCGTTAGCTTTCGTATTTTTCAGCGCGATCATTGCTCCATATGCAACTTCTCCCGGCATCGTGGCGTTATTCAACGGGTTGCCAATTAAAACCGACTGGAACGCTGAACTGTAAAGCCATCTCCCGGTCCGCTGCGGTTCAAAACAGCTAAATGGATGGCGAAGAAACTCAGATAGAAAACAACCGGAAAAATTATTAAGCACACAGCTCGCGCGGCGGTTTGTTTGCATAGTTGAAAAAAGGAATACAGCTGATCGGACCATAACAATAGTAATCGAAAGATGGTCGACAGTCCAACCCAGAGCACGATAAAAATCCCGACAAATTTCACGCACATAGCGCAACTGAGAAAGAATCCGCATAAAATGTGCCAAAACCACCAGCGAGCATTTAACGAGCGGTCTTCATGGTGCCAGCTCTTAACGCAAGACCACGTTGTTGCCATGATAAAAAACAACAATGGAGAATCCAGCAAGATATACCTGAAAGAACAACCGTTGCTTCCAGAAAGACTGCAGAATGCTGCTGTAACATTTTCCTGCGGAAGCAAACGGGCAAAATACTAAAACCTGTACCACGACAGAGATTAGAGACACATATAACCTCATACAAAGGAAGGAAAAAATGGCGTAAGAAAAATAAATAGCATCTGGTGAGAAAACTAAATCATTCAAAAAATTACAGTGCGTCAGCAAAAAACTGAAAAGGCAGATAAAAACTAACGCCTGATACAGTAACAGAATAATATAATAACACAAACAACACGGCGATAAAATAAATAAACCAAAAATGCAAGAATTTAAAAAAATTAACAAAAAAGATCGACAAAAAAAAGACTATCGAAAAATATTTTTCGGTTGAAAATGATAAGCCGAATTTTCAATTACAAGAAGAGTCACAAAAATTACTTACCGAGAAATCTAAGAAACGATCAACACAACAAGAACAAGAAAATTTTCGGTAAAAAATGATAAGCCATCTTACCGAGTTAGTGTCGCCATTCCCGTGTCAAACAAAATACACGCCGCCGCCACACTGCTGGCCCGCACCGATTTCGACAGCGCGTAGACAATCTCGAAGGCCAACGGGACCAGCAGTGCTCCCAAAAACGCGCAGTACACGCGCATGCCCACATAGGGATGATCGTCAAATTTATCCCCGGGTTTATCCCAACTGAACGTCCCGTTGTATCCGCTCAGATAGCCCACCAGTGCAATGGACATTTTGCCCAGCGGTGGATGGACGTCGAAGAAAAATGTCCGATTAATGTACCAGCTGGCCATTTTCCCGAAATGCGTCTCATCCCAGCACACCCACTCGGGAATGGCGATCTGGTAGAAGCGTGTGTACAGACTGAGCAGTGTTAGAATGGTCAGTGCGCTGAAGCGCGGGCTGATGTTGAAAAATCCACTGGGCACCAATGTTTCGCCCGATGACACTTCTGTCTTCGCCGCAGCGATGGGTTTTTCGGGGACATTTTTGGCAGATTTCTCGGGCTTCGGTGGGCTGTCTTTTTATCTTTTTTATGATTTACAGCGAGATCGGTTTTCTTTTTGGGAGATTTTCCGTCGGTTGCCATCTGACCACAAAATCAACAGCGCAAACGAGATCACCTAAAAATATATCAATTTATTTAATGCTGAAAAACGACAGCTGGTACATCAAAAACAAACCGATACGGGACAAGCGGTAGTACAAATGATAAATCCACAAAAATCTGGAACGCGGTCGCCATAAGTCGTACTGTGTGCTTGAATGAATGGCAAACTCAACTGGCACACTATTTACGCTATTCGTGTCAACGGCTCGGTCCCACCAGTGAACAATATAAAAAAATGCTTAAAAAACTTACACCCTGATTCAATTGCGGATCAAACCTTTGCCTTGAGATAAGAGCCTGCAGCGGACATCCAGATTTCGATCTTCATTATCACAGTCAAACTCAAGCCCAACTGAGCCATACCGAGTAGCGTCAACTAATCCACTGTTTCTCATTTTGTATCGTTACGGTCTGCACTTAGGGATCGTATTCGCAAAGACTATAGCGAGTGCGATAACAATATGAAATTGTCCATATCCCCCGAGGCATACCGCTGTTAAAATTTTTAAAACAGGTTTAGGTATTCACTTTATTGCTTTATGACTCCAGGTTTTACAGGCAACAGTTTTACAGACAAACACAATCAGCAGTTTAGAAACGAATGTGTAGAACAAGCAGCCGCCTCTGGTGTCGGATTCATCGGAAGCAAAAGAACGCCGCCTTGTGCGGTTGGTTAGTCTTACCACAACCGTAAAAGTCTTTAGACTATGTACTGTGTTGTCGAGTCAACTTGGCACCTTTTCGTACAGTGAGTTATACGCTAAGCGGATACGACTCACTGAGTACATCGCGAGAGTGTTTCCCCATCACAGATTTTGCGAAATGATGTGCCTTTTTCCAAGACAGCATAGAAATTTTCTTTTGCCTTGACTGTTGAACTTTTCAGTATTCTGATGTGGCTGACTGCAAGACAGAGTATGTCCAGAAAAGTTATCTCATGTTTCTTGAATCTACTTTTCCGACCGATTTACTGGTTAAACAGTCACTCAGTGTTTGCTCTCTGTAAAAAACGATTGTCGCTACAATTTCCTTAACAATAAAATTCGCACTTCCATATCACCGCATAATCTGATCTGTTCATTGAACAAATACTTCACAGCTCACGCGAGACATATTCACAGCAGGCGTAAATCAATATTTTGTAAAACTGTTCTAACACAACATATTACTTGTTAACAAACATAACTGACAATATTTTACACAGCACTTGATAATATTGTACGCAAAGGCATCTACGCTTGCGACATCCCGTGGGAAGATGGCGGTGGACCAGAGACAACCGGCTCATAAGGATGATCCATCACTGCCAAGTGGTCTTTGTAGTACACCGTCGGGCAAAACACCGCAAATGCGGCAGTGGCCACACCCCATACCGGCGCGGTCAGGACGCCCAGCCGGGTGGGAATCTTTAAGTTCTTGTGGTGCAAGTAACTCCAAAAACCTACAAAAATACTGCGTTCATCAGTTTGTCTTCCACCAGCCAGAAAGAAAAGGGCGAAAAAACGAGACTTCTTAAGTCCCTGTTCCGAGAATAAAATTTCTGAAGATACTTTCTCAACTGATACAATTGAAACTATCCATCTAAACTCATACGGCGAACAATATAACAATTATTATTATGCTATTGTGTTAAAATAGGATTAAAGCGATGATTAAACATTACAAAAAACATTATTGAATGTGCAGTACAATACATACGGTAGCGAAACTGTGTTTGAATAATCAGTATTTATATTTCTAATTGAAAAATGGACACAACTACCGCAGTTCAATTAACTGTCAAAGAAATCTCCAGCTGAGAAATTCTGGACAATAGATCAGAAAGTTTTCACGCTACACTGTACACTGTGATTTGAGAATACTTTGTTATAATTAATACCAGAGCAAAAATTAAAAAAATTATACTCGCACAGATGCTTGATGCTTGATTAGAAAGAGCCAAAGACAAAAACAAAAGAATTCTGTAAATTAATAAAAATTTATACAACAGACAATCACAACAGTATACGAATAATACGTGTTAAATGTTAATAATAGTAAGGACTGCGGGTGTTATAAATAATGTGTCTTTAAATGGTTAGCGTACTGCAGATTGCAATCTCCAGTGATGTTGATATTCCAAAAATTTTTCTGATTACGTCCTTACCAAATGCTGAACCAATGGCTAATCCATAAACACCAAAAGGCCAAATGAAGCTCTGCGCGACGACAGCTTTACGCTTTAATCTGTCCTGAAACGATGGAACCTTCCACTGCGATGGAGATAAATGGGGTGCCTGCAAGACAAACCACGTTCAAAATCAATATTACAATTACTCACGGTGAATTCACCGTGCTGATACACTATAATGATTTCCTGGCAATTCCTGCCATACCAAAGATTGTTGGTCATTCCAACTTTCGGTGTTGTACTTCAGGATGTTTTCCTGGCCTCTGTAGGGATAGGAACGCGGGGCAGCATCAGCAGTCATGGTGAATCCCAGTTTGCAACACTGTGCTAGGTTTACGAGGGAAACAATCTCAGTATCATGCAACTGCATATGAACATCTGCAGTGCTTGCAAAATAAAGTGTCCAGTTGTTCCAACAAACGTTCCAACAAACTCAGGACTTACGACTTTAACAAGAAATCAAATTTTCGAAATCAAAATTGATCAGATGGTTTTTAACTTGCAAGAGTCCACCTAACTCAGCTCCAAAGCGTCAAATTCAGTTCTCGTAGCATACACCCCCGGGAAGGGTGCTTGAAGATATTTCTGCCAACCGCCTAGAAATACCGTATAATATTTTTTGTTTTGATATTATTTTACTTTTTCGAAACTTAGAGTAGTAGTTACTAACAATGTAAGATTCAGCAAAATCACGCTTTAGAAATGCTTCAAAGCGGTCGGAAAAGCTAGGGTAGTGCGCAATACTCAGCCAAAAGTTTTTTCCCAAAAAAACAGAACTCCAAAAGAAAAATTTTAAAATCGGAAAATAGATTCGAATGTGGAAAGGAATTAAAACAACCTACTGAGATATTTCTGAAGCATACAAAAATGATTAATCACTGCCTTTTGCAGAACGGGTTGGATGCTTCCTGTAAAATAATTACACCAATGACGTAGAGCGCCGTCTTCCTGCGCAGACAGGGGCGTTTTATTACTTCGCATAATTTTGAGATCCACAAAAGTTTTTCTTTTACAAACAGAAACCGGAAAGGTGAAAGACAAAAAGGGCATATAACACGGATTTCGTCAACCGCCGCGAAAACCGACCACGGCAAAAATTATAAACAGAAAAACCCGACTGAAACCCGAAAACACAATAAAAATGTGATGAAACCCATCCGGCAGATCAATCCATCCCCACACCGGAAGACAAATCAACAGGAAGCACCCAGCCAATAATAGACATCCGGAATTATTTTCCCTTAATTTATTGTTCCGCTTGGTCCATTTGATTACACCACATCATGCCGCAGCCGTTCCATCTCCTTATCCAGATCGTCGACTTTATGCGCAATCCGCTCATTCACATGCGCCACCAGGGAGCGGTAGAAGTGGATGGCAAAAATCAGGAACAACAGGATCAACGGCGCAATGATGGCCGCCGACGCGTACTGCGCACTGGGCAGATCGTGGAATTTCACCCAGCACAGCAGCCCCACATCCACCAGGAACAAAATCAAACCCAGCAGGGTACTGCAGATCCACGACGCTTCAATGTAGTATTTCATCCGCTCGTGAGGCGATTCCCAGACAGAGTCCTTGGTGGAGGAGGCCGCTTCCAGATTGGGCAGGATGCAGGTGCTGATCATCAGGGACAGCATGTGGCAGGCTACCAATAGGGTGGTGCACACGCAGAACGCGATGACCAGTTCTGGTGGTCGCGAATGACGTCCTTATCAATCTGCACTTCAACCATGGCCACCTAAATGCACATACCAATTTAATCGTATATTAATATTATACCTTCACATTTAAACAAACTAATTTAGCTTTATTTATTTTTTCCACATTTTTTTGTTATAAAATGTGTTTTGTTTTATAAAACGCTCAGTTTTTTGTTTTTAATAAAACTGAAATAATTATTTTCATTTTTTGAGAAAAACTGTAACCATAAAAATTAAAAAAGGCTCCAAGGCAAGGCAAAATCTCATAAACGTAACAGCGGTAACAAACTTCTGATTTTTTTGAGATTCTGATTCTATGGCTCGGCATAATTGAGCCAAGCATGCTGAGTGCTGCGAAAGAAATTTTCTCCATATTCTAAGTTGTTTTCCCGACTTGTTATTCTTACCATAGCGAACCCGCTGAGAAGAGCCGATGTGCGACTGCTGGCTTTGAGTTTGGCGCGACTGAGCTGCAGATGTTTCCATCGCACTGCCGTGGATTCCTGGTGCTTGCTCATGTTCCTCGGGAAATAGTATAAATCATCTGAAAAACAGAAAGATGTATTCCGTACGGTGTCCATATTCAAGGTAGAGCACTGAATAGGCACGCAAAATAATCACAAAAGTCAGAAACAGAATGTGGCAAGCGCAATAATAGTTTTTAAAAGAGTAGAACCTGCAGAAAGAACTCAAGAAACGCGAAACTTTTTGTTTTTGCCCACTATCTGTTTCGTACAGGCAATTAATCCCTTCTCACCAATCAGCAGTTTTATTGATCAAAAGGATGCGGCGGATGCGGATGCAGATCTGTAGCACGAGAAATTATTCCCACTGCACTACGTTAGCGTCTCGCTGCGAAATGCAAGCAGTTATAGGCACTGCGGCGGGATATGTTTACACAATGCTTTTGCAATTCACAGCTACACTCCACTACAATAATTCCACAGTCATAAGGCACGGAAAATCCAATTAAAATTCCAAGCTTTATGTTATTAAATAATTATGGTGAAAGCTAAAAGCAAATAAATGCGTAAGCAAAAGTTTTACTCATATTTTATAAAACATAATAGTATAACTATTACAACCGTTTCAATATGCGTTTTAATAAAACGCATACTCGTACATGCATATTGCATAATTATTATTGATATCGCCAACCAAAACAGTACTTGCCAAGTAAGTTTAAACTAGTAAGTACGTACAGATACATAATATCTATATACATTATTACAAAGTTTAAGTATACTCGTATGCCATATATGCGTTTGATAAATTCAGTACAATACTTACGAAGTTACAGGACCCGATCCGGAAGCTGGCTCGTTTCAAAAGAACCGGTGTTAAACACAAAATGAGAAATAAAAGGTTTTATGTACAATACTGTACGCCGCATACCGGCACATGTCTATCTAATTATGCACTTATGCTAACTGTAAAGCCAACCCGCCTCGAAAGAAAATACCAGGAGAAAAACAGCGAATGAAACAACAGTATTTACAAAGAATAGTTTTAAAATTATTTTCCTAAATTCCAGAGTCCGTGACTAGTACGAACAGCACATAAAATATTGTGGCTGATAAGGGTTACACCGCGATAACAATATCCTGACACATGCACTATAGAAGTACCCGTGCGTGAAAAAATGTGGAATAATACCAATGTACTTACTGCCGACGCTTGAGCTGGGAGAATAATTTAACTGAGAATTAGTCTCCATAAATCCGCGGTATTGTGCAGCAGAAGGTAAAGTTATAAATCAAAATGGGTAATCAAAATCACAATTGTCCCCGAACTATGCTCCATGCAACAGTTCACAGCGGTAAAAAAATGTACGTATTCGGGCCCGGCCTTGATGTGCCTTCATTTTTCCTCGTCTGACAAGACGTGGTTATCTTTATGCGAAAACTTCTTTGCGACAACATTATCATTATATAAGCAGCTTACGGCAAATATTAATAGTCACTGCATCGTCAGTTAGAAGGCGTAGTAACTACTGTAGCTGGAGAAAATTTTCCGCTTCCGTAGGAGTAAAAGTGCTTGTTGTCAATTAACGATAAGTCAGTTTGCCCATGCACCGTACTATGTGTAGAAGTATCTGTATGTAAAATGATAGATGTTACTTTGCCAGTAGCAGGATATCGTGTTGCATTGCTTTCGGGCGTTTAGGTTATTAATTATCACAGTACGTATAAAATTATTAATCTGTGGGAAGGTGGTCGCAGTTGGCGCGCACGTGTAGTACAGTGCTAACCAGACTAAAATTAGTTTTCATAACATTTAATGGTTACATCGATGTATGGTATCTGTAGGTATGTCGTATGCGTAATGTATAATTTGGCTGGTCAGTCGTACATTTTTATATGCGATAATAAATGGGCTCATCACTTTCTGCTCTTTCGTTTACATTAGCACAAGTTCATATACTTCTATTGATATATGTTTTCGTTACCCGAATTACACTCAGCGGTTTAGGCTAGCTACCAGAACTCGGGGCTCTAACTGTGCATGTTCATTTTAAACAATTAATAAGTATTGTAAATTATTGCATACAATTATCACTAGACACAACTTTTATTAAAGTATCAGTTGCAAGATTCTGTTCTGAGTTTTCCGTACATGTTTACAAATTGTTAGCTAGACTATGCCAGGTCTCACAAAAAATTCTACAAAATTTATTAATATCAGTGCACAATCGATAGGATCGTGGGATCTAAATATACGTGGCTTGAAAATTAATTATAATATTTATGGGCTGTGATGACCCCTCTGGGTCACTTGTTTTCGTAAATAAATTAAATACCATAGCAAACATGCAGTTAATTAGCAAATGCGCACGTAGACATAAATAGACAGGACGTTTATCGCTACAGAGATGGCTGGCGAAGCATGATTAAAGTAGGTACATGGTTTATTATGGAGAGACGACAACAAGTGAAGCCCGATGAGCCGCGAAACAAATTAGACCGGTACTAGTATCCATTGCATTGTTGTGTCTTTGGACGCGCGCGTGTTCCGCTTTCAACGCTGTGCCGGGAAGCGCGTTGAACTCGCAATCAAGGATAAGAGATCAATAGGATGAAAAGGTCATCGTCAAGTGCACACGATATATACATGTGCTGGTTTGATGGAACGACGTGGATCCATTAGGTGATACTGCGCGGTGTTTCTTGATTGTTCACTTGTACATTTATTAGAACATATTCGGTCGTATGGGCCAGAACGGCATATTGCGTCCGTAGGTGTGCAGGAAGAGTTTTTTCTCCCGACTGTCTTCCGGTCCGGGAAATTGATCATGCCGCTGCGGCTAATGCTGCCAGCCGGGCTGATGTAATCCAGTGCCGGGTCAGACCGTTTACCGGCTCGCGGGATAGGAATGGCCATTTGGCTGCGCACAATGGGACTCATGCGGCGGTATTTTAGCCAGTGACTTCCTAAAGAGCAGGAAATTGTGTCTTGGGCGAAATAGCAACACTTTTCCCGGCAACCGACTTAAAACAAAAACACCCACGGTGCCATGTCAAATTATTGCCTAAATAACCGGCTATTTACAGTTGTTACAATAGGGCAACGGAAATTAGCCAACGAAAAGCAGTACAAATGCAAGTGTCAGGGATGTTTATCTGAATTCGTCCTACATCCCGGAACACAAGTATATATTATGCAACCGATAAATGCAACATATGCTGTATGTGCGCTCCAATTCTATTCCGGAACTCAAACAAATTCTGATAAGTACCCAAAAGACAAACATGAAAATGATAGAGACGTTTGTGTGTTATTTGCAGAAACGTAACTACAGAGTATTAGCAACAAAGCTCATACCTACGATTGCTTTGAAAATAACATGGGGCAAAAATATACTGCCGTACTGATCATGTCTGCCCCTAGCCACAGCATCAGAAAATCATAGGATTTTTTAGTTCAGAAAATCATAGGGTTTTTTTAGGAGTATGTGTTTACTTGGGAACAGGTCAACCTATCCAACGTTTTACAATTGATTTTGATACAAGTCTTCTTAGAAATGCATATAAATATGTTTCAATCAAGAATCTCGTGTATGTTTTACAGTTTTACTTAAACTTTATTTATCGTTGTCAAGATTATTATTATTCTCAAAAGAATATTATCCAGATGTTGCCGATATGGCGGCAATAATTTCGACTAACACATGGGATAGATCTACTCCGGTACGGCGATTTTTCATAACCAACAGCATTTCTCACATAAGCACTTGCATTTTAAATATTACAGAAAACAAGTAATTACATCATATAGCTGGTTAAATAGCGAAATACAATATTTTCAGCGCTAGAAGTATAGAAAGGAAGCAAAGCCATTAATTATTAAATCATAATTATACACTGCTGTACACATGTACTTTTAAAACTGCAAATAGCGAACACTTAACGTCAGTGTGTTAAGTCATCGGTCAACTGTGAGACTATATCCAGTTGTATTATGATTAATGTAACAAACTGCACATTAGTCTGTGTAAAATTGCGTTCAAAAATTATGCCCTTTAACTTGTTTGCAGAAAGAACAAAATACCATGTAGTGCGGCTTACTTAACATTGGATAATATCCTTCGTCTTCGAAGTTGGAAACATCCGGATCCCCGTTGTACATCTCCCCACGCACTAGCCAGCTCTGGCAGTACAGCAAACAGCCGAATATAAGCAAACAGAAGGATGACCACATTGTAAAGCACAAAATTATTATTCAAGTCGTGGTTCAACGATCCAACGTCCCATGCACCATCAAAAGGTCATCAGCTATTCGGCACAGCGCCCGTCGCGGTTGCCTGTTTCAGCGAGCTGATTGAAATTAAGTGCGGCGCCGTTTCCTCTGAGATCCTTTATGCACAACTGGACAAGCGTTATAAAGTGTATTTATGTTCCTGAACGTAAGTGGATCAAATTACAAACAAGTTGTACATAAGTGTTATTTTATACCTCTTCACTTTGCATACACATCCGGCAAGGAAGGGAAGATTGTAAATTACTCCCTTATGGGCGGAGCCTTACGGGCATTTATGCTAACGGGAGTATGAGGAATCAGGAATGCGACTGAAAGAACTGGGACGAGTACGAATGTCATAATTTTGCAAGGACGCCGTAGTAAAAACGTAAAGCCGCCGGATAGCGCCCTTGTGCACATACTGAGCGCTGCAGACTGATGTATTGTACAAGGAATTCCATGTCCCGTACGTACACGGAGGTGCATTTACATAAGTTTTCATCCACAATTTCTTGGTGTTCTCGAAACGGCGATACGAACAAACCCGCAATAGTCTAACTCATGGTCAGAAATCACAACACAGCAATGTTCCTGTACCAGTGGATTTGCGATGACCGGCTTCGCTTCCGGTTGTTACCGTTGGCGTTACATAAGGAGTTTCATTAGTTATCGCCATCTATTGGCAGTTCGGCGCCACTGGTGCAAGATTAACCTTCTTTACGTTTGGCGTTCCGGTACTTATTACTAACTTCTTTGCAGGATAAACTAAAAAACTATAAAACAACCATGGTTTTCCTGTTTTATATGATGTGAAGGCAGTTTATTAGCAGGATGAACACCAACCAATAATAATACAGTACTCGTAGTGCAAGTATTTTTCCAGCAGTTTCACCTGGTTAATTTCACCTGGTTAGTTTTGCCATATAATCACGCGCTCCAACTACATAATATTATTACCTTCAAGTGTTTATTAGTATTTTGATCCTTTCTCGTACATACAAGCAAATCATTCATTTGCAGATTGGAACAGCAACATCATCGTTTTTAATTTTCAAAATCCAATGTACTCCATTTTGTGGTAGTCCTACTGTCAAAGCCGCTACAGACATTGACACAGTAGTGCTTTGATACTCGTATTATTTCCAGTTTCACTTGTTACAAAACTGGCATATCTTTCAAGTGCGATGATTAGATACAATTATCCAGTGACTTCACTTAAGGCCGTTCCAAAACTAAACGTAATTTCCGTTTTAAACATTTTTTTCCAATTTCACTGCGCTGTTGTTGCGTCACTTTGCGGGCTGCAGCAGCAGGGTCAAGCTGCGTAGTTTACACACCGGAAATAATGCCCGGCGATGTGGATGCGGCTCATAAATATCACCGAAGACGACATTAACGTCTACAACAACTCTCACCTACGTCAAAAAAGTGCCCTGCCTCGTTTAATGAATTAACCGGCGCGCAAGCAATCACTTTTAAAACTCGTTTATATTTGTTTGTGACCTTCTGCGATAGCAGATAACAAACTGTATATTTTCTTTCAATCGCAACAATGCGGATATATACCACCATTCGCCGCACCCTTCAGGCTGAACCCAAACATTCACCGGCACGATCCCATCTAAACAGATCCTAATTCTGATCTATCTTCCCTGCCACGGTGAGACCATTCCCCTTTGCGCCCTTTCTAACTTATTGACCGCTGCACTTTTCGTGGTCCTTTTCCGCATCTTGAAGAGGCATGACACTGTTAACCTGTACCCATAAGCTGATTGAAAACGCAATACCGGTCACGCACACGCTGGTCCTAAACACCAAGTGCCGCGCAATCGATAGGATCAACAATATTTCGTTATTAAACTTTCAAGCGAGCCCAACCGCAAAACGATACTGTACATATAAAAGTCAAACTTCCAATTATTACGCATGCAGTGCACCCGGCGTTAATACCCCCGACCGGCCAACGACAACACACACCGGTCGTTTCAAAAGCAACATTGCGCGCCTCCTTTCTCCTGCACCCATATCCGCATGCAAATGTCTGCTGTCCCTATCCTATCATTATTTTCGCCCCCTTCATACCAGCCGGACGCTGCACAATGCCCTTAGCTTCCTCTCGTCTGAATGCCGCATTCTGGTGTGTAACCGAACGTAGCATTATGTAACGACGAGCCGTCGGCATTTTTTTCCAATCTGGCTTTTTATTCTTTCTTTAACATTACGACGATATTCAGGTCGAAACATTTTCTCTGTAAAAGCTACACAAAAAGCGAGGCGTACAGAATTAACCCCCGGTTGTATCCATTAATTAGCGCCCTTCCGTCACCTGCCACACACGGATCTTATGATCGGAATAGCCAGCAAACAATGTCTGGCCATCGGCGGACCAGGCCAGTGTTAAGCACTGCGCCGGGGCGGTCTGTTTCCGGCCGCCGGCACTAACCGGACTATCCAGCACCAGCGTGTCCACCACGGTCTTTCCTTCCAAATCCTACGAAAAATATCAAAACGTTAATTATTTGCGATTCATGTTCTGTGTAACATTTAAGTGAACGATCACTTAGGAGAATATGTCAAAAACTGTGCGAAAGAGCAAAGCGGAAAAGGAAAAGATCGCGTAAAACCAAGAAACCATATATTTACAAAGTTCGACGACAGAGTTAGTTAGTCGCTTGACATTTTACCCAGCATTATCAAGAATGTATCAAATTAAGATAATGTATTTAATATTGCACTAAAGTTCAATTTTTGAAAATTTTACAAGATGAAAAGCCCATATTTCGACTGAACGTAATTAAGCATCCCGATCCCCGTTTCTCCCTATGGAGCAGCGCGGCATGACTGGCGGCACATCCGCGTTGCCACCAAGCGCTTAATCCCGTATTAACACACTGCCTGCGGTTTCAATTAGCGTGCTCAACAAAACGAGATTAAGAGATACACTTTTCAATACACCGGCGTCCGCATTATGTGTTGCGTGACGTGCATAACGGACGGTTCAACCGACGTATAATCCTCCCTGATCAAGCAATCAGTAACTATCGCACATCAACTCAGGTATCACTTACCACCGAATGCCAAATTATTTCAATTTCGTCATACCGATCCCGAGATTTACGCAAACAACGTGCACTTACCCAGATTTTCACTGTGGAGCCAGCGGCGGCGCACAGCCAGTAACGGTTGGGACTGAACACCAGCGAATTGATCATGTCGCCGGCTTCCAGCGTGTACAGATGTTTGCCTTCATTCAAATCCCACAACATCGCTTGACCGTCCTGCAATACAATTTCCCCAGGAATTAATATCCGAAATAATACACCACATCGTGATATCCGCAACAAGAAAATCAGACTGACGCAAATTCTGCAAAGCTACATGTTTTCCAGTTATTACAACAAAACGACAGAAGCATTAGCAATACCAGTACAAGGTACAGATCTGAATGCTTAAATCCTTTAAATACTTAACGACCCGAATAAAAAGCGAAGCTCGAAAATTATGCAAATCAGGAAAAAAAAGTATGAACCGGACAGTTTCATGTACAATGTAATTATTAAACACAAAAAAATTTCAGCATGTAACAATACTGTGGCAAAAGGACTATATATTATTACCTTTCCTCCAGACGCGCACAAAGAACCGTCAGGAGAGACGGTCACGGTGTTCAAAAATCCACTATGACCAATGTGATTGGTCTTGAGTTTGCAGTTGGTCAAATTCCAAACCTAACACACAAAATTTTTGAAATTTTAATCTGATGTGCATCTGGCAAGTTACATTCACTGCACCTTAACAATCTTGTCCCAACCGGCCGACACAATCAACGGATTCTGGCTGGACGGGCTGAAGCGTACGCAGCTAACCCAGTCCTGATGGCAGTCTTCGGTGATGGTGTACTTGCACTGTGCCAGCGTGTTCCACAGCTTAATGCTACGATCGCGAGATCCACTGACAATCTGGCGATTGTCGGCTGAGAAAGCCACACTCAGCACATCCTTATTATGACCAACAAAACGGCGTGAAGTTTTGCCACTGCAAGCAGCACAAACAAGATATAATTCAAGTAAAAATGGTGAGAAAATTATTAATAAAATAAAAATCACTCAACGAAACGGCAGTGAATTTTGTGTTAAACAAAGCGAAACACAAAATAAATCCCTTAAAAAAGCTTAAAAATCCGAAAAAAAAATAAGCAAGTAAAATATCATCGCTGGTAATTTTTTTAAAAATTATTGAGTCCTGAAAACGTAGGACGGATGAATCACATGCACTGAGAACCATAAATCGGTAAAAACCGTGCGTAAAGTTTTTGGTGATAAATTCATCAAACACGCTGCTTTTAGATAAGTTTTCTTTTGTACGTACGCGGTAAGGTCCCACAGACGAAGCGTATGATCCCAGGATCCGGAGAGAGCGTACAAACCATCGGAGGACAGGACGACATCGCTGACGAACCCTCCGTGTCCGTGCAAGGACTTTTGGGGTATTCCGAAGTTTTCTCCCTCGCGATTCTCCCGATTCAACTTCCACATAATCAGAGTCTTATCTACATGAAAATTTCGTGTCAGAAATACCAAAAATCACAGCAAGAGCATCAGATTTACCGCGCGAGGACGACAGGATCATGTCGGGATACTGGTTGTTGGTGGCGATCTGTGTCACCCAGTTGTCGTGTCCGCGCAGTTCGCTGCGCAGTGTCAGCTGTTCGGTGGATTTCCCTCCTTCCGGCATGTTTGAATCGAATGATTATTATGAGCAGAATAGGAAAAATTCGGATTATGAATCCTCTAAATAGCTTTAAAGGAATATTCACGTGCGATCCTCCCGACTAAAATGTCTGCAGCAATCAGTACGGACACACCGGTGCAAGTGCAGATCCGACGATTTGACGATGTGGTAGACCGTAAAGTAGACAGCCTAGTGCAGCGAGCTGTGCCTGAATATTTAGTGGGTATGCGGTTGACTAAACCGAGAAATTTTTGAAAGGCATAGTTCGACACGCCACTGACAGGAAACGGATCACGTTCACTACGTTCGATTCAAAATCGGCATAGCTATCCGGTAGGTTACTCACCAGTCAGTTACTGTACTTACTTATTTGGCATGAAATGCTGTACTTACCTATTTGAACTGGTAGTCCTTTTTAAAACTTAAAAGTTCTAACAATTAATTGTGCTACTCATAAACAGTTTTTCGACTTCCGGTTAAAGTTATCTGCGAAACAGATTTCTGATACAATTTTCTCGTTTTATTTTGTTACAAAATTATCTTTCTCGTATACCAAAGTCAAAAGATGCGGTTAGAGAGAAGCACAATATTGCATCTGGTTAAAAGAGAACAACAACATAATTTACTTGAATATTACAATATTCATCCCGGCGACAGCGCCGGCAATGAAATAACATGCGTAAAAACATTACAGCGTAACTACAATGGAACCCGAAAAGGAGCGCCGCTAGCGCCATGAACACGCAAATGTCCACTAACAACTCCACAATCCGTCAACGACAAGTCACAGCGAGGCTATAACGGTCCACCTTGATGTCCCCAATATTGCGCCTGCGGTCCCTTGTTCTGTTTGTTGCTGGAAACATTCTGCGCATTCATCGCTGAGACCTGCTGTACCGGCTGCTGGATGGGATGCACCGCCTGCTGCGTCATGATCGGGAAATATCCGGTCGTTGCGTACGCTCCCGGCTGTTGATTGCCCATTGGCATTCCGAATCCAGGCGAAGGCTTATCAAACTACGTACGAAAATAATAAACATATAATACATAACGAAATATTATCATCAATACTGTTCATTAATGACTGAACCCATATTTCATTTTATACAATTAACAATAAGATAAACAATTAACAATAAGATTGCAATAACAATAACAATAGCAATAACAATAAGATATACAGTATGTACAAACATCGCTCCTAAAAAAACTACTAAAACTTCTTCCGCTTAGCAAATAGACAATATGTTAGTTCTTTACCTTATTCACAGGCTTATTGTAGTACCCACTCTGCAGATCGGCACCACTAAGCATTCCTGGACTTCCAGCATCTGTAAATTTTTCAGCAAACAATCAGCATCGAACTGAATATGGACACGATTCACACGAACTGCCATTCAAACACTACGAGTACGATGAAGTTTTGAACCATTGCTGTGCAACTTACAAGTCTCATTGCCCTGTCCTCTTAATCCTACGTAAGTGTTGGACGCTCTCGTCACATCACCCAGACCGCTCATATCTCCGTAAGTATTTCCGGAATAGCTGTTTCCCAGACCGCCACTACCCTTCGGATAATTCGACTGCATACCAGAATACATCTGTGTCGTATACTGTTGAAAGTTCTGTGCCACCGGGGGAGAGAACACTTGGTACGGTCCAGGATACTGGTTCATCTGATGCGGTCCAACTAGGCCTTGCTGTTGGGATACCTGCACCTGCTGATTCGCCAATACCGAATCATTCCGATACTTGTAATCACTGGTTGAGGAATAGCCTAGAGTGTTGTCACGGCCTTGCATGTGGCCCTGGTAAGAATAGTCCATTGGGATAGCGGGCTGCAAATTGTACAAATAATTTACACATTATGCATCTGAATCCGCAACGAACGTCCTCTGCTAATGCAAGGCATACAATTCAAATTTTATGTTCATATTCGCTAACAGAACGGTTACCTGCATCACATTATGTAGTCTGGGATCGTTCATGCCATCCAAACTCGCGGAATACATAGGATGGAACATCTGCATGGTGTTCTGTTGTGGAAACGGTTGCTGTTGAATGAACGGTTGATTCATCACGGACTGCGTCACGTTGGGCTGATTTCCTCCGTACGGAGACTTCGAACCTTGAAGCAATCATTCTTAGGTCATCCATTCAGACATAAATCAGAAATTTGCGGATGATCTTACTCATCGAAGTCGACGGAATTGCTTTCGATGTGCTGTACACCGGTGTCGTGGAGGACGCCGCCATGGATCGCTGCGGCGACACCGTCACGGTGGTCGGCAACGATGTCGGTGTGGCTTGCGGCATCAGATTCGCAGCACTCTCTTTAGATGGTGTGGACTGGAAACCGGAATACGAATTGCGGTTGCCCGCCTCGCTGGACAGATTCCCGTACGCCATGCTGGTCGGCGTCGTTGCCGTCGGTTTCACCGGTGACGCCGAGGGCATCTGCTGGCCGGCCGCGTGGGAGGTGGCAGGATACCCGGCTGCCTGGGAAGCGGTTTGCGGAATATGTCCGGTCGAAGGAGACACCGCCTGATTCGCGGTCTGCGGAGGACGCTGTGGAGATTGCTGTACAAAGGCCGATGGAGCGCTGAATTTCTCGGCCGACTGCGGAGAGGCTGTCGGTTTCTGCATTCCCAGACTTGCCGCACTACTGGGATTCGCTCGTACGTCTTGACTAAAAACGCCGTCACCAAAGGCCGCGGGACCGGCCGCTGTAAGCCCATGCTGCGGCGTGGGTACCGGACCGGAAACGACCGGAGCATTCTGGATATTCCTTGCTGAATACGTGTTTGTCATCATATCTGCAACCCACAAGACTCAAATAAAATCCAGTACACAGCAATTCAAGCCTGTTGTACTGTACCGTTCTGAGAATTCGTGAACGTTTTCGACTGCATGGGACCTGCAAAGGCACCGGCATTCTGGAACGTCTGAGATTTGACAGAATCGGCGGCATTTATAGGCGCCGCATGGATATCTGGTCTTTGTTGCTGCGATGCTTCGTTCCGCGTCGATCCAAATTCTTGTGCACTAAAACGGATCCATCACTTGTAATTTTGCCATACACGAATAAGTACTATTCGACGCCCATTGTTAAAAATTTCGCAACCAGCAACCATACCTGGGAACTGCACTATCACTTGCAGCATTCGCAAACGTATTCCTCGAGGAAAACGTCTGACTTTGGGACGGACTGGAAAACTGATTCGCCGAATTTTCAAGAGGCGGCAGTGAACGGTTGAAAGTGAGACTTCCCAACTGGGAATTGATCTGCGCTACATCGCTCTTTCCCTCCTGCAAAACCAGACATAAACAACAACTGCACAATGTAAGAGAAAAAGCGGCATAGACCTACAGTAAGGAGACTAGAACCGGGTAATCCGGGCCCCGACTGCGTATCCGACAGATTTCCCGATGGCACTGCGTTACCCTTAGATGCGGCTGGACTGCCGGCAGCAGTAGCATTGGTCTCCATCCCGCGTTGTCAGGTGTGGGACGCGGAGGTGTGCTAGCGAAGGATGGATTGTTACCGGTCCACGCTGTTTGTTTCTGTACCATCGCCGAAAATGTGGGACTGCAGGGAAAGTAACCGTTTAAAACCTGAACTTACACTGGCAAACTTTCACGCATTACATACCCGGTATTATAATATAATTTAAATGAGTTTTTATAGCGTTAACATAGTAATATACATACCCCGACGTAGTTGCCGTGGATGCTGTCTGTTGTGCTGCAGGATTTGCACCTCCAAATGGCTGCGGTGGTCCCGAAGGTGCTGAGCTTCTAGTAAACACTTTTGTCTCTCGAATCTGCAACCGCAAACACAATTGCACATGAACTGACCAAAAGCTGGTACCAAAATTTTCTCACATCTTCTTTCCAATCATCATCTGTGTCTTCCCATGAATGTTCTCCTCCTCGCCCTTTTGATGGATCTCCGCCACCCTTAACGCGGGATTCCGATACGGATTTATTAACAGGAGATGCTGGCCGGTCGCGATTTGGCGGCTGCTGAGAACGACTGGGCGGCGCTCCGTTCGAGGAATCTGTGTTCAATGACAAAATGAGTAACTAAGCGCCAAATAAATGTTAGAATCACCAAACGAACTTTGATGCGCATCTTGTGGAATGAATCCGGATTTCTGCATGGTCTGTACACTGACTTTTCCGCCCCGATTACTGGTACTACGCTGCTGCTGACGACCCCGTCCCCTTCCCATTCCGAAAGGCACGTTGGATCGTTCGTCCGTTTCCTGGTCTTTCTTCGCTTTCGGCACTTTTTTACCTTTTTTCCCTGTGGTTTCCCATTCGCTCTACATACACAATATTGCTGCATAAAGACAATTTAAATTAACTCTAATCAAAATTTACGGATAATACCTTTAATTCTCCGCCTTCTAACAAAAGATTCACTGCCGCTTCCGTATCATTACCAGTATCGTGAAGCGCAATAATGGCATCGTCTGAAGAACATCCCGTCAGCTCCATGACCTAAAAACGTACAGCGTTTGCAGAGTTTGCAATAGTCAAGAGACCTCAAACCGAATGGGATGGCACTTCTACGAGTAATTGCATTATTATCGCTTAAGCAAACGTTTTATCCAGTAAGCATGCTATTACTAACTCCAGAATCCTACACAGACAAGGGAAAAGTGTATACGTATTAAAACTCCATCTCGACTATAAAAGCACCACTACGCCATGGCTATCAGTCTATTCACTTCACTACACATTTGAATACAATGCTGCAGTGTAACTACAGATGCCGATTTGGGAGTATTTCAAATATCACGTTCGTTAGCAAATCTCGAATCGGTGATAGCACCTATATCTTGCAATTCAAAATTTCGGTAAGAAATAATTACTGCATGAATGTATCAATAAATTACATATAAGTTGCCCAGGGTCGTAGACTTAGCTGCTTATAAAAACTGAAATTTTTCCAGAAATATGTAATCTGAATAATAATTATACGGAAGGATAGATTAAGGGCTTTAAGGCTCATCAAGTTGTTTTTATGGGCAAATTAAACTTGCGTAATTATGGGCAAATCAAATTTATATTAGTGTGCTTCTGCTAGTGCTTTTGGTAACTTTGATGAGCTTATTAAAAAGAGAGACCTGCCTTAGTGGCTGCTGCCTAATAATTAACAACAATATTCTAAATGCAGTTCATGATAATAACCGATAACGCAACAATCAAAATCTATTGCGCCATACCGCGTTATTAGCACAGACACATTCCCATACCTGCTGCGCTTTTTCCTGAAGTGCGAGATCCTTCCCGGAGGAGTTCTGAAACATCTGTGCCATGCGCAACTGTTCAGCGGTAGCCTGGGGTGCCTTTGACGAGACGGTCTGACCAGACGTCGAGGGAGTTTCCGCTGTTTTATCCGCTTTCTTCACATCCTGCACGGGCTTGCGTTCGGCTTGGCGTCCGGGAGTACTGCGCGCTGCGGACGGCGCCGCTTTCACACTGTCCTCATTCTCCTTGCCCGTCTTCGGAGCTCCTTGGCCTTGGGGAACCCCAGGACGAACTGGAGTACCCTTCTGTGAACGATTGGCACGATCGCCAGCCATCTGAGCGTCAGATTGTTCCAAAACCGTTGGAGGCATTTATACAAAGGGAGCGGTCAAAAACCTATCCGAAGAAAAACGTTTTGTTCGAAGATGACGAGTGAAGAAGTCCATACAGTGCGTACGCTGCTAACGTGCGCCATAATTCGTGCGTCATGAAATTCGTACCAGGAAGGAAAGCAGTTCCTAATGGCACACTTGTATACGAAACTTTCACTCACAGTGATTAATGATTTACAAAGCTGTGGAAAAGATTCAAACTTTAAAGCAAATCATAACAGAATGCCCAAACAAAAAACAACGAAATATAATCAAAAGTTCAAAACCTAGAAACCAGTATTAAAAGTGCCAGTGTGCCACTCTCGCTAATCGAAATAACCACATCGACCTAGGGACAAGTTAAGTATTGTGGACGGTATTTTTTTGCTGCCTAACTTTACCCAGTTCAAAATTACCTGTAGGTAGACGTTTTAAGGTCTGTACTCACCGATTTGAAAAGGAATTAACAAATAATTACTCACAAAATTTCAGAATCAAAAAATGGATACAAACTTTTTCGATTTTGCGGAAAATATGAAATGTTATGAAGGTGCGTGATGCGGTTCTGTGTAGAGCGATTAGTCATGGCTCACGGTACGCAGCAGGCGTACCACAAGACGTAATACGTACCGCACATACGTCGTCGGGTACTTACGTTACGACTAGCGTTTCGCAAGTCGCAGTGCCCGCCTTCAAGTTTAGTCGATTTTATCCGAAGCAAAATATATCTGGATGCAAATACAGTATATTCGAAGAAAAATATATCCTGTCCCCGGGCAAACAAATGATTTCTTTTATATTCTTTAGGATTATTTCGAACAAGCAAAATAATTATGTGAAATGCATGAGCATAACCACACAGGAAATAGAAATTTGATGGATATTTGGGCAATGCAAGCCGCAGCTGGTCAATGTTCTGTGTTCATCCGCTAACTTATTTACCAGAAAAAAACGTAGAATTATGGGAGGACATATTTTTAAATCATATTTTGAAATACATAAGTTTGTTTTTGATTGTCTTTCGTAATGCAGGTCAGCAAGTGCAGTCTGTAGTGGTTTCTCTTGAAGCCAAAAAATTATGATCACAGGAAAACCGTGAACAGTTGAAATTTGCCGCTGCTATTAGGGCGCCATCTATCGCGTACTGCAATGAATCACCCGTACGCACGAGCGCACAGGGATCGCATACCATCGTTTTAAATGCATTTGCCTGATCGCTGCCACAGACCAGCAACAAAATTTTGAAACATTTTATTTTAATCCACGATCGTAGCGGATGTTATTTACGGGTTTCTTCCGCCTGTTGTGTTTACTATATCTACCACGATTTTGAAGTACTTTGTAGTGTGCATGAAAGAGTAATTGTGGTCACAGTTTGATATTCTGTCCACTCAGGAGGTACGTCGCAGTTATATTGCATAGTGAACCCAGTCTGGTTGTCAACAACGTGGAGTATCCGCTGTTTCCCATAGGGCTACTCTTCTTCCCCCCTTTACAACATCCCGTGCGCCTCCCTAATCTCGTTAAAATGGAAGAAAAAACGCAGTTAAAGGATCTGGACGCGTGGATTGAGCAATTGAATGACTGTAAACAACTAACGGAGATGCAAGTCAAACAGCTCTGTGATAAGGTACGTTTTGGGTGCATAAGGTTCTCCGCTGATTGGCATGGCATAGATGGTAAAAACCGGTAAAAACTAATTAACTGTGGGATGGCAGGGTGTGGTTACATAATGAGCATAGAAATTTACGTTGATAGCACCGGAAAAGTGCTCCCGATATGGATGTCGCTGGTCGCAAATTGAATCTGACGGGGACATTTACTCTAATCCACCCAGTAGGCTTATCGATTTTCGTAATCCACGCATATATAAAGTACTTTCTACCGTCACAGTGACGTGCACAGACTAGCCTATTAATTAATTGCATTTCTGTGCCAGAAACAATAAAAATATCGAAGTGAAATATTTTATGTTGCTTGCTGATGATTTCGTTGAATACAGTAATTATACAGGATAATATAAACTTATAGAGGGCTTATAAAACAGCATGTCGCTTTCATAGTTTACTGTAGGCTGGAAACATAAAAAGCGCGGTCTTGCATCGCATTTTTTGTAGTTTTATTATTTTGTAGTTGATAATTTGCTTAAAGTTAAACACTATTGCATTATGTAGTTGTATTTGTTATTACTGAACTTTTTCGTTGGTAGTTTCTGGAATTTTTTGGGAATAGATGATGCGCTAAAAAACGCAAGTGCTGTTGAGGCACTCCTTAGAATTGTGAAATTCTGTTTGCTTTAGGCCAAAGAAATCCTTTCCAAAGAAGGGAATGTTCAGGATGTCAAATGTCCAGTCACAGTATGCGGAGATGTTCACGGCCAGTTCCATGACATGATGGAGCTTTTCCGGATTGGCGGCAAATCTCCCGACACAAATTATCTTTTCATGGGTGACTACGTCGATCGTGGTTATTATTCGGTGGAGACGGTCACCCTTTTAGTTGCTCTAAAGGTAAGTCCTGTACAGAAATACGGTGCCGGTTGACTGGAATTTGATTGAGAATACCAGGAGTTGTTTCGATAATTTGCATAAGGAATTGTTCGAGTATAGTAGATAATATTATCGATAAAGTTTGGTTTTATATCTGTTTCATGTGCTGGTTTCCTTAAGATGTTTATTTATAGGTCCGATACAAGGATCGCATCACAATTCTCCGCGGCAATCACGAGAGTCGACAGATTACCCAGGTGCGACCGCGGTTAGCGCGCTCATTGACCAGCGTTGAATGTTGTAAGTTTATATTAATGATGAAGTGTGATGGAATGTAGGTGTATGGATTTTATGATGAATGCCTCCGTAAATACGGAAATGCAAATGTGTGGAAGTATTTCACCGACCTGTTCGACTACTTACCACTGACGGCTCTAGTCGATAACCAGGTACAGAGTGCATTATGAATTATGGATGTAATGAGCTCATGCACGTAACGACACACACAGTCACTTATATCATTGACACACTTTATCAATATTTCTTATCGTTCGAAACGGTTTGAATTGTCGAATAGATCTTCTGTCTGCACGGAGGCTTATCTCCCTCCATTGACACACTGGATCATATTCGCACGCTGGACCGTCTTCAGGAGGTGCCCCACGAGGGACCCATGTGTGATTTACTGTGGTCCGATCCGGATGATCGCGGCGGATGGGGAATTAGTCCACGCGGTGCCGGTTATACATTCGGCCAGGATATCTCGGAGACATTCAATCATACCAACGGGTTAACGCTGGTTGCGCGTGCCCACCAGCTGGTTATGGAGGTAAGAGCAGTCGCGGTTTGCCGTGTGCGTTAATTGCTGGAAGAGATGGTGCATGGGTTTAATGCAGGATTCAGTAGCCACTGAGAGTTTAATGGGTAGTAAAGCGTGATTGTATGCGTGATGTGCGGTCCGATGTGATCGTTATCGATTTTCGGTCTTCTGTGGTCTCGTAAAGATTTCCGACAATCTCTGTTTTCATATAATGGGAACATCATGGATAAGCATTAGCATCGAGTGCAGTGTTATCGATTTTGCAGGGTTTGTACCGGTATATCCTGCCCAGTAATTCTTTTAATATTACGCTGGCTCTGGCAATTTTCCTTGTGCTTTTTCCGCTTATTTTTAGTATTAGAAAAACTGTTTCGACTTTTCAGTGAGGATTTACTTGATAAGTTTTCCGGAAACTTGTGTATTGCATTACGTAAAGGAAAATTGACTGATCTAATGGGGAATTCTCTTCCTAACAGGGCTACAATTGGTGTCATGAGCGCCATGTAGTGACGGTATTCAGCGCACCTAATTACTGCTACCGATGTGGTAATCAGGCAGCCATCATGGAATTGGATGATTGCCTGAAGTACACCTTCCTCCAGTTTGATCCTGCACCCCGGCGCGGTGAACCTCATGTTACTCGCCGCACTCCGGACTATTTCCTGTAACTTCACTTTTAATTTATGAGTTAACACAATAATGAGAAGACAGACGAGATAATTATTGCAGCATCTGTGTACAGATTTGTTGTAGTACGTTGTACGCAGAGGGTATTTTTCGGCTTTCCTGCTACCTTTAATTGTGAACGCTTAATGTGTCAGCGGCGCTTCGTAAGGGTTCGATAATGTTCAGTTAGCGGAGTACTTAGTAGCACTCTTTTTGTCGCGTTTACTAGATTTCTCTCAGCACGTGCGGATTTTTGCGTTTTTTCGCTGGACTTTTTATTGTGAAAGATTGGATTAGATTGGATTCGGATGTTTAACATTGCCGTTTTGTGTCTACATAAATTTTGAATATGGGACTTATTCCTGATTTGAACTGAAGTAGTCGCAACTACACTAATTTAGCATATTAGCTTGTATTCCATCATCCATGAACGGAAATCTTCATCGGTTTCTTTTCTGTAGAATCGTATGTTTCTGGATTCGACGATAACAATTTAAGTTACTACAGAAGTGCAGTATGTAACAGACTGTATGTTCATCGTCCCCTCCATATGTTTCACATTCGCATGACGTACGTATCCGAGAAATTTAACAAAGACTTCGATATTACCAGATACAGATAATCATAATATTGCTGTTACCAAAAAAAGAGGTACAGTAGTACAAGTACAACAAATATTCAATCAAAATATATTCATAAAAGCTAAAACATTCTCAAAGGCTTGAAAACAAAAATTACCAGTAGGAAAACAAAATATATGACAACCAACAATACAGTAAAGGAATCGGAATCTAGTCCCCGCAACAATTCTTGGTCCCTGTCGACTTCACAACCATCTGCAAACGAATCACTGTTAACCTCAGAATTCAAGAGGTTCGTTCGGCATGCACAACCGTATAATAAACCAACTTACTATAGATTTCAACGTTAAGCAGTTTATATAATTATAGTAAATGGCACATTTGTTAATCAATAAGCAGTTATTAATTACCTTTCTAATAATCTCAAGCCGCACTGACCTGAAAACGCTCTAAAGATTCAAAGTCAGCTCAAATCATGAACTACCACCTTTATGTACCACCACGGTCGTGCACAAAGCAGTACATCCAGGTAGCTAAATACAGCGATACCATAAACAAGAAAAACCATTTCAAACCGACAGCTTACCTGCTTAATGCCAAGATAACATATAATAAACGGGAGTTGGCAGATTATTCAGTTTTTCCGGCCAACCGAATGATCCTTTCTCAGCGCTTGATGCGACTGGAGGGCATGATAAAAGGTGTCGATTGGGGACCAAATAAATAAATCGCACACTACTCGCTCCTCGGCCGACCAGCTCACCGCTTTTGCGGTTCTTGCGCCCTTTTGACTCCTCTACACCGAAAATCTCCGCGTTGCATACATAGCGTACAAATGTAAACAGATGATCCATATCAAATGCTTTCTTTTCCTTAGCGGTCGTAATTTGGAAAAACTGAACTTCATTGCTTTCTACGTCCAGAAACGCAGCGTCAAACGCTGGATGGTACGCAGATACCGGAATCATCCAGCAATTTCGCCTACGCTCCTTAGCGTCCGAAAATGCGGTATTTCCATTACCATATTCAAAGTAAAATACGTCTCGTGCGCATTCAAGCCGCAGGATTTCCGCAGTCGTAGAGTGTTCAATATCGAAGTAATTGGCGTACACAGGCCCTCCGGTGTGTGTTCCGTGACGGATTGTAGCTATCACAAACCACTCGAAATAGATTCCAACTACTGTGCAATCCTGTAACAGTGACAAATTGCAAGCTTTCTGGACGACATCGGGAAACACATCTTTCTTCAACTGGTTCTCAACATAAGCACTAATATAACACGGGACGGCTTCTTTGCCAATGCGTTGCAAACCGATCAACCTGCTTAAGGTAGAAAGCATAACGACGTCAAGGCCATTCACGTGTTCGCCCCGGGACAAAGACATCAAAGAAATGCCTAAATCTTGCTCCACCGTTTCGAGTGATACAAAAAATATATTGCGCACCGACATCCCGACACGGTCAAACTTTACCCGGATCATATCTTTTGCTTTTTCTTTCGTGAAGTCCTGTTCATCGCAGCGAGGATCCACATAATTTCGGTAGTCATTCCACAATGTGATTTTGACAGAGGAAAAAAAATTATCACACTCGATGGCGTACTCCAAGTCAAGCAATTCCCACGAACAATGCCGTAAGACTCCGTAGTCACCGTGTTGAATTTTGGTCAAAAACACATGAAAGGAGGATACATACAACAATCTGCGCTTTGGACGGGTTTCTTCGGCCGTTCTCCACCAATCGAATCTTCTGCGAACATTTTCGTCAAATCCTGTTTGGGTGTATCCGTCAATTACGATAACGCATGATTCATTGGTGTCTACTTCGTCGATCAATTTTTTGGCGGTCTCAACATCCAGAACCTCAAATTCCAAAGACTTAATCTGAAGACGCGCTCCGACTATATGAAAGTCAATACAAATTCCAGTATATTTTCCAGGCAATCGGATCCATCGGACTCTAAAACGACCGTCCAGTGCAGTACAGATTGCAAACCCGAAAGTTGTGTTCGTTTTCCCGGCTCCGGGAGGACCGAGGATGAAATACGTGTGGTTGTGATTAGAGGATTTGTTGAGGATTTCTGATAATTCTCTCCACAAAATCTTGTACTCATTACGTTTGAAAAGGAAGAGGTTGGAACCACTGGAAGTTGGACGCAACTTCGCTAAGTCGGCTAAAAATGCTGGGATTTCCCCCCAGTCCGTCGCATTTTCAATCTTTAAAGACTCAACTTTATTCCTGTCCACGGGATCGTCCTTGTATTTCCAACTGTTTGCGCATGCTTTTTCTGTACAATTCAGGAGAAAACTGCAAAAATACACACGCACTAGAAAAAGCGCAGTCCAAACATACCTGGTGATCCGCTTGATGAATCCCCTTTTGGTCCATCAAAAACACTTCCAGTATTATCCCAATACCGACCGCGAGATCCGCTCGGCAGCTGCATGTCATCATGCACAATGTGACAACTGGCGACACATGCTGAATTATTTCTACAAGCAAGCAATCGTAAACTAACTACCACCATCTTTCATAAATTCCAATATTAATAAAAAAAACAGGTAACAGGTTTCAGCTAATACCAGTATATCGTACAATTCCCAAAATCAAACGCGATTATAATACGACGAAAATTATCGCATATGTAAATACAAAAATACCTCAGGATTACTAATTTCATTTTTCTCACTATTGAAACACACCTGGGTACTGCACTATCACTAGAAGCATTCGCAAACGTATTCATGGAGGAAAACGCCCGACTTTGGGACGGACTGGCAAACTGATTCGCCGAATTTTCAAGAGGCGGTAAAGAACGGCTTAAAGTGAGACTTCCTAACTGGGAATTGATCTGCGACACATCGCTCTTTCCATCCTGCAAATTCAGCCGTAAACAGCAACCGCAAAATGTATCTAATACAAAAATGCGGTGTTGATTTACAGTAAGGAGACTAGAACTGGGCAATCCGGATGCCGACTGCGTATGCGACGGATTTCCTGGTCGCACTGTGCTACCCTTAGCTGCGGCTGGACTACCGGCTGCGACAGCATTGATTCTCCGTTCCGAGTATTCAGCAGCGGGACGCGGAGGTGTGCTAGCGAAGGATGAATTATTACCGGTCCACGCTGTTTGTTTCTGTACCATCGCGGAAAATGTGGGACTGCAGGGAAAGCAAGAATTTGAAATCTTAGCTTACACTGGCAAACTTTCACGCATTAAATGCCCGGTATTATAAAATGACTTTTTAATTTTTATAGCGTGAACATAATGATTTACATACTCCGACGTAGTTGCCGTGGATGCTGTCTGTTGTACCGCAGGACTGGCACCTCCAAATGGCTGCGGTGGTCCCGAAGGCGCTGAGCTTCTTGTAAACACTATTGTCTCTCGAATCTGCAACCGCAAGCATAACTGCAAATACAATAAACAGAAGTTAAAACTTTATCTCACATCTTCTTCCCATTCATCATCTGTGTCTTCCCATGAATGTTCTCCTCCTCGCCCGGTCCACGCTGTTTGTATCGCCGAAAACGTGAGACTGAAGGGAAAGCAACAATACAAAACCTTAACTTAGACTGGCAAACATCCAAGCGTTACATACCTGGTAAAGCCGGTATTATAAACGAGTTTTTATAGCGTTAACATAATAACAATTAACATACCCCGACATAGTTGCCGTGGATGCTGTTTGTTTTGTCGCAGGATTTGCACCTCCAAATGGCTGTGGCGGTCCCGAAGGCGCTGAGCTTCTTGTGCACATTTTTGTCTCTCGAGTCTACAACCACAAAACACAACTGCAAATAAAATAACCAGAAGTTGTTTACAAAGTTTGCTTACATCTTCTTTCCGATCATCAATCGTGTCTTCCCATGAATGTTCTGCGCTTCTTCCTTTTGATGGATCTCCGTCGCCCTTAACACGGGATTCCGACACGGATTTATTAACAGGAGATGCTGGCCGATCGCGATTTGGCGGCTGCTGAGACTGACTAAGCGGCGCTCCGTTCGAGGAATCTGTATTGAAAAAAAAAATCATCAGTGACAATGCACCACATATATAACAGAATCACAAAACGAACTCTGGTGCGCATCTTGTGGAATTAATCCGGGTTTCTGCATGGTATGTACACTGACTTTTCCGCTCTGATTACTGGTACTTCGCAGCTGCATACGATCCGGTCCCCTTGCCATTCCGAAAGGTACGCTGGATCGCTTTTCCGTTTCCTGGTCTTTCTTCGCTTTTGACACTGTTTTACGTTTTCCCCCCGTGGTTTCCCATTTGCTCTATTTACAATATTGCGTAAAGACACTTAACTCTAATCAAGATTCACGGATAATACCTTTAGTTCTCCTTCTAACAAAAGATTCACTGCCGCTTCCGTATCATTACCCGTATCGTGAAGCGCAATAATGGCATCGTCTGAAGAACATCCTGTCAGCTGCATGACCTAAAATACGTAAAGCGGTTGCAGAGTGTGCAATACTCGAGAGACAACGGAACCGTTGGATGGTACTTCTACGAGTATAAAGTGCATAATATCGCTTACGCAAAATGTTTTATCAGTAAGCATGCTACAGTATTACTCACAACAAAATCCTAGACTGACAAGGGAAAACAGTTTGTATGAATTAAAAGTCCATCCCGACTGTAAATGCACCACTATGCTATGACTATCCGTCTATTCACTTTACTACACATTTAAATGAATGCAGATTTGGGAATACTTACTATATTTCAAATCTTCCCACATTCATTAGCAAATGTCGAATCTGTGATAGAACTAAATCTTGCAATTCAAAATTTTTCGGTATTAAAGAAATAATTACTGCACGAATCCATCGGTAAATTACAGATAATAATGCTTATAAAAATGCAATGAATTTGCCACTAAAATTTTTGCTTGACTAATAATAATACATACGCCAGGACTCAGATTTTGATTTTTTCAGGGTTCAAGTTTTAACTGCGTATTAGTTTGCATTTGCTGGCGCTTTTAGTAAGTTTGATGGCTCTTACTGTACCTATTAAAGAGAGGGACCTGCCTAAACACTTAATTAACAATTTAACAGTAACACACGAACAATATAATTCCTGGGAATAGCGCAACAACCAAAATCTAGTGCGCCATACCAAAATTTATGCAGAGATACAAATCTCCATACCTGCTGCGCTTTCTCTTGAAGTGCGAGATCCTTCCCGGAGGAGTTCTGAAACATTTGTGCCGTGCGCAACTGTTCAACGGTAGCTTGAGGTGAACTGGATGAGACAGTCTGTTCAGATGTCGAGAGAGTTTCCGCTGTTTTATCCGTCTTCTTCACATCCTGCACGGGTTTCCGTCCGGCCTGGCGTCCACGAGTATTGCGCATCTCGTACGGCGCCGCGTTCCCGCTTTCCTCAGTCTTCTTTCTCGTCATCGGAGGTTCTTGGCCATGGGTACCCTCAGGATGAACGTTAGTGGCCTTCTGTGAACGACTGGGACGATCGCCAGGCATCTGCGTCAGCTTGCTCCAAAACCGTTGGAAGCATTCATACAGAGGGAACCGTTCGAAGCATTCATATAAAGGGAGCGGTCAAAAATCTGTCTAAATAAAACGTTTTGTACGAAGAAGGCGATGACGATTGACGAAGAAGTCAACACAATGCGAACGCCACTACCGTGCGTAGTGAAATCCGCAGCTAGATAAACGTTGTGTCATAAAATTCGCGACTGTGAAAGCCCTGAAATCGACCCAGGAATAAAAGCTGCCAGTTCTCAGAATTTAATGATAGTCATTGAGAGCAGAATATACCGTGAAAAATTACCACATACGTCTGCAATTACTCCACTAATCGAAATAAACACATCGACCTAGAGTCTAGGTCCTACGGTAGAATCTAGAGATGAGTTATCATGAGTACTGAAATTAATTGAGGATTGTGGAAAGTATTCTTTTGCTGCCAAAACTTTACAAACACTTTACTCAGTGTACTGCTTAAAATTACCTTTTCGGATACTTGTTAACGTCCGTGTTTACCGATTTGAGAAGGAATCAACAAATAATTACATAGAAAGACAAAGTTCCAGAATCAAAAAAGGGATACAGCTTTCTCGATTTTGATGAAATGTTATCATGTTATGAAGGCATTAGGAGTTAGGACCAGGTGCGTGTGTCTCCCGTAGTGACCGTACAGACTCTAGCACGCGTTCTTCCCTCGTATGGGAACAATGCGTTCATTGGCTGTGATCACAACCAATAGAAACTGCGAAATGGGCTCCATTACATTACCGTCTAGGCGCTACTAATAAATAGGTGCTACTAAATACTTTAATAAATTCGCGTTTGCAACCATGTCTAGGCGCTACTAATTAGGTGCTACTAAATACTTTAATAAATTCGCGTTTGCAATGCGAATTTCGTCTAGGTGCTACTAATTAGACGCTATTAATATTTTATTGCAAATTGCAATGCACGTGCAATATATGTAGGTGCTACTAATTAGGTGCTACAAATATTTCTAGGTTATTTCTAGCCACGTGTAAGTTATGTCTAGGTGCTACTAATTTGGTGCTCTGATATTTTATAGTAATACGATGTAGGTCATGTCTAGGTGCTACTAAATAGGTGGCAATAATATTTTATTGCAGTACAATGCAAATTACTAGTATATCTAGGTGCTACTAAATTTTTTAATAGCAACGCGATATGAATTGAGGTGCTACTAATTAGGCGCTACTAAATATTTTAGTATAATCGAGCCGTGCAATCCGGTATTTCACAATTTCTGTTGGTTGTGATGTTAAATTATCACAGCCAATGAGGGCATTGTTCCCATACGAGGGAAGAACGCGTAGACTCTAGCGGTGTGGGCGCCGCCCTCGGGGTGCAGGTATGTGTAAAACGTATCCACGATGATGACTTGTTTTGAGTTAAAAGTTGCCACACAGGCTGTTCTTTTTAAAAGAAGGTGAGAAAACCTCGTGACGATTTTATCCATTACCTTGCTTTCACCGTTTTGTTTTGTGTTTCTAAACGTGCCATGTTGGTGGTTGCATTTCTTGCATAATATACATTATTTCAATATCCTATGCGCGTGATTTAAGTGAATATGACGAAGAATAAACTTGCCAATCGTCCAGCGAAACCCGATGCCAAAGCAGCCGCCAGTGTCGCTGTTCCGGCAGCGACACTGGCGGATGGGCGACGAGCTGCGGATGAATATCGTCCGCAATATGATGCGGCAGTATCAGCGAACGGGCTTCGTCTGGGAGCAGTATGTGGACGGTGAAGGGAAGGGATCGCATCCGTTTACGGGATGGTCCAGTCTTGTCGTTCTGCTGATGTCGGATTTTTAGTTTTGGTTTTACAAAAGCCTCGGCTCAATATTTTGTTTTTTTAATCTGTATACCATCCCGGTCTGAACTGGGAACTGCCATACAGTTACCGGTGTTGTTTTTATCAGCCAGAAAGCCCTGCTTTCTTTTTTTACAGATGCCGTTTAGTTTTTACGGAACACATCTTTGGGAAGAGTGATCTCCGCAAACCGCGATGATGTCTGTTTCAATCGTGTGTCACTTTATTAAACTTTATTTCTTATTATTTAGTACATCCCTTTAGTAACCTATACGATTGCACTTAATCGAGTGCTGTACTCTTAAGCGCTGTTTTAGTTCTGCTGATTCAGTATTTCCGCACACACACGCACAGTTGGCTGATGTGGTTCTGAAACGAGTTGAGAAAAGGAACTTTAGAGTTAACCGCATTTTTGAACGTAACTGCACGAGTTTGCAATCGCTTCCACTCCATTCCGTCGCTTATCGTCCTGGTCGCCGTGGTCGGTTACAAACTTATGACTGATGCATTCTTTTGCGGCTAATCTGGCTACGGAATGTAGGAAGTACTTTACAGATGTTGGACTGATTTCATTTTATTAAGTAGGAGGCTGGCTGTGCGAGTATTAATAATTTTCTCGCCTTCTTGACATTAAGTATTTTGAGGAAATCATGCTGTCGAGACGTCGAGTGCTGGCCGGGCGAAATTTTAGAAGGACAGTTGAAAACCGCTTCCTGGATAGACCGAGATCAGCGTCGACGATGTGTCGATGTTATCTGACCTTTGAACATTGCTGCGTGAAGACCCTTTCTGTTCCAGACATGGAGATTCGGCATTTCCGCATCCGCTTTTACGTCGCGCCGTTTTTTTGATCCCTGGTCCTTCCGTTGACTTCTTGTTCAAAGGTCCCTGATCACCAAACTTCCACAAGGTATCGTTACTAACTCTACTGTAATATTTTATAACTATTTTGACCACAGTCCAATAGGTGCGCATTATTAACTGGTAAGCTGTGCTTACAATTATGCGGTTTAGGAATTCTAACGATAGGATAGAAATACATACGTCGAATCCCGCAACAACCGCTCACACAAACTTGTCCAGGAAGTGCCTTTACTGACTAATTTTTATTTATTTTATCCAGATTTTTATCCTTGAAATTATACTCTAACAGTGGGATGGCAGTGCCATTAGAGCCGCTCTGCTGTAATTGCTTGTTTTTCCTTGACGTGCACTTACGCATGTCAATATTAATGCGTAGTGCAAGGCGGGATTTCGGGATTTGGCACAAATGGAAATGGAATGTATTTGCTGTACCCGCTAATGCTATCTGCGACATACAGTATGGGCATAGAAAAGGATAATACTTAGTGAATATTAAACTCATCATAATTATTTTGCTTATAATTTTGATTAAGCTTATCATAATTGGAAATTGATCAATTTTAATTATGATCAGCATAATCAAAATTCAACAATTTTAATTAAACTGGAGCATAATTAAAATTGTCCAATTTTAATTTTGCTTATCATAATTAAAATTCAGTTTTCTTTTGATCAGACTATTTTTATTGTTCATAATTTGACTCAGAATTAAGCTTAAGTATAATTAAAATTGACGAATTTTAATTATGCTTAAGCTTAATTAAAAATGCACAATTTTAATTACGCTCAGCATAATCAAAATTGCCATAATTTTAATTGAATTAATCATAATGTTTAATTCCCAGCAAAATTAAGAGTTTAATTATCACTAATAATACTGTATTATCCTTTTCTATGGTATGGGCATTGGGCAGCATGCGTCAAAAAGATGCTGCAATTATTTCCGCAGCATATAAATGATATCAATTTTCTGAATTGTGGCCGAAACTGTTCCGGTTTCCTGTTATTTAATTTTAACTTTCTCACATTTTCCGTGTACTTCTTTTTTATGATAATTTTCACTTGGCTGTTGGCATTTGATTTGCGTTTAGGTTCCCTGGTTTGCAATCGCGTCATTGTACAAAATATCTCAGTCCGTCGTAATTTGTGCGCAGTATTGGTGGATTCAGCCTTAGGTGCTGCTTTCTGCTAGGTTGCATCCTGATTCTGGTTTTCTGGGTTCCTACACATTCTTCTGGAGGCTGTGCTTATTTGAGGTATAGTCGTGGGGGTACAGTGGTACTGATAATTTGCTGTTGGGAAATCACAATAGCTTTGCTTGTTGCTTGCATCTGTACTGATTGGTTGACTATTTTTCAGGTCGCATTTCCTTTACAGTGTGCAACTGCTTTTTGACTGGAACAAATAAAAATGGGAACATGAAGGGGGATGCTGAAAGATTATCTGAAGATTATTCATTAGTATCCGAACTGAATTCGTTAGCAGATTTTTGATCTGCCAATGTCTTTCAAGTTCATTTGACAGGTAAAAGCGAAAACTGGATTGCATCGATCAGTAAATCGCAGTTCCGCAACGTATTATGGTAATTTTGATTTAACAAGAAAACTAAAATACCTTAGGATCTTGATGATGAAAGTAGTAAATGTATAAAACCAATAATTTGTCTTTGCATATTCTCACACACGTCTTGGTGATCGTAAAACAATAAGAATTGTGAAATTCTGTTTGCTTTAGGCCAAAGAAATCCTTTCCAAAGAAGGGAATGTTCAGGATGTCAAATGTCCAGTCACAGTATGCGGAGATGTTCACGGCCAGTTCCATGACATGATGGAGCTTTTCCGGATTGGCGGCAAATCTCCCGACACAAATTATCTTTTCATGGGTGACTACGTCGATCGTGGTTATTATTCGGTGGAGACGGTCACCCTTTTAGTTGCTCTAAAGGTAAGTCCTGTACAGAAATACGGTGCCGGTTGACTGGAATTTGATTGAGAATACCAGGAGTTGTTTCGATAATTTGCATAAGGAATTGTTCGAGTATAGTAGATAATATTATCGATAAAGTTTGGTTTTATATCTGTTTCATGTGCTGGTTTCCTTAAGATGTTTATTTATAGGTCCGATACAAGGATCGCATCACAATTCTCCGCGGCAATCACGAGAGTCGACAGATTACCCAGGTGCGACCGCGGTTAGCGCGCTCATTGACCAGCGTTGAATGTTGTAAGTTTATATGAATGAAGTGTGATGGAATGTAGGTGTATGGATTTTATGATGAATGCCTCCGTAAATACGGAAATGCAAATGTGTGGAAGTATTTCACCGACCTTTTTGACTACTTACCACTGACGGCTCTAGTCGATAACCAGGTACAGAGTGCATTATGAATTATATTATTATGGATGTAATGAGCTCATGCACGTAACGACACACACAGTCACTTATATCACTGACACACTTTATCAATATTTCTTATCGTTCGAAACGGTTTGAATTGTCGAATAGATCTTCTGTCTGCACGGAGGCTTATCTCCCTCCATTGACACACTGGATCATATTCGCACGCTGGACCGTCTTCAGGAGGTGCCCCACGAGGGACCCATGTGTGATTTACTGTGGTCCGATCCGGATGATCGCGGCGGATGGGGAATTAGTCCACGCGGTGCCGGTTATACATTCGGTCAGGATATCTCGGAGACATTCAATCATACCAACGGGTTAACGCTGGTTGCGCGTGCCCACCAGCTGGTTATGGAGGTAAGAGCAGTCGCGGTTTGCCGTGTGCGTTAATTGCTGGAAGAGATGGCGCATGGGTTTAATGCAGGATTCAGTAGCCACTGAGAGTTTAATGGGTAGTAAAGCGTGATTGTATGCGTGATGTGCGGTCCGATGTGATCGTTATCGATTTTCGGTCTTCTGTGGTCTCGTAAAGATTTCCGACAATCTCTGTTTTCATATAATGGGAACATCATGGATAAGCATTAGCATCGAGTGCAGTGTTATCGATTTTGCATGGTTTGTACCGGTATTTCCTGCCTAGTAATCCTTTTAATTTACCCTTACTCGGACAGTTTCTTTTGTGCTCTTCTCGGTTATTTTTAATGATTAGAAAATCAGTTTCGACTCTTCAGTGAGAGTTTGCTTGATATCTAATCTTTTTTTGCCATTAGAAGGTTAAGTTTTCCGGAAACTTGTGTGTTGCATAGCGTAACGGAAAATTGATTGATCTAATGGGGAATTTTCTTCCTAACAGGGCTACAATTGGTGTCATGAGCGCCATGTAGTGACGGTATTCAGCGCACCCAATTACTGCTACCGATGTGGTAATCAGGCAGCCATCATGGAATTGGATGATTGCCTGAAGTACACCTTCCTCCAATTTGATCCTGCACCCCGGCGCGGTGAACCTCATGTTACTCGCCGCACTCCGGACTATTTCCTGTAACTTCACTTTTAATTTATGAGTTAACACAATAATGAGAAGACAGACGAGATAATTATTGCAGCATCTGTGTACAGATTCGTTGTAGTAAGTTGTACGCAGAGGGTATTTTTCGGCTTTCTTGCTACCTTTAATTGTGAACGCTTAATTGTCAGCGGCGCTTCGTAAGGGTTCGATAAGGTTTAGTTAGTGGAGTACTTGGTAGCACTCTTTTGTCGCGTTTACTAGATTTCTCTCAGCACGTGGGGATTTTTGCGTTTTTTCGCTTGACTTTTTATTGTGAAAGATTGGATTCGGATGTTTAACATTGCCGTTTTGTGTCTACATAAATTTGATTATGGAAGTACATTTTCCTGCTTGAGGCACGCGCGATAACACAAATTTATTGCACATTAGCTCATATTTCGACAACGGAATTCAGTATTCATCGCTCGTCGAGTTCTTTTAGGTCAGATATTTATAGTATGCTTCTGGAAACGATAACATCGTAGTGAATTCTGGAAAACCTTTGCACAGTTTCACCCAAAGATATAATATCGTAATATCATGGTAGAAACAAAGTAGAACAATTTATTTAGTAATTTGAGTGCAGTTATGCAAACAATACTTTCCATACTTGTAGATCTACATAGTTATTGGGATGTGTGATGGAAGTATATTTTACAGAATCCTGTATTCACAATACTGTTCACAGAGTACTGCATATATTATATATATTAAAAAACTAAGTTAATATAGTATAACTAAAATTTAACTAAAATAATATAATTTAACTAACATAATATAACTAAAAATTTTAGTTAGTGAATAGTATCTGAATCTGTCGGAGTGTACGCTACCGAATACAGATGAATTGTCACGATAAATTTTTTTTCATTATTATTAGTGCTTGGTGGCCTTGAATGAACTCCGAAAGACGACATACGGTACTTAGGTACTCTGCTTTAGGGTTGTCCGTACTTTTGTTAATAATACAGTTTGGTTTGATGCGGCAGTTCGGCCCGATGAATTCTTTTAATAAAAAAACGGAATCACTAAAGTAACGGCGGTGTGCAATACCGGCATTCAGAAAACAAAATTCGAAAGGAAATCTATTACACTCCTTCCCGAAAGATATACATAATTTTCCAGGGAAAAACTATTAGATAACCAGTAACCATTAATTTTGCCAAACATATAAAATACTCAGTAAATTTCAAGCTCGGGTAGGCTATTATGGGCCGGGAAAATGCCCGGACGAACGATGTTTTCTTTCATTGAAAATCTGTAAATTTTGAACATAGTTTTCTAAGAAGTAAATTCTTATTTCAGCAACTGGAAATTAAGTTAATGCTTGAATAGATGTTGGCTTTACACCCCTATATCTAACTTTTATAGAAAACAATTATGACTGACATATTAAAGTGTTTTACGTAAGTAAATGGAAATTTGAAATCTGATACATGCAGGTATTACAGTAGTAATTATTTAAGGAGGTATTTTATTTATTATTTATTTCGTAAGTAGGTAGTATGTACAAGTCACACTACTATTACAGACTTGAGTTTTTAAATTGTTTTTTAATCGCAACTTCGCAAGCAGCAAACTGCGTGGGCGCCGCCCTTGGGGTGCAGCCTGTGCAGGCTTTGTGTAAAACGTATCCTATCCATGAACTTGTTGATGATGACTTTTGAAAGTTGCCACACAGCCTGATTTGCACGAGTACAATGAGAAAACTGTGTGGTTACTAATTTAATTATGACTTTTATCCATCTAGGTGGCTTGCATTAAATGATTAACCCGTAACCGTTTTGTTTTATGTTTCTAAACGTGCCATGTTGGTGGTTGCATTTCTTGCATAATACACATTATTACAGTATCCTATGCTCAAGATTTAAGTGACTTATTTGACTATGACGAAGAATAAACTTGCCAATCGTCCAGCGAAACCCGATGCCAAAGCAGCCGCCAACGTCGCTGCTCCGCCATCGCACCAGCAGAACGGGAACGCCTCGAGCAAGAATGCTGCGGCCAAACAGGAGCATGCCGCACCCAAAGGATCACGCGGACCACCGGTTAAGAAAGTCCGACCGCGCACCGCCACGTTCAACAAGAGCGCTATTATTATCTCCATCGTGTCGGGCCTGTTGGCCGTCGGAGTGTATCTGCTGCATTCGTATCTGCAGGAGCAGAAGACGCTGTCACCGTTTGCGGGTCCGCTGATTCCGTTGGACCGCAGTTATACCAATAATCTGCTATGGGGAACATATCGACCGGGCGTATATTTTGGTGTGCGCAGTCGCACACCGAATTCACTGGAGATGGGACTGATGTGGTTCTCCTACACATCGTCGCAGTTCGTGCTCCGTCATTTGTGCGATCAGAATGATCGGCTTCTGTGAGTTGGCAAGCTGATACGAATAATCTTGCATGCGTTCCAGGTTTTTCGTTGCATTGTATTGATTTGCCGTTGCAGTTCAAATTTCTCGTTAAAAATTTGCATTTTTTTCCAACCACTTTTTTTTCGTTTTTATCAATTGTGAAATATTTTGAACTTAATGGCTGGTGTTAATTCTGTTTTGTAAAAATGCAATTATTGCTTGCATAAACTAATTTTTGATTTCGCAGAATTGTTTTTGAACGATTTAATGATAATATTAATTTAAAAAGTAATATTAATAATCCTGGTTATATTTGTTGTCCTAAATTCGGATGCAGCAGAATACTTGAAATGGGGTGTGGTTTATCGCTGCTGCGATTTGCAGGTACGGATGGAAAGAGCACGATGGTCGCACTTTCGGCTACCAAGAAATCATGGACGAAAACATCAATATTTCCACCACCTTTCTCAAACGCTACAACGACCACACGAGCGACTGGATATCGCGGCTAAGCATCCATCCTTTATCGACACCCAACGGTGCCGCCGGGAAGACAAAAGTGGGACTCTTCATCTACTTCCGGTTGGAGGATAAAGGCCAACTGACGCCCATTCTCATAGATGGCGGTCTCGTGGGTCTGGAGGGCTCAACACCCTCCCTCGGTGCTTTCAAGGTTAACTTCGTCCAGTACAGTAATCCCATCTCCAGCAGCTTTTTAGCTGCGCAGCTATCCAGTGTCACGAAATTGCGCGATACGATCCTGAACGGTATTACGATGAATGTGGGCAATGCGCTGCGTCTGGTGGGCCAGACGACTAGTCAGCCCAATCTGATTGTCTTCGAGCTGGCGGTTATGCCGAAATTCGTTATGGATTTTGTGTATGAGCCGCTGAAGGCGGATCTGAGTAGTGCCGGACTAGGACAGTTGGGCGATGGCTCTATCGGAGAAACCATCGCCAAACACCGGCAGCGTTTCCGCGAGCGTTTCCGTGCGATGTTCAGGATTGTGGAGCGCGGCTACAGTGAAGCAGAGAATGAATTTGCCCAGAAAGTGTTTAGTAATTTGATCGGCGGGATTGGGTATTTTTACGGGGAGTCACTGGTGAAATCGCGATGGTCCGTAACTCCGGCCAAATACTGGACGACGGGATTGTACACGGCAGTACCGTCGCGCAGCTTCTTCCCGCGAGGTTTTCTCTGGGATGAAGGGTTTCATCAGCTAGTGATTAGTAAATGGGATGTGGGATTGACTCGTGAGATTATGACGCACTGGTTGAATTTGATGAACACGGAGGGATGGATTCCGCGGGAACAGATTTTGGGAGAGGAATCCCGCAGTCGTGTACCGGAGGAATTCGTCGTACAGAACAGTGATTATGCTAATCCTCCGTCTTTCTTCCTGACCATTGAATCCATGCTGGATGGACTGGATCCCGATCGACCGGATGAAATTGACAGAACCCTGAAATTCTTTGAATTCGCCTTCCCACGACTCCAGAAATGGTTTGAGTGGTTTAACACGACACAGCTGGGTCCGGTGCCGGGTAGTTATCGTTGGCGCGGCCGCAATGAGACCACCGAGCGAGAACTGAATCCCAAGACGCTGACCTCTGGTTTGGATGATTATCCACGAGCTTCGCATCCTTCCGCAGAAGAGCGGCATGTGGATTTGTACTGCTGGATGGCGTATGCTGCCGGTATAATGGCGCGCGTTGCCGAAGAAGTCGGTGAGAACGCCGTACCGTATCGCAATACGGAAGCGTATCTGAAGGATAACAATCTACTGAATCGACTGCATTGGTCAGAAGCGTTGAAATTCTACGCGGATTATGGTCGGCACAGTGATGGTGTTCGACTGGAACGGCCCGCCGCGCCACGTTCACAGCGACCGGGTCAACCGCCCGTGCAACTGCCCATGGCACGCATGGTGGATAAGGAACCGGTTGTGGGGCATGTTAACGCTTTCGGTTATGTTAGCCTGTTCCCTGTGATGCTGAGAATTGTCGACCCGTCCTCGCCGCAGTTGGGAGCGTTGTTGGATGCACTGCGCAATCCCGCGCTGCTGTGGACGGATTACGGCATTCGGTCGCTGGCCAAGAATAGCCCGTTATTTGCCAAATACAATACGGAGCATGATGGACCGTATTGGCGCGGTGCCGTGTGGATTAATATGAATTATCTGATTGTGAAGGCGTTGAAGTATTATGGAGAGGTGAAGGGACCGTATCAGGAAAAAGCCTTGCGGATGGGCGACGAGCTGCGGATGAATATCGTCCGCAATATGATGCGGCAGTATCAGCGAACGGGCTTCGTCTGGGAGCAGTATGTGGACGGTGAAGGGAAGGGATCGCATCCGTTTACGGGATGGTCCAGTCTTGTCGTTCTGCTGATGTCGGATTTTTAGTTTTGGTTTTACAAAAGCCTCGGCTCAATATTTTGTTTTTTAAGCTGTATACCATCCCGGTCTGAACTGGGAATTGCCATACAGTTACTGGTGTTGTTTTTATCAGCCGGAAAAGCCCTTCTTTCTTTTTTTACAGATGCCGTTTAGTTTTTACGGAACACATCTTTGGGAAGAGTGATCTCCGCAAACCGCGATGATGTCTGTTTCAATCGTGTGTCCCTTTATTAAACTTTATTTTTTATTGTTTAGTACATTCCCTACCTATACGACTGCACTTAATCGAGTACTGAACTCTTAAACGCTGTTTCAGTTGTCAGCACACAGTTGTCAGCACACATACGCACAGATGACTAATGCAGTTACGAAACGAATTGAGAAAACTCAGAAAATGTACTTTAGAGTTTACCACATCTTAAACGCAAGTGCACGAGTTTGCGATTGCATCGTTTATCGTCCTGGTCGCCGTGGTCGGTTACAAACTTATAACTGATGCATTCTTTTGCGGTTAATCTGGCTACGGAAGTAAGAAGTACTTTACAGATATTGGAGGGATTTGATTTTCTTTTGTGGGAACTCACGGAGGAAGGTTTGGAGACTAACTGGCTATGCGAGTGTGTTAGTAATTTTCTCGCTTTCTTAACATTAAACACTTTGACGAAAGTCCTGCTGTCGAGTGATGGTCCGGCGAAATTTAAGATGGTCAGTTGAAAACCACTTCCTGGATAGGCCGGATCAGCGTCGGCTACGTGTCGATGTTGTCTGACCTTTGACCATCGCTGCGTGACGACTCTTCCGGTTCCAGCTGACATGGAAATTCGGCATTTCCGCATCCATTGTAAATCGTGCCGTTATTTTTTAATCCCTGCTCCTCACGTTGACTTCTTGTTCATAGGTCCATCATCACTAACTTCCACAAGCTATCGTTACTAACTCTACTGTAGTATTTTATAACTATTTCGACCACAGTCCAATAGGTACGCATTATTAACTGGTAAGCTGTGCTTACAATTATGCGGTTTAGGAATTCTAACGATAGGATAGAAATACATACGTCGAATCCCGCAACAACCGCTCACACAAACTTGTCCAGGAAGTGCCTTTACTGACTAATGTTTATCTGTTTTATCCAGATTTTTATCCTTGAAATTGTACCCTAACAGTGGGATGGCAGTGCCATTAGAGCCGCTCTGCTGTAATTACTTTCTTGTTGCTTTTTTCTTGACGTGCACTTTACGCATGTCAATGCGTAATGCAAGGCGGATTTGGCACAAATGGAAATGGAATTAATATGTACTGTACCTGCTATCTACGGCATATGGGCAGCATGCGCCAAAAAGATGCTGCGATTATTTCCGCAGCATTAATGATATTTCTGAATTTGGCCGAAACTGTTCCGGTTTCATGTGATTTAATTTTATCTTTCTCACATTTTCCGTGTACTGTACTTAGTTTTTATTATAATTTTCACTTGGCATTTGATTTGCGTTTAGATTCCCTGGTTTTGCAATCGCGTCATTGTACAAAATATCTCAGTCCGTCGTAATTTGTGCGCAGTACTGGTGGATTCAGCCTTAGACCCTTATCTGTAGGTGCTGCTTTCTGCTAGGTTGCATCCTGATTCTGGTTTTCTGGGTTCCTACACATTCTTCTGAAGGCTGTGCTTATTTGAGGTATGGTACAGTGGTACTGATAATTTGCTGTTGGGAAATCACAATAGCTTTGCTTGTTGCTTGCACTGATTGGTTTACTATTTTTCAGGTCGCATTTCCTTTACAGTGTGCAACTGCATTTTGACTGGAACAAATAAAAATGGGAACATGAAGGGGGGATGCTGAAAGATTATCTGAAGATTATTCATTAGTATTCGAACTGAATTCGTTAGCAGATTTTTGATCTGCCAATGTCTTTCAAGTTCATTCGCCTCCTGTGACAGGTAAAACCGAAAACTGGATTGCATCGATCAGTAAATCGCAGTTCCGCAGCGTGTTATGGTAATTTTGATTTAACAAGAAAACTAAAATACCTTAGGATCTTGATGGATGAAAGTAGTAAATTTATAAAACCAATAATTTGTCTTTGCATATTCTCACACACGTCTTGGTGATCGTAAAACAACACGGTATTCTTGACTGTGGCACTGTGCGATGCTACCAGTACTTACTATTAAACAGTTTTAACTTCAAGCTTTTTCATATAAGTACCGGAATAATTTTACTGACACCATGAATGTTAGCAGTCGAGTCATTTTCCTTACATCGGAAATATTTCATTTTAGCAAATAGATTCGCTTATTGAGGTATTCTTAGTGAGAAGTATTGATTTTAAAAAAAATAAATTGACTTATTGGGTTTTCTTAATTTTTATCCATCTTTCCCCTTTCGGAAAATATTGATGCAGATGCGTACAGCAAAAGACAAATGGAATGTATTTCATGACTTCTTATTTTTGAGTTTCATTAAAATTTTGTTTCAGTTTTTTTTTAATTTTATGGATTTTTACAGTGAAATTTTAAAAATGTCTACAATGTGATATATTTTTTTGTTTTCGAATGGTTAAGGGTTGTCAACTTATAAAGCTACGTTAGGTGATTGTTTTATGCAATTGCAGGTAAATCATTGTTGTTGATTGATAGTGTATTGATATGGCCGCGTCTCCTCCGGCATTTCCTTTGCGCAATCGCAACCGCCCGGCACTGCCTCCTGGCTTCGGGCCCTGCTCCGGGAAGGAGAACAATCCCATTGAACCCATCGCGCGTTTCAAAGCGGCCATGTCGCGGGTGCGGCTGGCTGATGGGCGCGTGAAGCGTTCCGTAGCACGGTTACACCTGGCCAAAAAGCGCGCCGATATGGCCACCGCCCGCGCCCGTGCTATGCTCAATCGGTTGAAAGCCATCGCCGCCGAGGGACGGAATCGCACCGTGGAGAAGTGTATGCCGCGGCTGCATGCACAGATGGAACGGTCCGGCCAACTGTCCGATCACATGAATAAAATTGGGGATCGGGTGCTGCGGAATTTATCCCATCTGGAGAAGGAGACAGCGCGCGCCTGGGCATACGCGGCCCGGGCGGAAGAAGTGTATGCCAGTCGTGCGGCGGCCAGTGATTCACCGGCTTCCATGGGCGAAGAGCCGTAGGAGCACGTGGTCTCAATTTTTTATTTCTTTATTAACGTGATATTGCACGGATTGGGAAATGCTTTAAAACGTGTGAAAAGATTTTAATGAAATTTTTGTTAATCTCTTGGCTACATTTATACGGTGGGTTAGATAAGACTGATTAAAAGTCGGCCTTCGTTAATTTGCTGTGCAGAAATTTGAAAAAAACGTTTCGTTGGTGTTTTATGGTGCTGGTGTTGTACATTTTACAGTGTTTATTCGGTAACAGTTCAAGTGCTGTTTTCAAATGGGTGTCGGAAGATTCGCGATCAGTAAAATAACTACCCGTAGGTATCGATCGTTTTAGTCACATTAGCGCTTCCAAGTATCAGGCGCGTTTATGTATGCAAAGCGTTTATTGCAATTTTCAGTCACATTCCAAAATGCGACCGGGAACCGTATCTGTGAAAATAATTCCAGTACAGCAATCATTTGTAACACAAAATCAATCAATCACACGGGGTGTACCGAATTCACAATAAATTAAAGGAACTTAATGAATCACCGCAAAACTGGACGGAAAAAGTCCAAATTATTGTCATGTCGGGATCAAATACTAGAAAAACAGGTAATTCGTATTCGACAGACCAGCAATGCGTTAACCGGCTTTAAGATTAAATAAGTAAATCAATTCTTTCGTGCGCGCAGCAGCAGTGCAAAAAAAGCCGCTAATCGAAATCCAATGATGAGGACAAACAGCATGTAGATGTTAAAGACGAGGTTATCGGGATTAAAATGCAGCTGCTGTAATACCGCCATCCCGTCGTGCGGGCACGATACATTCCTTGTGCAATGGATTTCCGTCACATCGCGCCATTGATTGACCACCAAGGCTTCGTTGCCGTACTTGAACCACGATATATACTGCAGGATAAAAGATAACAAAAAGTCAGAACCAATCAAAACAAATACTGCAACATCCTTTGAAAACAATTTCGAAATGATAATGCTAAGAGAAATGCAGCTATAGAAATTTAAGTCAACAAGGCGTGGGCGTCCAATCGACCATTAATGCTGCTTTTTAGAGACAACGTTGCACAATGTAGGACTACGGAAGCAGCAAGATAAGCAATAATCATATTGCATTGTTCATGTAAAAAAACAATACTGCGAAACTTCTGGAAAGCGAAAAATATTCAATAGTACTTACCGCAAGCCATATAAAATATTTGGGAACTGTTCCGCTGTTTAAGAAGAATCCACCAAACAACATGAGAGGCACAAAGAGCGTGGGCGCCAATGCTAAAGCCAAATTTTCCGTCCCCGCCACACAGGAAATCAAATATCCGAAACTAACAGCTGCATTTGTGAAGAGAATGACAATGGCACAGGCAATCAAGAAAGCTTCCACCGTCGGATTGAGTCCAATCATCCAGTAAGCAATACACGTAAAAATAAATGGTAAAATAATAAAAGTAGGAACGTCCACCAGTGTTTTTGACAAAAAATAGACATCCACTCTGTACATGCCATTGAAATGTTCTCGCAAAAATATTGGCAGTTCTTGGGTAAAAACGTTGATCACAGCGAACAAATTACCGAAAGTCTGCAATAAACCAAGCGTTTACTGGAAACGCACAAAACATGGTTGGAAACTTCGTAAATCATTTCAAAGTGTACTGCATTAATCAATGTTATAAAAATTTAAACGTCATTAATCTAACCGATTGACGTCAATGCTGAATTCATCTATAAAGCAGCAAAACTTATAAAAACGCTACACTGCTTTGTAACACAAAAAAAATGCGGCAAAAAAATCAGTAAAACGGTACATAAATAAGTTACGCTTACCATGTTAGTCAAGAAAAGAAAAATGGCACCATTGATATTCTGCACTCCTTCGGCCGTATTTTCTTGCCTTAAGAATATTATTCCCAGCAAAAGAGCAATGAAGATCGTCTGAATCAACCGCACTTTCACAATAAGTGGTTCCCGTACAACACTCAAAGCCGACCGCCACATCACCGCGGCGAACTGTCGAAACCAGTTAGCTTTATATGCTGACTTCTTGGCCATACTTCCAGCCGGAAGTTCATTATTGTGGATTTCCTTGGTAGCCGTCAAGATCTTCCGACCGCGTTCCGAATTCTCAAAGGCATCACACACCTTCTCCGCCCTCTCCTTACACTCCGCTTCCCGTCCCGGTATAATGGCCAATTTATGAATGTAGTGATCAGCCGGATTGAAATTTGGTGGGCACGGATAACCCAATTCGGCGAAGAAGTGTTTAGCACGATGAGAATTCCCCAGGTAAGCCACACGACCCTCGGACATGAGCAGCAGCCGGTCAAACATGGCGAACACCTCGGAGGAGGGTTGATGAATGGTGCAGCAGACGGTCTTTCCCTTGGCGGCCATATCACGCAGCACACTGACCACATTCTGCGCCATGAACGCGTCCAGACCGGATGTCGGCTCATCACAAAACATCAGCGGCGGATCTGTTAATACTTCGGATGCAAAGGCCAACCGCTTCATTTCTCCTCCCGAAATGCCTTTTATTCGTCCGGGAATTCCGATTTTTGTGTTGGCACATTTGGCTAAACCCAGCTCCGCGATGACCTCATCGACGCGGCGTAAACGGTTTTCTTTGGAGATGTGCTTGTCCATGCGCACTTCGCTTTGGAATATCAAATGTTCGCGTACCGTCAGCGTTCCCACAAAGAGATCCACCTAAGAACATATCCAAAACAATTTTAATTTAAAGGGATCATACAAAAAAGTTACAAACACTAGATTTCCATTTAAACCGGAGGAAGAAACAGTTGGCAAATAAGTAAGTCTGCTTCCGTGTTAACTACAGCAGTGCTAGAACATTCTTCCCCATCATTACTGACAGTTTCTAGAAACGTTACAGAAAAAATCTGCAATCATATTAATACTGTTTATGGCCCAGGAAACATATCCTTGCATATGATGATGTAATTTTCCTTTTAACGGCTCCGGTAGCACCTTCAGTGCTATTAATATTATTGTCAATCAAAGCGCAAAATAGTGTTCCCTGTGTGAGCAAAGCAAAAATCGATCGGTGTGCATCAAAATTAATCACGTAATGGACCATGATAGACAAGGGCTTTTTCTGACAAATTGCGAAGGTGTTACAGTGCTCTCGGATGACATCAATGCACAACGGATCACAAGGTCTAATGAATGTTCACAGGATGGCCGCGCTTCCTGCCGAAGCGTGGTAATAAGAAAGCCCAGGCATTTTACGCCGGGAATATAATCCTGTATTAGAGTTAATTTTTCTGCGTCTATTCAGGCAACCGGAAACCAAGGCGGAATTGATTTCACTGGATCTTGCAGCATCATCGTGCAACACGGATTTAAATGTCACTGTCGGCGTCTGTGCCTCTTTAAAAGATTTTCGTATTGATTTTGCTGGAAAATTTAAGGAAACCGCAGTGGATGCATTGCCACTATGTCTACACGGGCGGCAAAAGGATCATTCCTTACCTGCTGCACATACGCTGAAATACTGGTGATAGCCTTCCCGATTTTCCGGTTGTTTATGCATATTGCACCCTCCAGCTTTAATTTACCGCGATTACGTCTGCAAATAGCCACAAAAATTAGCATTCTCGCGTTTGAATGTCACAGTAAGTGCAAATTAAAACTATCCTACAATTACAGCATATAACGGTAACAAAATAATTATGACATAAAATATGTCGTGGAAAAGAAAACATTGGACAAGAAAAAAAGCTTTTCCTTATTCTGTTAATGGTTTGCTAGTAATTTTACTCATAGAGAAAAAAACTTTTTTATTCCAGCAATACTTTTTTCATTGGAACAAAAAACTATAAATGTGGCTGCCTTTTTTAAATAGCGTGATCGCTAAATTTTAAAATTATGCGTGATATCGCTAGTTCCAGAAAACGTTCACATGCATCATGATACATGGGAAACTAATCCCGCTGAATTGTTACAAAACGCAATTGTCTGTTGATAATGTTAATTAAATTAATTCAGATTACCAATGCGGAAACAGCAATTTCACACGCTAATAAATTCATTTACCCATTGAGCACATTGAGCAATGTCGTCTTTCCAGCACCGCTAGCGCCTACGGGCAAATTCACACCACAGTGAAAACGCGCACTGGCCAACAAAGAATAATTTCCGACAATCGCCACAATACCCATAATTGCCAGCAACTCGCCGGGACGCACCAATCCGCTGACATTTTTCAAAATCTGCTTCGGTTCCCGGGCTTCTTCCACTGACCGGGATGTGCAGGGACGCTTCCGGGGTGGCGGCAGCCACACATTCACGTTATGCCAACTGTAACAACACGCGCGTGAAAATGCAATTAATTCGTTTAACACTGCCGCAGAATGGCAAGGCGATGTTTAATCTTATCAGTTTGATTACTATGATTATGCTGCAATAGCCCGCATTCATCTGCTCACAGACTGGTTATCGCGAAAATTTGCAGGTCAAGTTGAAGATAAATTGGCCAGAAAGAAAATATCGAAAAACGATGAATGCGCAGACGCACACGCACCTCAGTGTAATGGCGTCCAGGTTCTCCATCCCGACCAATTCGGGATGGACGTCGTAATGACTGGAGACGATGGAGGATTTCGTATGAAAGCTCCTTGATCCTGTCGCAATAATTTTCATAAACACGGTTTTCTAGAAGACTCCGTATAAAAATAACACAGAAAAACGCCTTAGATAACCTACGAGGCGAGTAATGTCCATTTTCAGGGAGGAACCTCGCCTCTTCTGCCTTAACATCCACATCCTCATTGAAACTTGCAACGGACATGGTGGTGCAGGCGGAGCGATAACTCTCAAAACAGACTCCAAACGCATGCAGTGCAAACGCAATTAAGACAAAAGTGAAGACAGGAGAGCAAAAAAAACTTGCGAAAACGGTAGATAATAAATTATGATATCCGCGTCGCACACGTAATACGAGTATACAGATAATTATTGATGTTTTGAATTGCAGCTCTCGATCCTATAAACCAATAAAATAGAAGCCACACCAATTCGTTCCAAAACAACGATGAGCAATAACATTGATTAACAAATTAAATTAAATTAAAATCCACCAAAGTAAGTCGAACATTCCGATGTGTATTTCAACTTCGCATGCAGCACTGACAACACTGGCAATACTTCACAGCTGATGATGCATTCTGGCACTGCATATTGTATTGTACACTGTACAATACAGTAAGTACATAAATGATAAATACGATACAATCAATAAACAGTTATAAACTGATGAAAAACCAGAACTAATAACTATCGTTTCAAATCAAATACACATTTAAATGGTACAGAACTGATGGTGAGAAGTGAGAACTACGCAAGAAGCTTAGAAGCTCACGAAAAAAAACAAAAACACCAAAATTAGCAGCGCGTTTTGCAAGTGCGTTACCTCCTTTAATATTCCGTCTTGCACCCAGTTATCACGAACTGACTGAAAGCCTAGTACTGCATGTATTTAACACTCACTGCGTTGCCGAATGCCGGTTGGCGGTAGAAGTGCAACACCAAGTAATGCAAGGCGGGAGACAAGTGTACTGTGTACAATAATTATTATATTTGTAGACTATCGAATGATAAGGATAATAAATTTTATGGATACGTTGTAGTGCAATTTTATTTTGTTACTCGATAGGTATAATAATTTATACAAATTATGTAAGATAAACAGGAATGTTGGCAGGATCACGTTGATTAATCCGTATCCGACAGACTGCAAACGAGGTATGGAACGCTTCTGTTCCTTGCAAACGGTAAGCCGGCAAAACAGGATTACCGTGACGGTCGAACTGTTCCTGTTATGCGCCTTAGTACCGGTATGTACAATACGGTACACGATAGTAGTCTAGTTGAATACTGTAGTCAGTATAGTGTACCATGTAACCCTCTGGATCATACTGGTTCGTAACTGAAGTCGCTGGAATTGGTGTATCTAAAGGGGAATGATACTTGGGAATAAAAGTGCCGCTGACTGCGGAACGGGAACCGGAAGATGTGGATGGAAGCACCGTGGCAAACAACTGGAATTTGTGTTATCAGACTGCCCTTCGTACAAGTAAGTCCTTAATTTTGCCTTCTGGCATCAATAGTTTCGATACATTACACAAAACTGTCTGTGTCACTACTCACTACTGCAAGTACAGTAAATTATTTCAAACGCAAACGTAACGGTGCGCGTTAGCAGAATACTGAATATTTTTTATACAGTTTTATAATTTTTTTGCAATTATTCACCACGCAAAGCGTTAAGTATTTCCTCTAGCTTCGTCCAGTGCGCTGTTAAAAATGTGCTGCTCTACTGACAAGTGAGCAGTGCAGAAGTTTTGAACCCAGTTAAAGTGGAAAATTAAGTACACTGCAAATACTCCACTGCTGTACACGCTATAGTTGGAGAGGTACATTCACAAAAAATAAAGTTTGTACCATTGTATGCCGAAATGGTATGACCTTTCTTTCATCGGCAACATGCAAATCTATCTATACAACTACAAAAGAATAAGAAGGTGCACCTCCAGTGCCATAGTTGGACGAGCTGCAGTACCTGGGCGCTCCACTTCATGATGCTGCCGTGGCGGGGACGCTCACCACTGCGACAGCACAAATTGCTCCAGTGGTGCGGCGACTGAAAGTGTTACCGGCTCATCACTCCCCGTACTTATTGAAATGCAGCATGGGACCGGTATTTTTAAAGAATGACGTATAAGTTACGCACTGCTCGGTGTTATCTGCAGAGAGGACTGCTGACTGAATTTGATTCGTGAATACCTATCGGCAATCATCAACGTGAACATTACCGACGTGAACTGGACGCAGGCATTATTTCCAGTTAAAGTCTTGCTGCAAGACCACCTAGCAGAAGGAGGCCTCGGAATCCCGAGTTTTGAGAAGCTTGCCCTTCTGGCCTTTCTGACCTCGGCTTACACAGTGACCCGGGTGGCAACCAAAATTACCGACTGCGACCCGGAAGTGTAATGCGGCAACGGCGAAGTCGAGTGACAGCGCATGACAGAAGTACGTTGATATTCTAACTGTGGAAGCCCAAAAATTTCCGAAAATGTGGGATGAACCAGTCATCCAAACTTCCTTGAGACGCATGGCTGGATGCGCTACCAGCTGCATCCCTGCAGGGAAACCTCCTGAACGATTCTGCATTACGGATTGCTGTTGGCCTGCGCCGGAGAATGCCGATCGCAACTCCGCATCGATGCATTTGCAATGAATGGGTGGACACAGGCTACCACAACCTCAGCTGCAAGAAAAGTCGGGGCCGGAAGTCAATCAACAGCATTCTGAACGCCACGCTTAAAAGAGCTTTCGCCTCAGCTAGTACCATTGAGACTGAACATGAGCCTGTGGGAATGTCGTGAACCAACGGTAAACGCCCGGACGGATTTATCTTAGTACTACGGGAACGACGCAAAATGTTAACATGGAACTTGACTCGTGTATGCACGATGGCGCCATCACATATCACAGCAACATCCAGGCAGGCCGGTGCCAGCAAAGGCAGAACGGAAGAAAACCGCGAAGTACCAGAACATAACGCATGACTAATTGTTTCGCGCGGCGGGGATTGAGAGATTTGAGACAGTGTGACCTTTTAGACCCGAGACGTCTCGTATGTTCAGGAACTGGGCAAGAGATACGTCAGGATACAGGCGAGATACGTGCAAAAGAGATCTGCTTGAGAGGGATCAGCATCGAAATTCAACGGGGAAACGCGGCAATCATCCTGGGTACGGCACCAGCTTCGGCTAATTTAGATCAGATGCTGTGTAATTCCGCCTTTTTCCGCTGTTTGCTGATGCTATGTGGGTTTCTGTTTTGAAATATTTATATGATTTAACTATCTGAACGTGGCAAATAAAAAAAACAATACGTACAGAAGGTGCACAGAATTTGTGTATGTCCCGGTCTAACCTAGGTCATACGATAGAATCTGATACGCTCAAGTTCTCAACCAAACGTGCATCAGCTATAGCTAAATGCCGCTCGATAACCCTGAATAAGTAGATTTGGACAAAATAATCATATTTAAAAGAAAAGCACAAAAAGTTATGAGAAAAAAATCAAAATTCTGACGTGCAAAATGTACGCTGAGTTTACGCTTCGAGGAAAAGTGCGGGCATTGACAACTGTCAAAGAATTACGTATTTACGGTAGTATGACCGCGGTATGATTAAGGAAATAAAATAAGTAATAATTATTGTAGTTTTCCATAGTTTATGGCTTTGTGCAGTCATCAGCCGCTAATATACTCGTTGCATTTGCGCGGGGTGTACTCATCAATAATCTTTACTTACTTAATTAATTATCTGTACTTTTGTGCACACTGCTCAGCGAACGCGGAAAAACGCTTACGAATTTTACTCATGTTGAAATGGGCCAATGCGCAGAAACGAATGGTGGCCGAAATGAATGGACACGATGTAGGGTCACTAGGCACAGCTGTCACATAGCAACCGATACCTTTCATACCACGAAAGTATCAGATCTGTAAGCGCAAAACTGCCAAAATAATCTGAATGGAAATTTTGCGCTTCTAAAACGTTGGTAACGCGGTTTACAACTACAGTATTAGGCACTGGCAAGCATTCTTCATATTCTACGATGGATTACCAACAATCCTTTTTCATACTGGTAAGTGTCCTAAACGGTCTAAAGCAAAACTATCAAAATTTATCATTTATGCTTTATACTTAATGCTCCGGCCACAACACTTCAAGTGCGGTGCGAAGACCTTCGCACAGTGCGAAGACGAAAAGTGCTTGCATGTGTGAGCGGAAAATGTCCTGAACTTCTAACGGAGCCTTCGCATCGAACAAAAAGTGAGCGCCTTTCGAACTATTTTCTTGAACGAGTGCGAAGAGCGCCTTCGAACCATTTTTGGTGGGAGGAGATTTTCTTCCTCTTTCGAACTTGTGCGAAGGAATTGACCTATACCGAGAACCAGGTGTGATTGGGACTGTTTTTAAAAAAGAAAAAAAGCACAAGTACTTGTGCAATTAATGCTTATTACGCAGTATTATGCATAAAAGGTCACGGTTTGCCAAAACCACAGTACGGTTACAATTAGTATAAATAGAAAAGCAAACTTCGTATACTGCCAGTGGATCTTGTGAGATGACTGGGATTTCATAATTTCCAGTGCCTCCTGTCTCAAGAGTCCTAACTCCTAACACATCAGTCATTATATATCTTAGTCATATACTGTACTTCGTATCAACAAACAAATTTTTAATAAATTTACCATAATAAACCTTGGCGCAACATGCCGCCTAAAGTACTTACCGCTGAAGAGCAAAAGGTTGAAAAAACTTGATCGAAGCAGTATGAAATCATCCGGTTTTGTGGGATTGTGGCACCGAAAAATTCGGAGACCGGCAAAAGAAAGCGGCTGCATGGAAAAAAGTGGCCACTCTGGCGGGCAAGAAACGGTCTGTCAAACTTGTCAAAAAAAATTTGGGAAAGTCGGCCCTCCAGATTCCACAACGCATACAAATATAAGCCGACAGGATCGGGCGGCAAAAGGAGGGGAACCCGAATTTATTTTTAAATTCTGTTGACGGTGCTTCTCCCTAGTCGACACCGAATTGCGATATCGTGCTAAGAACAACCGCTAGCCAAAATTATGCACACGAAATCGTTTACCAGTAAACCAAGGTGCAACAAGGATTTCTATGATCGATAATATATTTAATTTTATGCAGCATCTGTACAAAAGGTATTCAGCTTGTACAGGTATTCAAAACTTAAACGTACAGTTGATGCTGACAGGTTGATACAACGTAAATGCATAGAATTATTTATAAGTACCGTACCTTATTGTTAACGCAAGCCGTTCTTCAGGACGAATAGGATATTTGTGAGCATGGCGGCGGGCCAGTCCATTTTAGTGTGTTGGAAAAGGACGTAGACTGTCGAGCGGGATTACCGAAGTGATTGAAATGCCGCTAAAGATCGTGTTGACTGAGATCCTTTGAATATAGCAAACTCCCCATTTATGCCATTGATTAATATTAATGTCTCGCTCTCTCTCAGGAAGCTTTTGTGATAATTTCTTGGCGAAATGGCGCGAGATCAAATGCTACCTTAGATATCAGAATGGTCAGCAACAAAGTTTTTTTTGGCAGAATGTTTGGGCGCATTTATCAGGGGCAGAATTCAATCCGGCTTCAACATATTATTAAGGATGATCTCATTATTCTAAGATTTTGGTTGGCTATAAAACTGAATCCAGAATGTGGTAGCTCTCGACCTAAATTCCCGTTAATTTTGAACGCATGACCTGCTCAAGCTGCTCTCAGTTTTGTTTTAAGTTCGATGAAGTGTAAGTGCTTTTGTTTTAGGTAAACTTTTTTTCTATCTTTTTCTTTGCTTCGCACTTCTCGCTTTTTTGGTGCTAGGAAAAGCTTCCAACTGCGAAGCAATACAGTCCAAAAATTCTGCATCGCACTTAAAATGTGGCTCTAGCATAAGGGAGTGCATTTGACCTTCTAAATGGCTTACATTTGCCGTCTAGCGGGTTATTCACTACCGTTCAACTTTAAATTTGAATGTCTGCGAAGGCGTTCGATCACTAATCGAAAAAACAATGTTTAAACAGTAACATAGTATACTGATGAGAGGACCAGTGCAAAGGTTGACACAAAGGTTGACTGTTTTATATCGATGATCTGCAGGTGATAAGCTGTTGTGGTCAGCCTGCACTTCCTTGTTCCAGACGTTTTTATTGTAACACCACTTACTAAAACGGTTCAAGTTTAAACGTCGAATGAGCTAAAATAGTACGACATTTAGAAATGCATATTTATTGTATCCAAAACAGTGCTTATAGAAACCAGCTGGCTTTCAATTAAAAATTTTTCTGACGAAACTCGTTCTCCAAACTCGGAAACAGCGTTTGCCGCGAAAATTTATGAAACCGGGTTTCTCCAGAACGAATTTATTCAACACCTTGCCCATCCTGACGGTTGGCATGAGCTCGTTGTCTCACGCTATCGTCGTTGATATTTAAAGTTGAACGGTAGTGAATGATCAAATATCGAATGCAAAAGAACAAAAATGTCAGAAATCACATCCGCGTCTACACGACGCAACAGAACAGAATGGGGAAGAGAGAGAACATATGTAAAGCTGTACGTACGCAGTAGTAGAGCACACACTATACGCTATCCATACATGCCTACGGTGGGAATCCGAGGTCCTCAGAGGACATCCGATGCTCGTGTCCTGACTCTACGGTGAATCGGCTATCTGTTGTGTAGGTTTCTCTGGCGTTGCGTCGATTGTTGGGTGTAGACTGCAGGTTAGCAGATTAATGCTGAGCGATATGTTATCGTAACAAACGGTGATTACCGTAAGAAAAATAATTGTCGTAAGTCGTAACAGCCAGCAACAGGGCGGTTGATGATCCGTTTCTGAACTTTCTTTAGCTCCCGTTCATAGGAATCCACTGATGGAGTGGTAGTAAGGAACATTAAGTAACTTCAAACATGAATCATCAAACAGTATACACGGGCACTGAACGTCTGCCGTCACGGAACGTGTGGTACGGAAAAAATAAGCCCGTACCACGTTCTTTTATCGAAAGGTGAAAGTACTGCCATCCGTTTTATATGGCCTTGTTTATAACGCATCTGCAGGAGCGTAACGCTATTATCGTAATCAATGTTGTGAGTCTGTGACGAAATCGGCTATCAGCTGCATCTGTCTGCTGCCTGCGTCACACCTATGCTGTATCCTGGTGTTGACCCAGACGCTATTGTTTGGTCATCGCTCTTTCAACTTATGCTTGGTCCATACTTCAGTTGTAAGAAAAAGCTGTACAACAAATCGTAGCCTTAAAATGGGAACTACGACTGCAACAATCGTAGTCGTAGTTTCCAGGATGTTGTAGCAATGTTGTTCAATTTTACTTTCTGCAGCACTTCCCGGCCATATTTCAACCGCAACAAAAATTTCAGACAACCCAGCAAAGACGCGATTGGCGGAGATAATCCCGCTTATTTTTATTAACAAGTGGAAGCAACATTTCAACAGATCCAGGTCGCACCAGGAAATTTGCAGTATTCTAGCGCGCAGCGCCATTTTCTGCGTGATGAAAAGGTCAGCATTTCTGGAAATTCGGGCAGAAGTTTGGGGCACTGTTTTGTACAGCGCATAAAAAGTTTTAGAAATACGCATCTTACTTGGTCGTGCCTTCTCTGCTGGATTTTTCGTTGGCAATCGCACGGAAGATGGATCCGTTGTCGATTGCAGTCGGGCTGCGTGCGTCGATGGTGGACAATCCTTCATTAATCCCTGTGGGTTGCTTCGGACGTAATCCGAATTCCGACGTATCCGGAATTCTAAATTCTTGTCGGTTTTCCGCATGGTGCGAGGGTTCATATGGTTGGGGTAGTCGCAAGGCTTGGCTTTTCTCCATCCCTACCACAATATTCGGGTCCGAGTTTCAGCAATATGAACATCATCAGATGAAATCACTGTCGTCAAAGGTCAAGTTCAAGTGCTCGTGTGGCACACGCTACTGCTTGTTACCATGCTAGAATCGTTCATGATCTGCTACCATGAAGGGAATATGCCCTGAAGCTGGCGTGCAGCCAAGCGACTGCGGCTTCGCATGCGGGAGAATGGAGATGATCAAATATCGAATGCAAAAGAGCAAAATATCAGAAATCACATCCGTCTACACGACGCAACAGAACACAATGGGGAAGAAAAAGAACATATGATAAGCTGTCGTACGCAGTAGTACAGCATACACTATACGCTACAGTATATCCCTACAGAGAACCGGACCCGATCCAGTCTTTATATGCAGCACCCAACACCACACCGATCAACGGCCTGGCAGTCTTTACGTTTTCAGAATACTCGCAGATTTCAGTTTTAACCGGATCCTTGTGTCATTGAATGATGTAATAATAGATTTTTTGTTCTTTTCGCCGTGTCTGTGTGGTTGCAGATCGGCAGGTGTACGCTTCGTTTTCCTTTACGTTATATTTGCGTAGACCACAGATCTAAATCATTACTTATTTTCAGGCCTAGGGTGAACTGATTAACTAGTTGCTTTTTTATTATCAACTTGTACAAGCCAATGCCATTTACGTTAAAACTTTAAATACCCAATAATCAGAACAAGAAAAATAACTCTTCTAACTCTCGAGAACACCCGACCGTCCCCAGGACAGAAGCCGCGTTTCCGCGCTGAATTTCCACACTTATACGTTGCCACAAATAATGAACAGCGCGCGCTTCTCCCGTATGTTCTTTGATACGCCGGCCGACTTCATTGATGAACTGGTGGGTACTTTCGCTACAACTTCCCATAGTTTCGAGTGCCACTGGCTGGAAAAAATGCCGATCAGTGAGTTCGGAATATAGGTTCCGCTTCCGCACTTCCGCGTCTTCAGCAGCCGATCCCGCTGCTTCTGAACAGCCAGCTATATACGAAGTAGCGAATGTGTCACAAACTGTTACATCCCATATCAGAGGGAGGCCATTTCTCCATGGGAAGAGTGATAAGCCGTCTGGCCGCTTCCCGTCCAGTCTGCACATTCCGGGAGGCTCCAAGATTAACTAGTTTATCCGTCGAAAGTCACCTGTGTGACTGTAACCACGGAAGTCAAACATGTGCATGTGTGAACTGTTCCACTCTTCTCCAAATTAGTCCATCATACTCATTCAACGTTTTAAGAAAGGCCAACATTGCGATGCACGCAATCCGTGCATTACATTCGGTAGGTGGAAACAAACTTTCAATAAGGAAAAACGTAGTGGAGAGATGGCATTCTTAGTCGTTGCAAAAATTTCTAAAGCTGCTTCATATTTTTTGCTAAAAATGCTTGTCTATTAAAGTTTTTTTACGTTTTGTGTTCCAATTTTTCGTATAATTTGATTTTGTTTTACACTTTGGATTTCTTTGTAACAAAATGACTCTCTTAAGCCCGATTGTGCGCATGTCGAAATGGTCGGACACGAACATTTCCAGGGAAGCAAATATTGCATGAAGTTATTAAATTACCTTAAAGCGATTTTGGTGCGAGCAGTGGAGTACTTATGCTCGCGCGTCAGACAAGTTGAGAGATTGCTCATTTTTGCCGATGCTCATTTCGTCCAGCATTCAATTTAGCCATCTCTGGGTCTGGCTTCCACACTAGGCAAGTTACAGTACCTTAGGTATCTTTTTCTTATGGTTTCTTGTGTTTTCTTACGGATTCGTAAGCTTTCTAGTATTTTCTCATAATTTTAATAATAGCCGAAGTTTTAATTTTTGGGTGAGAGGTGGAAGAGGAAGTGTATCAGTGACCAGTCGATATTCAACCTGGCCGAAGTAAAAGGCGGCCGAAAAATATTGTCCGAATTGTGCAAGGCCGAAATGGTCGGTGAGCGGGAGCTTACTTCGATCTAGTTCGATGTCTAAAATAATTGATCCGTGTCTAAAACAAAATGGCAGGTGGCCAAAATTTCAGACAGCTAACACACATTGTGATAAAACCTTGGCCTGGTATGCGATGAACTTTATGTGGTCCTTGAACGTTCTTGATATCATAACTCAATTACTTCTCAACCAGACCCACGACACAGATTGATCCAGATTCATCCAATCCTCCACAAGAGTAAAGCGAAGCTAAAATCTGTTTTTCAATCCTGGCTTGTGGTGATCTTCCTTGTTTTCTGACTCTGATGCAACCGATACCCAAGCTAATCTGCAGAACTTCAAAATCTTAACAAAGGCCCGTCTAGCTGCAGTAAAAACACAATTTAATAGTAATCACTGGAATAGTTGAATGAACGAACCGCAATTTACATTTACAAAGGACCGCAATGAACCGCAATTTGTATAATGAACACCGCGCAACGTGCGGAAATAGCAGGCCAATGAAATCATTTTCCGCCTCCGGCACCGTCGCAAACCGCAACTAAATACTAATGTTCGACCTCTAAAGCTGCATTGAAGCCGTCTAAGCCGAAAGCGGGCTGGAAGATCAGTTTAACCGGACAGCATGAACCGAACCGTGTTGGCCATACCGATAGATTGAAGTCAGATTTTGGCTGGGTACAGTATTTCCAGCCGATAAGAGCTAGAAAGTTCATAAGTTTCGACGAAACCGTCAAGTTCGTTGGTTGATCAGTTGTTATTGTGTAAAATATAGGTTTCCGTGGGTTAGCTTGCACAAAAAAACGGAAATCTTCGTTGTTTAAGGGTTTCTACTTTTTCCTTTGCGAAACGTTTTTCTTAAATTTAAGTACTTACAAGTACTCGTAGGCTCGTAGCAAAGGAAGGTGATGCGCTGACAAATTAGCATAAACGCACGGATGTGCCAGCACTACAGTACTGTACTTACTTAACAAATGCACAAGAACAATTGTGTAGGTACTTGCTAGCTGTTAGTTGCCACTTGCTTGCTTGCTAAAACTCTGTTTTCTAACCTGGCTAAAATTTCGGTTAACTGCAGCTGTATTATCTTTTTAAATTAAGTAGTCTAACAAAAGACTGAACCGTTCCTTTTCCTGATCAGCTCTACATTCACTATCAATACTCGCTAAGCCTTGGCGGTCGACGGACGAGGCCAGTTTATTATGGCTGCTATGAATAAGTTTCCCTGACTCTCCTTTTTTCCCGAGATTTCTTTTAATAAGTATTATAAAGCAAAAATTTTTGAAAATTGTATCTAATCACGGGACATGTATGTTAGGTAGGTACTAGGTAGCAGGTTTTTGGTCAGCCAGGGAAACTTGAAATAGTACTTTAATTTATCTTAAACGACATAAGTACTGTAACATAAGCATATGATCGCATTATTGGCCTCTTTCCAGTTGCGACCATAGGATCGTTTAAATGGTGTGAAAAGATACAGGCTTGCGCGCCTGCTGCAGTTAAGAGTATGGTTTAAATCGCAATAAAGGCTGTTTTTTTAAGTACTTAATAAATGTTCTATCAGGTTTCAGCATCTTAATGATCTTATCGTTCTAAGCTGGGAAAACCAAAACATCGGCTTGATATCGGTATCAAAACAGGTGTGTTGCAACGATACAGAACCGTTTGCGTTTGGTCTGTTGGACTGGTTTGTTTAGAATTAGGTAGCACCGTAGCAGACTAGCAGCTACGAGTAGCAGTAGGACTAGTTTCAGTTCTTTTAACTTTTTACTCATTTATCATTTATGATTTACTTGTGCTGTTTTGCACGTACCGTTCACACGTTAGAGCGACAAATTGCATTGTTTGGAAATCTTTTTTGATCTGTGTAAAATGAAGAAATACCCTAATAACAGCGAAATAGTTTTGGGACAGTTGAAAAAGTTGCAAAGTCCTGCTGCCTTAGTGAAGGTAAGTAACTCACAATCAGTTGCACAGTTAAAATCGCTTTATCATTTATGATCTCTTTCCGTGCTTAATTTTTTTAAATTTTGAAGCGGAAATTGAAACTTCTCGCTTTTTTATTAAAGTTGGTATGTCACTGTATGTGGAATCAGTCAGACTTTTCGCACGCAACTTTAAAGTTTAACCTTTAACCCCTACCTTTTAATTTACGATTAGATGCAATCATCAGGGTCTGTATAATGTTTTCATGCAATCATGCGAATAACAAAACTTTGTATTTGTACCTTCCGCTTTTACGAATGTTAGATTGTGCAACAGTATTCGTAATAATAACAAAACATATTTGCTAATTTGGATGAAATTTGCAACTGTGGTGATGTTGCGTTGCTTGTGCTTTAGTGACTTGAAAAGTGATAGTGTGCACTTTGCAATGGCTGAATACGATGCGATTGTAAAACATGCACTGCGATTACGCACTTGTTATCCTAATCAGTGGATCGTAGAAATTTTTATCAAAATGTTTTTATTTACGTATCAAATTTTATATTGGCGCTGTTAAATATTGCTGGCTTGTAGGCTGTGGCCGAAGACAATCTAGCCAGTATTCCCTTGGCGCCCGTAAGAGTTCAAGCGCCAAGTAAGCCAAAAAGCGGCTCATTTGCACGCAGTTCACTGCGACCGAGTCTGCTTCCGCGTCAGTCAGATCAAGATGCAAGATCAGAATCCGACGATGACGAATGCGAAGTGGAATGTGTTCGGGACAAGAAGGTGACCGCGGACGGCTGCATCAAATATTATGTGAAATGGGCGGGATATCCTGACAGTGAATCCTCGTGGGTGCCGGCGTCGAATATGAAAAATGCTCGCTCGTTGGTGCGCAAATATGAGCAGTCCCTCCAACAGCAGCAGCAGAATAAGAAATGTTTGGGGAGTGTTGCGAAGAATACTTCCAAAACGCCTTCCGCGTCGAAATCTGCCAGTAGAGATACCGTGGCAAAATCTCCCGCCGCAACGGCCCGCCTACAAACTGTTGCCTCACCGGAAGTCGTCCCGGTAAATGTGGTGACGGGGGCCAAAAATACGTTCAGTAGTCCATGCGTTCCTGCCGTTTCCCACGCAATTCCCAAGACGGAACCGGTTTTTAAACGGGTGAAACGTCCTTCGATCGCTGCTGTTCCGAAACTGACGTTATCCATCAATTCCCCCGGATCGGCACAACCGCCGCCGTCATCTCCATCCATAGCGTCGACACCGTCTGATCAACCAGAAGGTTCAGGGCAATCTGACACACCTAGCCAGGAACAGTTGGTAAGTGTCCCAAGTAATATTTTTCCTTAAACTGAACTCTAGGGCTCCTGACTAGGATTATTTGGGTACGGTAAAAGTACAAGAGTTTTTTGTTTTTCAGAGCCGGAAAAGGAAAGCCAAAATGGAAGCGACCGATAGACTGAAACTTCAAGCGGCCTTGGACAGTCGATGGAGAAATAACATTCTAGCGGAACCCTCCACCGCTCCTACCAGTAGTAAATCTGTGAAAAGTGTATCCAGCCGATCGGACACATCATCTGTACGTTGATGATTTTTCTCCCGAAGTTGTTGTAAATTATGGATTACTTATACAGTTGTACCTGTACTCTAATGATTACTCGTAATTAGTGTAATTTATGGACTAGCCAGTAGTTGTACAAGTACAGATAACTTGGTTATTCTAATACTTGTGTAGTATACTGTATATTTAAGACTCAATCTTCGATACTTCACTTTTGGTCTTTTTAGGGTATAACGGTCGCCAGCACGAGCTCGTCCATTGAATATACTTACCAAGCGCCGCCACCCGATCCCTCTCGTATCCGCGTCATCAAGAACGGTGGCTCTGGAATAGAAATGGGCAAACTCGCGGTGAATGTTTTGGGGCATAAACCTGCGAATCTCCGCATTCGCACCTTGAGCGATGTGGAATTTCTTGTCAACTACGCCGATCATCCCCAGGAATACGTGCCTTACATTACGTGTATTGAACGGATTCCGAATTTGATCGCCGAATATTTGGCTCGCGTCCCAGTATTACTACTTAACGGAGCTTTTTGAACAGTAAGTACTTGTATAGGAAACTGATAGCATGAAATTGTGCAGCGTGTTGCCGCTGTTGCGGATTTTTGTTTGCGGAAGTGTATATAAATATTCCTGTGAACTGATTGGTAGTATGTAGCACATAATTAGCACTACGAGGATATGTCCGAAAATATGTTATCGTCGCTTAAGTACTTCAAAGTAGTGTACTTGGACATTTTTCGTCCAAATAGTAAATTTTTCCCGCACAGTATGGTTGCGCAGCTTCCAAAGCACTGGTAATCTGCTACTCTGGAAACTCTTGTTTTTCAGCGTTCAGGATCCGGAATCTCATTGGATCGTTGTCGTTTTCTTCTTTGGATTAACGATTTTTAAATTTTGAATTGTGCTTCATGATCGGACAAATTACGACGCCCCAGTGTGGGGATCACTTGCTGTTTTCGGTACGCTGTTTCTGTATTCGACGTTTGATACATGTGTGTTCCTGAAACTTCCTACAGATCCATACATTTTCAGATTCTAAATGAATTATGTAGACAGGTCCCAGAAGCATTTATTTTACCCTGCAATCTTGCAATTGCTGTGTTTGACCCTTGCCCCTTGGTAATAATGTGTAATACGAATTTACGAGTTATTAAAGACGGCGCTAACAAATATATAATTTTAAAATATCATATGTACGATATCTATATTTATATATGGTACTCGTATATATACAAGTACACGTATTAGGCTTACTAATTGTTGAATCCATTACCGGATTTCATTTCCGGTATTTTGAGCATACAAATCAGTCAGGATTCTCAGGAACTACCATACATGATAGGTTTGGTTTTTTAAATGACTGTTTAAATTCTGGTCTTTTTAAGGAGTAGACAGCGGTCCTAACTCATTTATAGTTGATTTGTAATGCGTACTCCCTGTACTGGCAAATGCTGAATAAAATTTCACCAATTAATAAGTATGATTGTAATCTCCATATGTGCACCTACTGTAGCTGTTTCTTTGTGGTGCAGCGTTCTTGACAATAAGCACAAGACCTTGAATTTAGCCGGAAATTTAATTACAGCAAGCTGCTGTTCAGAATTTTTAGCCCATATACACGTACAGATATACAGTACATAGTTACTTACTAATACTGCCCAGTGCCCAATTCTTATACGTACGTTGCGGTTGCAGTTCACATTAAAACATTGCGATGCAAATGTGACAAAGCCATTGTTTCTACACACCTTTCCGTTTCCGTACATTATACATATAGTATGCTAATGTACGAGTATGCAGTGGAATGTTCCTTTGTAAATTACTGCCCTAATATTTTCCGAGGCATTCTACGAGTACGTAGTAGTATGCTAATTGTTAGTTACTTTGGCTAGATGAAGATGATCAAACCGAAAAACTTCCTAATCAGTAATCATGAAAGAAACTGATCATTAAGGGCCTTTTACCGTGAGTTTTACGGCATTCGATTAAGTGAGTACGTACAGATATTTTAAGTTGCAACGATAAAAAGCTAACAAAGCGGAATAATGATACAGTGATACTTAACCGTCGGCGGTAAACAAATTCAAAATAAATTTGATTACAAGTACATATATAACTTACAACCAATATTTTTGAGGTTGCGCAAAACGTTTTAATCGAAGTATAGTAAGCCATTCATTCCATCCCTCATCCCGGAAAATTTGCGCACCCATTAGACAAAGTCAATAACAATTAAGCAATTCTAATTCATTTAACAAGCTTCATACCAGGGACAAAGACACAAAAACACCGCATACCGTAGTCAAAGTTTCCGGATGACCGGAACAAAATAGTTCTTCCAGCTGTTGACAACCCGAAACTTGGTAGGACGCGTGGCTGTTAGATCTGAAAATAATAACAAATTTAGCCGAACCAGAGAAAATTTCGAGCTCGAACTGTATTAAATTTAGGTCTCACTGTTTGCAAAGTCAGCAATTTTATCAGTTTTAAGTAATGCACACTGTACCGCGTCACCTAACATACAGTGACTAAATATAAGTTTTAGAATAAAAAAAGCGTTTTGAAAACTATGCCGACCAGTGCGAAATGCCAATCATACAAAACAAACTACCATTCAAAGCATGATTTTCCAAGGGGAAAAATGCTGATCACTGAGGGGCAGTTTGACCCATGAATCCAAAAGGGCCGGTTGCAGCCATTTTGCTCTCATCAAACAATTTGGCTCTTTCCTCGCGTTCCATCCGCTCCATTTCCAGGGGACTGATGGGGCGGTACTGTTCAGCGGACATCCGGGAAAACAATATTCCCACGCCTTCAATCATGGCCAAGAGCACCCCGCCAATCACCGCCGACCCCACCATCGCGGGGACGCCCTGACGGACGGCGAGAATGGCGCCCGTCAGTGCGCCACTGGAAATAGAGTTCCACGGATCCTCTTTCTTCCGAATGGCCACCAGCGAGCAGTCGATACACGAGAATAATCCGCCCCACACGGCAAAGTTTCCTCCGATAATGGGGGCCCGCTGCTTAATGGCCGACATGGATCCGGCCAGGCGTTTGGTGATGCCTGAGGGAGCATTGCGGAAACCCTTGATGCTCTGGAACACCGATCCACCGATGGCGCCCATGGTGAATGCACCACCGCAGTCGTCGACGATGCGCCATGGACAGGGTTCTCTGGCGTATTCCTCCATAACTGTTAATAGAGAATGGGATATCGAAAACCAAAGTGAAGTACTAGTCAACTATTGTCTACGACGGTATTCGGCGGCTGTTGCCGAGAATGATGAAATCAGAATTAGACACAGCACTAGCACGGGCTGACAATCTGCAAAGTGTAAATACGTGAGAGGCGGTAAGAGGGCAGAGTGCTACGGCTTGAGAAAACTGCACAAATTCATTCCACAAATGCGATTAACTTTTCAATTCAAAATCAATGCTCGCAGATAATAGGAGAAATATCCAAATAAAATAAAACTGACATGAGACAGAGACAGGTTAGACAAAAAATAAACTTACGAAAAAACCCGACAACAAGGTCTGCGAAATTTCGTAACAGCCGTGGTTTCTTTCCGATTTGTAACGAGCGTAGATAGCAAGGGGATTAGGACGTCTACTATCCCGGGGTTCCGTTGACAAAGCAGCTGGAATGCAATGCTTTGCTTCCCGCTGCCGCTTGATACCTTCGTTGCGATACTGGCACTGTATTTTCATTTTTCAAGACTTTCTGTTTTTTCGGTTTTCAAACTTTTCTTGTTGATTTTGTGTTCGTTTCGTATAGCGCTTTTGTAAATAACGGAATATTTTTCTTCGCGCAAATGGCAATGCTATGATTAATGATTAATCGGTTATTAAGCGGGGCCAAAGAATTCCAGGACGCGTGCCTGCCTGCACTTATGAAATTGTAGTCCACGATCAGAGAAACCCACGGTGATCCGATCCAACCCGTGTACCGTATTCGTGAAGACGTGCCATCTTCCTTTTTCTCATTTGAATTTTCTTGTTTGGAAGATTGTTGCCGAAGGGTTGCTGCAAGCATTCCACCATGTTGCAAAGTGCACTGGCTGCTCTGCGGCAGCAAGTGTGGCCGACGTACGCTGGAGGCGCCTGCTATCAGCTGGCCGTCAGAACGGCCAAACGAAAGCATCTCCGTATTGCCGCGCGCAGGAAGCGAGAAATGGAAAACAAACTGAAAGCCAAGGAGAAGATTATCGAAAAGACCTTCGTACCGTATAAAATCCGACTGCTGCAGCAGTAAGTGCAGTTGACTCGAAAATTCCTTATTTTTTGGCAAGTGTTATGCTTTTTGATTCACTGCCGAGTAGGTGACTAGCTAGGAACCTTACGTACATTCGTACATTAGCGCCATTATGGCGCTAATGTACGAATATATGGCGCCGCCATATATTTGTAAATATACCATAATATTGCTATTTTGTACCCCATTTGCATTTCGTTTGCTTGGTTTTCAGGAACGCACCAAAAGTTCGCTATGACGAGCTTCTGGCGCAGCAGTTCCCATTTACTCCTACGGATAATGTGTGGTTCCAGAAATCTTACATGAAACGCGTATGCAGCTTGGACGAAGCTCTGCAGTTTCACCGTGAAGCCTGTCATCCGACGGTGCTAAATATCCCCGAAGCACCGCTGCTGCTCGATGTCGAATTGAATATGAAAACGGATAAAGTGAGTTGAAATTACAAATATTAAAAATCCGGATTTGCGTATGTATTCTTTACGATTAATAACGAGATTTCTTTGATGTGTGCTTGACAAACGACACACAAAGTGTGCAGGTTTAGTTATCAAGTTAACTGGTTTTGTTCTTTTGTGCAGTGTACAATTGTACAACCAATTTACTGTCATTGGGGTAAATGTGCATATCCAGAACTATCTGCATTATTCGCTTTAGGAAAAATTTTTGGACACGGTTCAAGGACTCGTAATGCTTCCTCACACCGAAGATACGAGAGTTCGACGAAGTGTAATCGCCTTTTGCAAGGTAAAAAGTGCCGGTTTTAAGTGAATTCAATCATGTACGTATTAATTTACGAAACAAATACAAATTGTATAATTATTGTTGGCGCAGGTACTTTACAGTGGTCAGAAGATCTAGCACGATATTGATTATGCTCGTACAGTTAAGTGTTGAATAAAAGTCTTGTGGTGCAGCTGAAACTCGTAATGCATTACTAGTACTTCAGCGGACATGGGCATTACTTCAGCGGACGCCTCATGAGAAGTTTTTTATGGTAGCAATAACAACGAACCATGATAAAAGTTTTTAACCCAGGAAAATCGGCTACCAGAAGGAATGCGAATTCAGGTTGTATGTTTAAGGGTTATTCTTGTAGAATATCGAAGATCAACACAAGGCTTTGGAAGCGGGGGCTGATATAGCCGGAGGAGAGGAACTCGTGACAAAAATTGAAAAAGGCGAAGTAAAAGTAGACAATATCGCCTACGCTGTGAGCCATGTGGATACTATTGTTGATGTCTTGCGGCTCAGAGGGATTTTGAAGAAGGCGCTACCTGAAAAAAAGAGAGGTAGAAACATCTACGCTGAGTGCAGGTTTAGAAATTTTTTTCTAATGTGTGATAGTAGATAATACATAATTATTGATGTTATTGTTGCGTACAGGGATGGTCGGCACAGATATGGCAACTATGACACGTACATTTGCCACTGGAATACAGTATGATAGTTTCAAAGTGCGCGGCGAGTTGTGGTGGGCCCATGTGAAATTTCCCATTGGCAAAGTGAATATGCCGGATCAGCATGTAAAAGAGAATTTGGAAGTCTTTCTGAAATCCGTGACAATCCTGAAGCCAGCTGATTTAGGTATGGCTGAGTTTTATGTGCAAAGTTGCACAGGTTGATAGAGGTTGCTGGTTCTTGTCTGTACCCGTACCAAAGAACGATGTACAATACATTGTGTACACTGTACACTATACAGAAAAAAACTCTTGTGTATCCGAAAAATTATATTTTTATTTAATTGCATTCGGTTTCTCCTGTTACAGGTTTTATCCTGAAAGGCGTTTTACGAGCAGAAGGGTCAACCGAAGAGTTTGTAATTGATTTGCAGCCCTACATCCCGAAGGTTGAGAAGGTGAAAAAGGGAAAAAAGGGTAAAACAGACGAGGTCAAATTTGTTGAACCGGCGACAAACGTGGCGGACGGTGATGCGCAGGAGCGCCAGGCTGTGCAAGCTTAGATTATTTTGGTTTGATTGCGTTACCTGGACGATGTTTTGTACGCGAACTTATGAATTGTCACTTTTCTTGCAGAGCAAGGCGTGACGTGCAAAAATGGCTAAAAATGTTAGAATTCGTTTTACTGTACATAGCAGTTGCTGCTGTTTTTATAATAAAAATGGAGAAGTTGGAAATGTGTAGTTTAAATTACCTAACATAAATAAATTGCAACAAGGCACACGCTGACGCGGTCTATAGTTTCAATTCAGAACTTCATTGTACGCTTTGTACTTGCGGCAAAACAAAATAATCTAAAATTATTACATGAGGCGTAGCAATGCATAGGCACTACAGTAGAGTAGGCAGGCTGTTACGCTCACTGTAGTATGTGCATTACAGTGCATCATTTGTTCTTGAGTCATGGCGTCGTTTCAACTGGTAACTTGTTTGATATCGAGTTTTTCGTTGTGAATTGTTTTGGCGCTGTTCGTAAGGCCTGGAGTAATGTAGTATTTGAATTCTCTGTTTTCAAGAAATTCTTCAGACCCTGTGTACAGGACGTACACCTTGTTATTAACTGCGACATTATTAGTAGGAGTTTGTTTTTTCGCAGCTGATAATCCTAGCAGGCTATGAGTGGCTGATCGGTGTGCTTCCGCGATGGCATCTGCGATATTTTTACCTGTGCTTTTTATTGTATGCACATATGGCGTTTATTACCTGGCAGTTTCTGCTCCATCCATGGAATCTGGAGAGCGGTAAGGATAATGTTTCCTGGCAAAAATTCTCATAAACTAGCTACGACTATGTTGCAGCTTTCTGCAAGTATAGAGTACACCGGTGCGAACTAATGGTGAATTCAGCTAATAGGCTAATTCCTGAATTTCATAACAATGCCGTTATTGCGATTCCGAAATTATTGTATTTGCGTAAATTGACAGCCTGTATTACTGGTATGAGACTGACTGATGCTGAATGAGTGTATCTACTTTGACTTTGCAACTGCTTTTTGTTCAGATTGGATCTCCATTTTCCGAAGTCTTTCGAAGATTTGAAGAATACCACTACTCTACTCTATGAATATAAAGAACAGCACCATCTCTACGTTCTCATGTTATTTTGTGCAGCTTTTTTGTGGAAACAGTCGTTCGGAATTCCGGGCTCCGCTAGTTTGGTAAGCCGGTGTATGTTTTACGAGTATTCGTTAGCATTGCCAATTTTGTTTAGCGTCATGTACATGGAAATAAGAAGTCGTACAAAGATACAGTTTAAGTTAATAACTGTAACTATTATTTTTTGTTTATTACGATTTATTGAGTGTATGTTAATTACAGTTTAGTGACTATTCGAATTCTCGCGTTCATTCGTAAGAGCACGCAATTTGAATTATTTACTGATTTACGTTTTTTGATGAATATTTTAGAATATTGCATCCGGAGCACTGTTTGGCTTTTGGATGGGATTTCCACTTTCATGCTTGTTGACTGCTGTGGGAGCAACAAATTGCTATATTTTATCGTATTTATTTGGACATAAACTAGTCATAAGATTTTTTTCGGCAAAATTGGCCTGGCTGCGCAGTATGGTAAGTGAAACTCACTTTCGTTAGGTTTTAAAAAAATATCTTTTTTGCTAAAAATGAATTTGATCGTTTGCAGATCCACAGTAACAGCCAACAACTGATGTATTATTTGTTGTTTCTGCGATTGTTTCCGGCATCACCTAATTGGTTCCTTAATATTGCCTCGCCGCATTTGGGAATTCCGATACATAAATTTTTTGCAGCGATATTTTTCGGTAGGTTTTTTCTGTGTTCGCTGTTGACTACTCTAAAATTGTACCGACAGAAAACATACACGTTGTTACGGTATATTTAATGCATAATAAATGTGTACGGACTGTGCAACCAAAACGACTTTACCGAAACGTTTTTTGCAGGATTGATGCCATATAATTTCATCTGTGTACACAGTGGTAGCATTTTACGGGACTTAAACTCCTTCAACGAGATTTTCACGTGGAGTAGAATCGCGCAGCTGGTTCTAATTGCAAGTGTGGCTCTTATTCCTGGAATATATTTAAAGAAATCCCAGCGAAGCGCTCCGAATACTACTGCAGTTCAGAATTCTAATGTAACGGAAAATGTGGATACACAACAGACAAGGCGGTGATTTTTTGTGATATTAAAGCATTGTTGTTTATGAGCGCACGGTAGAATCGTTTCGGTTTATTTTCGTGAAATCAAGTTGAACGAGTTGTTAAATAAATTTTGTTTTTGCCCGTTATTGCTATTTATGGTTTATAACTTTATATGTTTGAAATCTTGTATCGATTTGAACGGATTAAATTAAAACAAACGATTAAGCCGGTTACAGTCCTTTTAAACTGTTTTTTTAGTTTTTAAATACCGCTCACTTCCCAGTTGTAATAATTTTGTAAGTATTGAGCAAACAGAAACATTCTTTCGAGATGCAAAAACTGGCGTGCAAATTTGTATCACACTTCATTTCCAGTCACTATTAGTAGCTTACTGATAGACAGCTATATGCTTCTCATTTTTTTGTTGGTTTGACTTTATAGTAACGACTTTCCAAGTGTACGATTATCAGTGATATGTTACGCTTAATTAGTGTGGGAAGTCTGGAAATAAAAAAAATGCATAACGATTACTGATTTTTAATTGCCTGAAGTCTATGGAACGCGACAGTAGGCTTGAATAGGCTATAAAAATTTTTTAGCACTTTCCTAACTGGTGAAAAGAATGGACAGCAACACTGAGTAAAATAAGTAGGGTAGCATTTCCCAGTTCCGGTTTAGTTTTATAGCCGATCGATCTCCTGAATTAAATGCTTATCGGTATAAGTAAGTTACCGTAATTATAAAACGTGGGCGAGAATCTACCGAGGGCGGGTCGTGAGAATTTGGTTATGTTGATAAATTTTTAATGTGAAACTGACAGAGAAATTCCTTGTTATTGTCCCTGCTAAGGTACGCAGTCCAAAATATGAGCAATTATCTTTTACTGCATATTACTGATATTAGATGCATAGGCGTAATTAGATTATTATTAAGATTATTGACGGAGTATTTCCCGGCGGCGGCTGTTGAAAAAGCGCATTTGTGCGGTCTTTATGTTTGTGGTGCTCGTGTGCGGTTGCCTCTCGTGATGACATCCGCTGTGTCGGTTTGAGCCAAATGGTGCGTGTGTTTTTATTACATAACGTGATGCCGCTTTACTGGTGGACCGACTTGTTATGATCGTTTACTGACGTCGTCATTTCCGTGCTTGTACCTCGGTTGGAAAACACGATAGTCCTTTGGTCGTGTACATACGACTACTGTGTGTATGTGTGTGCCTTTTTAACGATCGTCTTCCGTAGAGGATAGCGAGTGTATGTATAATCTGTTTGGTATCTCGGCCTTGTCCTTCAGTATGTCAAATTCAGTGGAACAGAGGAGCTCTTCAGATTCGGTTGTGGAGAAACCCAGTGATTTGTTCCCGTCTGGCACGAGCGCTGCCGTTGATTTGCCGCATATTTCGACATTTCTACACTATCAGCATTCTGCCCTTGAGGAATGCCAGCAGCGTATTAAACAGCAAGAATCCATTAAAGCGGATTATGTGCGACTACAGCAGCGTCTATCCGACATTGGCAGCAGTACACGGTATCCGAACAGTGTCGTACCACTCGGTCGCCACTGTGTTGTGCGCGCGGAATTAATTCACACGAATGAAATCCTTGTCTTTCTGGGTGATGGTTATTTTGTCGAACGGACTAGTCAGCAGGCCGTGGAGATTGTTGGACGGCGATTGCATGTGATTAGCACGGTATTACAGCGCTTAACCGAAGAGAAGGCGCTGATTGACGGCAAAATGGAGATGCTGGCCAAATTAGCTCAACAGCAAAGTATGGAGGATGTCGTGGAGATTCGCGAGCGCCTGGATGAGCATCATTACGGGCCAGGGGAGGGTCGGGCAGTGCGGGAAAAATTATCCACCGACGAGCAGATCCGACAGCGTCTGGATGAACTGGAAGACGAGGAGGACGACGGGAAACGGGGTGGATCCTCCCTGGATGAACCGGAAGAGCTGCAGGTGGAGGATGACAGTGAGGATATGACCGAGGATGATTTTTTTAAACGCCCCATCCCGCCCCCTAACGCCCGGCCCCGGCGCAGTTCCCTGCCGTCGGTGGACACCGGGAAGCGGAGTCGGAAGAAGAGTGTCACGTTCGCGCCCATCGAGGGCGGACGGGTGCCGGAACGGGAGAATAAATCCCAAAATAGTATGTTCAAGCAGGCGTTAAAGTTGAAATTGGTGGGGACAAAGTGTAAAAGTATGGATGCCGGGGAGGATGGGGACGAGGATTGGGCGTATATGCCGCCGGTGCGGACGTATTCGGAGGGTGCTGGACCGAAATTAAAGGTATTGTGTTCATCCTTGTATAATACACGGATTTAAAATTTTCCGGATGAATTGTTGAGGCTTTTTACTCGCTAATCGCTTGTGCTTGATTTATTGATTTTAATGATTTATCGATTTTAATGTTTATTAAAATGGTATCATTGTTTATTGAAATCGCATGAGTTAGAAAGGGTTGGTTTTGTGACGGATTTAAAAATGGCGAAAGGCTTTTCATAATTGTTTATCGGTCATAATGCATAATTCTGTTCTTTGTCGTCAGCTGACGACGGTCGCATTCGCTTGAGGCAGATTTATTGTTAGCATAGCACCTACTCTCTATCAGTCGAACGCTGGAAAGGTGCTGTTACTTAATCTTTCTAGTTAGGGCTGCTCGAGAACATATCCATATTTCTGTTTTTCCACTTTATGAACGGAAATTTTGAAATTAATATTTCTCCGTGAATTAATCAACGAATCAGCGAAATTGTTAAGTAAGTACGCAATTCAAACGTTTTCTCGTGGAAATCTCTCGTTTTTGCGGGTGCCTTGGCCTTAGCCCTTACATTTGAAGTCTTTCGGGTTTGATTAATGCTGTAATTTAAAACGGCCATGTTTTATCGATTTTACTTTTTTAACCGCCTTATTGCTGCCCGTTGATGGATTGCATAGAAACCGCTGTAGCAATACTTACAGTGCACAGTAGCAGCTGATAAGCAAACCGTAAACATTTTTAATGCTCGCGCGAGTGTGTCGAATTTATGTTCATTTTATAGGCAAGATTGCAGGGGTCTGCTACGGCGGAAATTCTCTGTGCACCTTTTAAAGTAGCCACTTTTTTAGCAAAAAAATTCTACTTATGGTAAAATCCAGGGATGTGCTTCGTTTCTGGGTTCTTCTGTTGCTACTTAAACTTCTGTAGTCTGTATGGACAGTTAGTCGAGAATGAACATTATTAATTTTATGTAAGACATACGTGTAATGTGTATTAACTGTATTTACCAAATTTTTTGCATGATCACTGCCAAGATTTGCCGTGCGATGTTATTTATATTTTGGAGCTGTGTTTGCCTGTGCCTGTGCTTTGTAGTTATACCAGCTGTCTTTTATTGGAACCTGCAATGATGTCGTGATTAGCCATCATTATAATCGCTGTGCGTGATTGCAGAAACAGGAGCACGTTAATAGTATGGATATGGATGTGGAGATGGCATCCAATGCACTTCCTGTTTCCGATACGAATGTCATTGTGGAGCGCAATGTGGATAGCCTGGAATCTCCTTCTGCCTTACCGTCTGCATCGTCAGAATCTCGACCTGTCTCCCGATTTAAGGCTAGTCGCATGCAGAAAGAAAGCTAGGAGAAAAGTGGTTCATATTATAAATTCTCCTTTTGTGACAATGCAGTGCCCAAAATTCTGTGTGCGCTTGTAAAGTGTATAAAATTCTTTTGCCGGCATTAATATTGACTTACCTGGGTTGTGTTTTCAAAGCATTTTGGCAATTTCAGAGAGTTTTATTGTTACAAGTTTTCTTCATTTGCACAAAATATTTCTTATAGTCCAGCCGGGAAGAATGCTGTTTTTGCGTGTGATCGCAGTTTGATTTGTGATGGCCCGACAGTTGTATGTATTGTGGCCGTTTGAAGTTATGCGCTTACACGCTGACTAAAATAAGTAATCCTGTGGTTTTTTGATTACGCTGCCGAATGTGGATTAATTCAGTAGACAAACTCGATCCGCCGGGTGGTTTTGTTGACAAAACTATGATTCAGTGAGGGTTCCAGAGATTTTGGCAGGCGGTACCGTTCTCGTGCATACGGACTGTGAGAATTAAATAAGTACTTTATGCACTTAAGTTTTCATTACAGTACTTACTTGAAACGGGTTATCTGGGTGTACAGTGTGGAAACACAAACCGGTTTTTTTAATATTGAGTGTATACCATAGTTGAGGACAACACCGAAAGCCGCATGTTCTATCAAATACTAAATCCTTTAAAATGGCTTAGAATGTCTTAAGCGGCTTCTGTTTGTGTTTCCTTTCACTATGATAATTTTGCGTCATCGATGCAGAAACTTCACTATCTACTTTATTGTCAATATAATACTAATATACGTAGATATAAATTATATTCAACTTACAGTTAATTTAATAGTCCTGTGCAGTTAATACTTATTGTTAATGCTTTGTACATATACGTACCGGCAGCGCCGTTCAGTTTTTAACGCAGTGCAGTCGTGCGCTAACTATAAAATTAATATGATCATCGTATGTTCATCATCCTGTGTTCTCGCCGTGCAAAAAATTGTACTGTTCAACGTCTGATTTAGAGTCATTTCACTAAAATGCCTTAATGAGTGGCCAAGTGAAGCAGTGTACATGCGTTTATTGTGAGGAAATGCATGTGTTCACAACAAGATATGCAAAATTACAAATAATATACTGTTTTTAACGATGAATTCCTGTGCATTTGACTTTACGACCTAGAAATATGATCGAGTAAATCACATTGCATAACTGCCATTGCGCGTTTATTATTGTAGGTATAACAATTTTAGGTATAACGCATTTCTGTTGTTAGGTATAATAGGAATAAGCTGCATAGTATGAACTACACATTAGCGTATGCATATAGTACTGACTGTGAGACCGTTCAATTACCGGTTTTGTTTATTACGCGCACACGCAAATAACGGAAAAGTTGTGAATTCAGCAAAACATTATTACGAACTTACAGTATCACGGAACCTCGCTTTTTACTGCGCTTCTATCAAACATCCGGTCCTGGTAAAAAGTGTTCTGCTCTATCATATCGGCTATACGGAGCTGTTGACAAAGAATTTCTAATCGACTGATAACTGTATTTTATTTGAATGAATTGTTTCGTCCAGCGGTGATTTGTTACACCAGTAACATTTAATCTTTCGGATATCGAAGTACCTTTGTAAAACGTATGCGCAATAATCACTAGACATCCATTGATAAGTGATTTGTTGGAAGGTCAGATGCGGACACTATCAAAATCAGTGTGTTATTTTTTGGGCTTCCGTTATTGTAGTTTCGAAAATTAACTAAAAACCGGCACCATGAACACCCTTGCGTGGATTCTGGCAGTATCTTTCTTAGCATTACTTGGTCACCAGGCTGGTAAGCAAAATATTTATATTTTTAGTACGTATCGATTTGCCCTTGTAATCGTCAGGGGGCAACCGCATCCACAGTTCACTTAGAACACAATAAATAATTGTTCTAAGTGAATTGTGGATGCGGTTGCCCCGTGTGCTGACGTTTAATTCTTACTAATTGTACAAATTGTTTAATTGTATTGAAGTGAGGTGCGTATAACATACAAAGTATGTAAAAATATATTACTACTTTTCATTTTCTGGAAATAACCCATACGAATAACGGAATAAGATAAATTTATGTTGCGCAAGTTCAATAGCGCGTTTTATTATCTAATTGTAAGTGAAAATACACCGATTTACTTTTGTCCTGTTGCAGAGAGCTGCTCGCTTCTTTTCCCGGATGTGTGCAAGGTAATTTACAAAGCTTTAATCTTTTTGTAACGCATATGTTATACTTGCTTTTAAAAATTGTTGCAAAAAAATATTGCAAACATTGCGGGCTTTTTACGTATTTAGAAATCCATAAGCTTTGCCATAACCTCCTCTTTTGAGATTTGAAAATTACAAGCATTACTATTGCATGTACGCGTATATAGTATATAATACGGATATACATACATATATCATATAGATATATATGTATGTATAACGTATATATGTATGTATGTATATATGTATGTATGTATGTATGTATGTATGTATGTATGTATGTATGTATGTATGTATGTATGTATGTATAATGTATGTATATCTATATATGTATGTATGTATAGCTCTATTAAGTGAAAACGTGCACATACGTAACAAAATGCAGTATACGGAAGTAAAGGGAACCATTTTTTATGCTGTTTAAATATTACAGAACGTGACCTGCCCAAATGGAGTGGCCTGCCAGTCTGACGCCAGCTACTGGAGTGAACATCGCATTGGCGGAGTGTCACTTCCGCCCTTGGCCAGATGCGAAGATTCCGGTAAAAATTATAATAAACAGCTACCAATATACTACTGATATTACAAGTATCATAAAACGTTAAATATTCCTAACATCAAACTTTTTTCAGATCCTTGCGTGGTAAGAATAAATGCTTCCCGGATTCCCGATGGCTCCACTTTTATCCAATTACAATAAATCTTTTGCATAGGGACATGTCTGTCGTCTGGGTACCCGTTGCGTAAAGGTCAAAGATTCGTGTGACGCACAAGGGATCTGCACCGTGAAGGCCCAATGCAATGGTTTGAATAGGAATTCTTAGAACACTATCTCTGCAATCCCCATGGGTAATGGATAATACGTAAAAATTTACAGAAATTAATCGTCCCGGAAAGTGTCCTAAACCGGAAAATATTCACGTCCACAGTTGCATGAATTCGTGCCGCGATGACGCTTTCTGTGAGGGCAACGCCAAGTGCTGCCGCAGCAAATCCACTGGCGGAAAATGGTGCGCGCACCTATGAGACAAGCAATAATTTCAACATTCCGATACTTACGATACCTGCTCCAAGCAACATAAAAAGCAAATGCGCAGTATTTTTTATTTTATAAAATCTAATGGAATGCTTACACTGGTTTCATCGTTAGTAGTGGCTGCTATTCCTACTCGCGGCAAGCAGCAAATAAATTAATTCTGATAAGAACTATATTTCAACATATTTAAGTATTTCAACACGCGACAGCAAAGGATACCTGTCTGTGTAAATTGTTAATTGCATCCGAGCATTCACAATGTCTGTACTCTGTTACGGCACTGCGTTACACTCTGAAAAATGCTTAAAGATAAATTAAATACCATGGCCAGTTAACGGCCTCTTTGGTTGATATATAGAAGTATATGTAATCTTTGCATTTACTTGCATTAGGTTACCTTCATAGTCAACTGGAAGCTAAAAAAAAGCTGTAAGCTCGTTCACCACATAAAATATAAACTCCTAATCATATACTAATTTGCTTTCTAAAGTAAAGAGAACATTCTTAGGCAGGACATACAGTCTTCGAGACTAGGACAGCACAAAAATAAGATTTGTACAACTGCTAAAAAACTTGATATCGATTCATACATTAACTTGTAATAAGTAATTAAAGACGTCGATGCAATAAAAGGTGAAACAACAGATTTTGTATTTATATAAATATGTATATGCTGTATTATGTACACATCTGTACAAGCCTGTGGTGCACGTGTGAAAATTAAAAACCGAAGATAAGTAGGCTTCCACTGTACTTGTATTTTCGGCAGCGTAATAGTATTTTCTTGGAGGCGATTCTTATCTAGTAATCACTCCTCGAAACGCCCAGACATGCACAGTAGTTTCCATCTCTTTCGTTGGCATGAATTAAATTTCTTGCCTCTGCTAAATTTTCTATTATAACCCTGTACTTATAAATTTCCGTTTTCGGGGTTTACATGATTACAACCCGTTTTGCTTGCAACAGACGGTAAATATCTTGTTCCTCCAGAACTTTTCTAAATATGATGCAGTTCGCGGTTGTTCTTCTCGGATGTACACTCTTGAATGCCGCGTACCACTTTAAAACAGCTGGTAAGTTCTGTACCTTTACTGTATTATGTATTTATTTAATGTGTTATGTATGTACTTCGCCACCACAAGGTTAATGGCATAATATTGGGCAGTGTATGCTAAAACATCTTGCATAGCGCATAACTAATTAAAATTACGATATTGGCTTCTACATAATATGACTGCGACAAGCTCTACGTGAAATTTATTACAATTGTATATATTCACTCTATCGATCGAAATTAAATTTCGCATCGATAAAGTATAATACTGTGTTAAACTTTCCCTTTTTTTACAGATGGGTGCTCCTTTCGTTGGCCAGATGCATGTGCGGTATGTCGGTGCTTATAGATTTAAATAAATTTTATTTCTATTTTTAATTTTTAATTAACTACCGTAGAGAATATGTTTAAAGTCCCTTCAAAAAAGAAAAGAAATCACAGACGCACTGGTACTCGCACTGATAGAAATTGTTTGTGTGTAAAATTCCCAAATTAACTCACCATTGATTTTAACATTGTAACAAAATGCTGTGCGTCCAGACAAACCGCATACATAGCGCTTTGTATTTAATTTTGCGCTCCTAATTGTGCGTGTGTAATATCAGTACTTTGTAACTTTCCTCGAAAGGTTTTTCTTTAAATCATGAACTAGCGTTTCGTTAAATGCGCTACCGCACAACGCGACAAAAAGCAGTCCGGTTTTGCGGGACTTTAAATTTCCCGATTATGAAAGAATTAGAAGAACATGCCACTGTACCAAAGATGCACATGATTTCGATTAGTAAGTAGCCAAATATTAATTTTCCAGAATGTGACCTGTCCGAACGGGCAGAAATGCCTTCCTTACTACGGTTACTGGTGTCACAACCGAATCGGTGGAATTTGTGCTCCACGTCCCAGTTGTGATTTAAAAACCGGTAAAAGTTACATTTCCTAAACAGTTTAGTCTGCGGTTAAAAAAATGACATTTTATAGTTTGCCTTAAGTTGCGAATATCTTCAACTTAAGAGTGCAACCCGGTGATAGTGATTTTATAAAGGATTCTTTTTGCAGATCCTTGTGCGGTAAGAAGCGGCTGCCATATTACACTTGCACATTTCAGGACCTTTGAAACAACTTTTCGATTTTGTTGTTTGAGCGACGAGATGCAGGCGTCTGCGTCAAAAAAAGTAATTCTGTATGATTTTTTCTTATAAATCTGTAGAAGGCAAGTTGTTCCAGCAGCGAGAAGTGCGTATCGGTAATTGATCAGTGCTCGGATCGCGCCGGATGTACTTTTAAGGCTCAGTGCAATGGTAAGACACATATATAAAAAAGTTACTTGAGTTATATTGCTGTTTGCCTACTTTCTTAATCCAGAATTAAAGCAAAAAATTACGGCATCCCATGTATGATGCAATTTTACTACATAAAAAGCAAAATTACCTGTTGTCTTATTTAAAAATAAAACAATTTTTGCTTTTTAAAATTTGATGTTAAAATGCATTGTGCACTGACTGTATTCCCCTGAAAAAAATTATGGTGATAACTAATTACTAAACAAATCGGTGTACCAGAAATCGACCGCCCTGGAAGATGTCCCAGTCCGGACGGAGTACGCCAAATGGCTAACAGTTGTTCCAACGGATGTCAAGACGACACGATGTGCCAATCCGATACGAAATGCTGTCCCGGTGGTCCTTTTGGAAAAATCTGCGTCTCGGCGGGATTCTTGCAGGAAATGATTAAAAACCGTAGTTAGAGTAGGTTGCAATTCTTAATCGTAGTCCATTTTCTGCTGCAATTCGTACGAAAGTATTAATGTACGTACGTGTTTCTTGCCATTTTTAACTGAAAAATAGTTAATTGTATGGCTGGGTTTTGCAAAACTCGATTTGGATTTTATAATCTGGTTTTTTTTTATCGATTATTTGTTCTGGAGCCAGTTTCCGGATTGTTGGATGAAGGAAAACGATAAATCTTGCTTCAAGAACACTAAAGCGCATGTGAATTTTTTACTGTTTTCTGCAGTACCGCATGACTAATTACAAGCACAGCAAAGTCATGGAAATCATACAGTTATACTGTACAATGCAACAAAACAATGTATAATAAGTGTTTGAAATATGCAAGGGTTGACCTTTATGTCGATGTGAGAGCTGTATAAGACCGTTCCATGTGCCAATCGAAAACAAATACTGTACAGAAAACGACTCCAAAACACTTTTGTACCAGTTCTTTGTCTGGTTAAGTTACTCCTTCCATTGCTGACAACAGTTTTTATTTCGCAACGGGAATTAGATGACAAACAAATCGTGCCACAAATCCGATTGCCGTAAAAGTTACATTATATAATTAAGCAGAAGCCAGCTTCTGACAAAGACAATAATATTATAATTGTTACACCATAAGCATACTATAGACGTCGATGAAATTAGCCGGTGCGTGTTTTGACACACTGATTAATGCGCGTTACAAGGAAATTCACCATACGGGTTTCAAGCACTTTCTCGTCCAGTTTCAAAGAGCTGGCCAGACCGGAAGTGCAGCGCCCATTGGTTACGCCGGTTACACGTGTTCCTGGAAGTTCTTGACCGTCGGCTGTCACGCACCAGCATTCCATGGAAGCGCCCAGATTTATGCACTGTTCAGGTTTATACGCTCCTGTTTCATCATCACATTCGGGTATATAAAACACGGATTCTCCTGTAGCCAAATAATGACAGAGGTTATTGTACCATTACAAGTATTTTATACAAAGTACACGAGTATAGTAGTATAATTATCACATTAAATTTCTTTTACGCAAGATGCAGATGTAGGTATGTTCTTACCTATATGTGGTATGAACAATTGTTAAGAGGCCGAAAATGAACGAAATATTACGAAAATGGTAGTCTGTTGCTTTGAGATTTAATGGCTGTATGAATTAACTTAAATTATAATAAATTTTCATCTTTATATCTTCGTACTTTGTGAAGGCACTTTCCAGCATGCGACAGCTTTTGTTCGCATATCCTTTTTCTGCGCCTGGCAGTCTGTAAGGCATCAAGAACTTCGCTTAAGGTCATTAAGGAATTTGAACACATGCGTTATGAAAGTTGAGAAACGCAGTTATGCACTTCCGCAACTTTACACAATTGGTTACCTGACAATGCCGGAGCGCACTGCACTAACTGAAGAAGGTTAACGGCAAAGGTGACGGAGAACAGTACGGTTTTCATGGCGTCGTGGGAGGGGATAAAGTTGGATATACAAAAGTCCACAAATAAATCTAAAACAAAGCGTGCAGATTGTGCTGTTTTTCCGAATATGTTGCTAGCTGTTAAAACTAAAGCTGACGATGGCTTAATATACCTAGGGTAGTTATAACGGCGTTATAACTATAACTGATGTGGAACTGGTTCACGATTTCGCCAGCGGTCAGATGTGACCCGAATCTTTCCGGTAGTGGTATACTCGTACCATATAGAGAACTACACTCGTACACTCAGTCAGCCATTTTATATACAATCTTGCAACTTTGGAAGTAAATTTATGTTGTCACGCGATCCCATTAAACACGACGCTCTTTGAAATGATTTGCTAGCTTTTTGTAGTAGCACAACGATCTGCGGTAATGAAGACTTGATGGATGCAGATAAGCACTTGATGATTATGCATGAATTGTAAGTGTAATATCTGCGAATTTGAAAGGATGGAGATGCACTGCATTATGGTACTTCGGCATTCACGGAGTAAAAATTTGTATTATACTTCGTGAATATCGGTAGTTAGTCAAGAACTCAAGATCGGTCAAAATAAAGGCGAAAACAATTTGTAAGATTAGGGGATTATTATAATTAATAATATATGTTTTTCCCGGTGAATATGGAAATTTACTTTCCTCCTTTCAGTGTTATGATACTGTCCTGGTTTTGTACATCTGTTATTTTGCATAAATGCAACAGTTATTATTATATTGAAGTATCCCGGCAGTGAATACACTACTGTAAGTGCACACTCAGGTATTTACAGTAACACTGTGCAATACACTGAAAATGCCAGTTTATCTGCAAACTAACTACCCATTGTATACGTATAAAAGCAAATGCACACTTCAGGATGCTATAACGAGTTCTTTTTTAAAAACAACAACTTTTTTTTCGTCAGGTAAAACAGTACAGTGCAGTATGCAGTCAGCAGTGATACGATTTATTGAAGGGGCGCTATGTATTGTGACGTTCATCACGTACGTTCAAATATCAAACATTAATGATTATAGCGTATCTTAAATTTGTGTTCAGAAAAGGATTTATACAACCTTGTTTTTGGTACTTTCCTTGTCAGTGTATTGTTTATAAAGAACATCTGCAATACTCGTACAGTCTGAATTAAAAGCGCACATTTTTGATCCCGATGAATGCCGAAAACCGAAGTTTTAACCGGATGCGGTGGAGCGTTACTTGTCACACATGTGCGAACAAAGAAAACGGAGAACTCAAACCAATCTTGACTTCTAAAGAGCTCTTAATATTTCAACTTCCGTTTCAATACAGAAGACAAACCGATAGAATGTATTTTTGTCATTGAGAAATCGATGCAAAACATGAAAAATCCGCCACATTTCTATCACATTTTTGCATTAATTACGCTCCAAAACGGCCGGTGTTATTTATAAAGGCACACAAAACAAAAAAGCTACTTACGTAAACTGGCGGTTATATTTGTTCACTTTCGGCTTTAAATCTGGATCGAGTATTTCAAACGCTAGAACTTCAAACAAAAAGTACTGGGTTTGTCAAATCCCTCCATAACATGATTATTTTAAAAATTTCAAAATATGATAAATAATAAATCCATATCTGAACAGAAATTCTCTTGATAAAAAAACTTATATGAGTGGAACTGTTGTAAGTGCTGTTTTTTACAATACTTACGTTACTTGATACAACTATGCAGTACAACAAAACAATATACTTGAAGTACTTGTATTACGCAATTACGCACGTAAGTACAGCTCGCAAATACGACTATAATTATTATTATGGCATAAAAGCAACTCGAATTTATCTATCACGCTTATGTTAATGGATAATACGATGAGCAACTGCATAAAATCTGTACTTGTTATGCCAGGCTGTGCGTTTTGAGTGTTCATCTCCGCTATGTAAAGCTAGGATGTTCATTATGAAAATTAAGTAACTAAATATCTAATTAATTTTAAAAATTTTGATAAAAGATAAACCATTTATAGATACACGCCATTGTTACGACGATTAATTTTTGTATTTGTAAATAATGTACAGACCACAATGCTTACGATTTGGCGTGTTAGTGTAAGTGTGTAGCAAATATGCCCATTAATCAATTGCAAAGGAACAGCGCGTACACAGAAAACAGTTGCACTGGTGCAGCGCGCGATAAATTCTTACCGATGTATGTCGATTGTGACACTGATGTCCTTTGGGTGCATCTTCGCTAAACACTACAATAGGAGCGGCTCAACATCCCATCAGATGGTCTTTTCCGGCCTCGGCAACGTCCATATTAATCATTGATTTTTCTCCCCTTTCTATTCTGTATTTCTGTTCGGATCCAGCCAAAAAAACACAGAGACTATAGTGTATATATTTGGACTCCGGCACTGTGCTGCTGTTGCCGATGATGCGTACCATGTCTGTTTAGTCTTTTTCAATCATTCTCATTCTCTAGATGCCCGATTACGTTTATCTTTCGACAATGCTTGCTTGCCTTGTTGAAGGAAAAATAAACCACTTGGCAGAGCACTCTTTTGCCGGGGATGTTGCCATTGCTGTTTGTTTTGCGCACTCTTTTCCGTGCGCGTTTTTTGTCTCTTTGTTCAGTACTCAATTAAGGAAGGATACTGTAGTGATCCATTATGCTGAGAAGAACACGGTCATTTGCATTTTCAGCCAAATTAATCTAACAACATGCGCTAGAGCAGATATATCGTAATTTAATTTTGACTGGCTGTAATGTAGTATTTGTTAGAAAAATAAGTGTGGGTTACTTACTTTCAGGGCAATTTATCGTTGGCCAGTATCTGCAGCTTATATCTAGTTTACTCTTTTTTTTTAACTTGGTACATAAGGTAACAGAAATACAGCATAATTCATAAATTTCTATAAGTTGTAACTCTTGAAGCGACTGGTTTGTAAATCTTGGTACCGTGAAAAGTTTTTACTGCCGTGTTTTGGAATATATAAAAATCCGAAATCCTCGTTGAAGTATTATAATTGGCATAGACTTGATCGAAATTTTTTTCTAATGTTGCTAGAATTGACTGATCAGACACAATCAAAAACTTTTTGTACATGATTCAAGATAATCTGTTGTGTACGTAATTATTGATTGTATGCTCAGAATACCTTCCCTCGTACGCATTTCGCGGAGCATTCCTGTTACGGCTACACAATGATGTTTTATGAAGTTAAACAAGTCGTCGGTCTGACAGAACAGTAAACATCTTTGTGATAAATTGTGATTTATTATTACGATCACGTACAGCTTTTGGTTTATTAAAGCATCCTAGCCGGCTCAACTTGATCTGAATACACTGTTAGTGTAAGGACAACAATTGTCAGGGTTTAATCACAAGTGTGATGCGGCGCTATACGAACGGCAAAATTGGCGGCAGTCTGGTGTCAGAAAATGAGAGAATCTCCGTACAATAATCCAAACAATTTTTTTAAAACAATGGGCGGCTTTTAAGAAAAAAAGTGACTTGTGTGCCCAATATCTACGCCCTGCTTATTTGAGGTATGTAAATGCTTTGAACATTTGTAATAACATCTCAAAAGATTATTGTCCATTTTACCCATAATTATCATGGCGCATATAAAGGTTCAGAATCTACAACCGGAAACCAGCGTAATTCCACATTTTAGACGGTTCGATGACCCACATGTTTTCCATTGTGTTTTTGCGGAATGAACTGCATTGGTTTGACCCAACAACACCTTTAATTAAACACAGACGTCAAAATGTGTTAATTGTTGTAGAAAAAATGTACGTGACCTTAAAGAAAAGCGGACGACATAAAGCGCGGCGCGGGATAAACATGTTAACACGGACTATTCATGCGCATCGTGGTTATAGTTTTTGTCAGTTAGCCCTGCTGTTTTCGTGCCTCGCTATCACGCTGTGAAAATGGACATGCATACTGCACATAGAAGATCATTCATATTATATATATATATATATATATATATATATATATACGTATGCATATGGCATATACGTAGTCAGCATCCCTCCCCGCCGGATACAAAATATGAACACCGCACAATAATACAACATCCGCCCGAAAATATGGCCTTTCGGAAGCACATATTATTGGGGAGCACTGCATTATAGATTAAGAATCTGCGCGTTAAATGAGTGAAAGCCGGTACAGCTTTAGTGTCAGCTGTCATTTGTCCAAAAGCTCTGCACTGCGTAAGTTTATATTTATGCGAAATCAAGATGTGCCGCCTATATATAAATGCTGCAGCGCGATATATAGATATGCGATGCTGATCTGCACCCCTGCCCCTGAATGCTTTGATATGCATGTCGCTATCTGCAACGTCAAGTTCATTTTCGAGAAAATCGGCTATTTTTCCAGCGTTGCGCGGTATTGACTGTATCCGTCTGTGTACGGTTGTGTATGAGTTATGCACATGTGTAACAGTGAAGCCGGCTATTAAGAAGTTAAGTAGCCAGTGCTGTTGCCGCAGCAGTTTTCCAGTTTCCGCTGCCAGTTGTACATGTACAAATGCTGCACTGTTGAGTTGTACGCATATACTCTCTTGCCGTTCGGGATCAGTGTGTGTGCTCCATTTTACCGGCCTCATGAATCTTCCCTCTTGCGGGTAAAATACTACTATACCACAGAATGTGTATCAGGCTTATAATCATGCCTATAATTATTTGAATGTAATTGAAAGCTTTTCCTAAACGCAGCTCAGTAAGTATTTATCGGAGGGATTTGAGCGCTGTCGACCGCTGCTGTACTCGTACGAAGCAGCTATATTATATCTCCCGGTGTTAACATATGTCCAATGCTGCTTCCTTTATACGTATGCAGCTACGCGATATACACACCCCACATCCGCCGGACATGTCCAATGTTTTTCGAATCCAAGTTTGGTTTATTTTTGGTAGTTGACTGATTTGTTTATGAAATTATACTGTTGCCATCACAGTCCGTTGATGTACCGGTAAACCGGTGTGCAGTATATATAAAAGACGCCCCAAAATGGGCAAAACTAAACGGAAATGGTTGCATTGCATATCCGCATATATTATATTCATCGGGATTATGGACTCAAGTGTACAGCATCTTCGTTAATTATATGGACAATCTCATATTTGGTATATCCCCAGCACAAGCAGTTGTGTATATTTGCTCGCCGTATATCAAGTGGATTTATTAAAATAGAGTAGACCAATTTGCCGCTATCGCTAACCGGTACACTTGAAGGTAAGTGATTGTGAAGGTTTAATTGGTTGGATTAAAAGCATTTTGAGGAGGTAACTGGTGCGCGTGTCACGTTTTACAGTAACAATATATTTCTCTTTATATGTGCAATATTTTCATAGATTGGCAGCGGTGTCCTATCATTCAAGACCTACAACAATGATATGGTCACGTGGCCGCTTCAGCCTGTCCCGAAGTTCTCATTTGCTCAGTATCCTTTTCTTCCTGATTAGCCTTCAAATACATCGCTCAGCCGAACAGTGGACAAATTCGGAAATATCGGGTAACAATTAGTGACTATCATCCTGATCATAAAAAATCGAATGATTTGTCGATTGTTGAACATGGATTAATGTATCCTCGTAAATTCTTGCAGTGTGGTTATTAAAATGCAAAAACTGGAAATAATTGATTTTCGAATTTAGGAACGTCGGCTGTAAAAATTTTGAATCAGTTTAATAGGATCATTTTTATCCACTTAATTGTTTTTTTTTTTAATTTTCTACAAAATGAAACTTGTGAAAAAACAAGACAGCACTCTTCTCATCGATTGTAAGGAAACGAATGCTGATTGTGAAGGACTGAACCTAGCATGTCAACAATTTAAAGCCGAGGATAAGAAAATGTTAGAATTTCGCAGCTAATTAGCATCCCTCATGATTTGGCCACTTGATTTGATCAAATAAGCCAATTTTCCGGTGAAACGTGATGCGGCACTGGCACTTTTATATACATCACATACATCTATCGCTTCATTCCTTTCCTTATTCAGGATTAATGAAAGAGCAGTGACATTTGAGATTCTTCCACATCCTGCGCAGTTATGCCGTATGCATTACAAACAGTTTAAATTTTTAATGCTTCGTCCAAGTCATGCGGAAAATAATGTACATACAGGCTGTATACCAAGGAATAAATTTCCATTGGTTCTACACTATGACGAATTTCGTATGCCACCTTAAAAGACACATAGCGATTATGATAGTTATTTGCATAACTTGCATTAATTGCCAAACTTCCCTACGAAATTTGGTTTTATTTCCAGTAGCATTTAATAGTTTTTTTGTTCAAGTAGGCCGCGACTTTCCAAATATTTTTCTGTTAAAATTTGCGTACAATGTTTGCGTTTAATTGCAAAATTAGTTTTCTTACCGGGAATACTGTTACTGTATTATAACAAACAAGAAATCATGTGCTATATTGATAATAAATTTTTTTTCTTGAATTTACGAACCAGGTTTACGCCATTTTCAACACGCTCAAAGTATTCTTAAAGTGCCTGTTAAATCGTATATCAACAGCATCACTTAAAACCGGCTTTCACAGCCTGTCACAGGAATGTCCAGTTGCATTTTTTTCAATTTATTCGCTCAGTGTTGTACGTGGATGACACATAGTTTTGGACGGGACTATGCTGTCGTAAAAACCATGTGGTGGATTCCCTTGACAGTATTTTTGTTAACTATGAACACTCTTCGGCAACTTGATTGATTTATTCCTACTAATAATTGTTAATCGATAAGCGGGTTCCACGCTAGCATATTCAGGCCTGTTCTTCTCTACAGCGCACAAAATGCCGCTCTCACCTGAGCGCCAGGATAAATTTTAATCTTTTCCGGTGACAACTATCCTTACAAATTCCTTAACACCTCCATCAAATCAGTGCCGCGAATATTTTTGCTTACAATATCTATGTCAAAATTCACGATTTTGATTTTACCGGCATCCTTTCGTTTTTCGGGGATTATACGCGCAGGTGACAGGCATCCCGAGATCAATAAGGTCAAACCAACGTTATTGGCTTCATACAGTATGCATGAACGCATCCGACAAAGGCCGGCAAAAAGAAGTATTGATGTTTTCTTCTCCTCTCACCATATATATGCCGGATCAATAACTTATAGATGCTGCAATAGATTATTCCTCATATACGTATATGTTGAAACACCGGAACACAGAGTGGAGCTGGACTTGTGTACATTCTGGCTTATATAATTAGTGGGGAGAGTCGCGGGAGCCGGCGTATAGTAGAGTCTGAGGATTTCTTTAAAGAACTACAGTACGGCACCTGATTGAAAAAGGCCCCCTGATTGTAATCTGACAATAATTTGGCCGCTAAATGAAGCTGAGCGCCATTAAAGGGCCAATGCGTTTTTTAATGGGTGAAGACTGAATAACATTATCAGGAAGCTCAATTCCTTGTACTGGGAATTTTTTTTTGTAACCAATGTTATTTTGCAAACGTTTACAATAGGTAAAACTGAAACATAATGCTGAAGTAGTTTATAAAACACAAAAGTTGATCTAATCATTTATGGTCTTTGCTATATACAAAGTTTACATATTCATATTATCGCACGTATATTTTTCCGTAAAAATCAGTAAAGGTGCAAAGACAACTTTGACCAAAATCGAAGTTGAATCTACGAATGTATTTTCCATTATGGTAGAGTTTAATGAAAGCAGTGAGAGATTTGTAGATAAATGTTTAGTTTCCATGCATGTTGGCAGCCGGCATAGTGATATACGTATTTATATTACCTAATCCGTCATTTTTCGTTAAGCGTAAGTTTTTCACTACAACTTGACCGCTTTATTTTTCTTTGCGCTTCTAATGAGTTTTTGATGGCGTAAAAGCACATAAATACTTGCTACATATGCACCATGCTGACATGTGGATTACACGTCGGTGGCTGGGTGATCTGATCTCATAATCTGTCGCCGGGAGGTGCATTGATGCCGGAGTATTCGCTCTAAAACCGGAACAATAGTTAGGCTGAAAAGAGAATATTATAATTTGTCGTTATTTAAATCTATACCATTTAAGTGTACGGCACGTGGCACGCAGACTTCCCATTAGGGTCACTTGGCATAATAGACGTTTACTGAATGAGAATACATGGTCAATGGAAAACGTCGGACGAGTAGTGTTTGATAAATATGCAGCAATCCCCTTTAATTATATGTGCGGGTAAATACCTATTACAAATTTCATCAGACATAATATTGTATGTATAACATAGCGGAAATTTTACAACACTTTTCCCTTACTAAAACTGCTTTTTAAATCCTACAGCGAGAATTTCACGCACAGGTAATTGTTTTGCATAAAAGATATAGCAGAAACCTGCACTTTGAATTACAACTTATAATACGCAGTAAAATGTTATTAATTGAGTCGTTTATTCTAGAAATTTTATTTTATTTACCATAAAAAAAACACATCAGTGTTCAAAACATTCGATTGGCTACTATCGCAACAAAATGCCTAATAAACTTCCTGTGTAAAAGTAATCAATCTATTGAAAACGGCGGCGAAAACCAGATCAGCAATTACAATCATACGTATATGTACGAAGTATTGTACGATAGTAAATATTTAATATACGTATGTGCATAGCCTGAGCCATATCAGAATGAGCGAACAGCTTTTCCTACATATTCTAATTATGATGTTTTGCCACTGGAAAACGTACATTAATATTGGCGGTTTTTGATTACTCGGCTACCTAAAAGGAATTGGCCATAAAAGTATATTGGTGTTGACATTAAGGTAATGTACTTAATAGATTTAGACGATTATACATGATGAAACCATCAGTCGAGCGCAATAAATCTTATATACAATATGATTTACAATAGTGCCGCGCTCGCACACATTCGGCTAAAATCAAAAGTCGGGTCTATTTCGGGGGGAAAAGCGGGGACACACGATCTAGTAATATAGTTTATTGAAATTGTCCAAGCTACATAAAAGTCACTGACTGACCTAAGGTGAATGAGCTCCGATCGCCGTCCTGGTGTGTATAGCCGGCGTTTGTGCCCTTTTTACTGGGATTTGATAATGCAACGCCTGAATGCGCAATATAGTGTGCACCCACTGTGCATGCACCGTGCCGGGTTTATATGCAACGCACTGGTCAGTTTGGACCATTTTGTAGGCTGTGCTGGATGATTTATGATCTTGTATGGTGATGGGGTGTTGTGAAAGGTTGGTATGGGAAATAGTTATAAATTTTACTCCTTCCATCATTCCTGATAGTAATCTAGTAAGGGTAATTTATATATATGTATGCCGGCTATTATGAGTCCGCTCCCAAACTGCCACATGTGTGCGGCACTGCATACGATGAATTGTGTTAGTTGTTTTGCTTGCTTGCCCTAGTTTGGGCTGTGGCCATTTAGCAAGTTGCTACAAAAGTGTAAAATGTATCAAACTTTATTGATGCGTTAAGCATTTTTAACAGTCCACGCTTGGTAGGCACCGTGAGTTGCCGCTGCTGTGTGAATGCGGCTAATGCTTTTGGCGAAAGCTACCGCAAAATCATTATATACGGCTATACTTTTCTTTACTGCACATTTTCTTCCTGCCGCTTTTTGGGTTTACATAGTTCGATGTGCTGTAACACAACTGGTTCGGAACTGTAATCATACATAAAATGGACCATCAAATACAATAAATCCTGCACTATATATTTATTTGCTTTATCCGAACCTTGAAATTTTAGAATTAATTTTTACTAACAGTTTCAGAAATAACAACAAACGGCTTCACCTCTGTAGATCTTTTCGAACTTCCATAAGGCAATTCGGAAAGTGTCATTTTGCAGTTTTAATTTTCACTGATTCGGATAATTAACTGCCAATTTTGACGCTGCCCAGCGTGCGTTTTAAACAATGGAGGCTGTGATTTCGCCCAAAAATTTATTGCACATAAGTTAATTTTGGATGCAAGTAGAACCACACTGCGAATGTATCCTGCTGTGCTCCACTTGATGGTCGACAATGGCACCCGCTGTGGGTGGTCAACAGCGGAAAACATATGTTAACATTATCTGACAGCTTCTAACCTACTTTTGAAAATTAGCGAAAAACTGTCGGACTGGAAGCAAAAAGCTGCGCGCCAGATATACCGGTGAAAATATTCTGGCACAGTTCTGTTAAAAACGATTTGCATTGAAATAATATTTATTGGATGCGAGTTTGTGAACGATACTCATCACGGGCGGGGCCGGTGTGAAACTAAATCATCCCGGTACGCTCTTTATTTTGGCAGTCGCGCAACGGCTTTGACCTAGACTTTTTAATAGAAGGGAGTAAATATTTTGTCATTTATCTTCCATCCTCCCTGAAAAAATTTAACACATGTGTGACGTTAAATGCTCTGGCAATTGAACTCTCCGTTTACACAAATTTAAATGGGCTTAGTCACTTGTGTAATATTTTTGCAATTTTCATCAGGCATTTTATTATATTGTTGGCAACATGTTTATTTGGTTTTTACTTAGTCACATCTTACAGGAACCATCTGCGCGGTGTATTAAAGACAACCCGATAAAATGACGTGTATTCTGTATTTCTGTAATGTAACGCGCGTAGCTCTGGGCCGATTTTTACAGTGATCGGCACTTGTGGCGGATCTGTGTGAAATGTGTCTGTTTATCCATGTCCCGGTATTAATATTACTGGCACGGAGAATGTTCCCTCCGCCAAGAGAAAAGCCCCCTCTTGTGGAAATTAAACCGGCCAGTGTCCAGGGCTTTTAATATTTATATCCTCCCCAGGCGCCGCGTCGCGAAGATGCATATGTTGGGTATATATATGCGAAACCGGGAGAAGGAGCGAGTGATTTTACATATGCTTGACACAGGCCAGGGCTACTCAATTTGTTCATGCAGATTTTTCTCTGGCGCAAATCGAACCCGGCACGATACACTATAGAGTGTTGTACATGCCGAAGATGCTGCGGAGAGAGATTCTGCGTCCCGGCTTTGACTTCCTGTCCGCAAGCGCTTTAACTGCGCCAGCCGGCTTTGACATGGGACCGATTGCGCCGTGCGGCACTGGTAGCAGCCGGAAAATGTCAAGATTTCCTGGATTTTAGTATGTCGACAAAGCCGGTCTGTCTTACTCTAGATAGATATTTGTTGGTGGAAGCCCCAGCTTCTTGGCTAATCTCAGCTGTGTATAATCTTGGAAAATCTGTCCGGCTACATGCTGGGAACACAATACTGGATTTCGTTATCATAATTAAACTATACACGATATAAGTGCATATTATTAAAATGAAGCACATACTCTGTAGGGCAATGCGTTGCGCTTCGTAATTTTGCAGTTAATGCCGAGCAGGATTCAGATAAATATGAAATAAACTGGATAAATCACGGCGACGCTCTATGACATTTTATGTTTTTGAAAAAAATTGTTTATGTTGTAAAATGTTTGGATCATTGAATGTATTGTGTAAGAATATTGTCCGTCTGGCGAAAAGCGAAATCGATATAACCATGTTAAACCAACACTTTGAAAGTCTTTTGACCTGACGCGCGCTTCGATTTGCGCTGTGGCCCCAGTGTGTGCGCTGGTTGTGTTGGTTAATTTGCCTAGTGGATTATGCTTTATGGAGCACGAGAAGTGCATTTAATCGACAGGCAAAAATGCCGTATATAATGATAAAAATACAGATTGGGAAAGGATTTTATTTGGCAAGAAACGCCGCTCCTCCGTAATAATGCCACACTGTATTTCCGTGAATTGGGCGAGCGCGCGTTTATTATTGCGGCTTTGTTGCTTTAGTTCGGCGACGGCGGTCATTTGAATCTGGAGTGGCTGTGCTGAGCGTACGTACACATTACACAACGGCACACGCGCCGGAACTACACACTGCGTCCGCAATGGCGGCAAATTTGCAATAAGGGAAGGTCATTCTGCATCAGTGGTTATCGGAGCAGTATCGCCTTAATGAAATGCCAAAGATATTTTCTGGTATTTCATGAATCAATCTAATAAAATGCCAATGAACCGTGGTTGCACTTTTTCTTGGCCTATAAACAAGGCTAAACATAAGTGAAATTCTCGATCAGTACCCGTAGAGGACTAGGAACACACTTTACTACACACTGCATCATCCATTTGGTCAACAGTTAAAATTTTGTTAATATCCAATTAGAGAAAACTATCCACATTTGTGCTGCTTAAAATTACAGTCTGTATTAGATGATTAAACTAATGCATAACTTTTGAAATGGTTGTTATTACATTTAAAACACCTGAACACAATTTAAATATTGAATACTTTCTGCTAAAAATGTTACTTACAAATACAGATTTATCTATTTGAAAGGTCGCAGATTTAGATTACAATAAACATTTTTTAACGTTTTATAAATGTAACCATTATACAGAACTATAATAATAAAATTAATTTTTCGATTAAATTTTGATAAAATACTTTTGCGACATTTTTGAGATTTGTGTAAACTGAAAAGTCAAGATAGAAACGACGATGCTGATTAAGCGAGTCAGATCATTGGAGTTGTTCGGGTGCAGCCTGTGTCAACTGCGGCAAACGAATGGGCTTTCGAAAATGTTGCCGGCACCCGGGCGCATATGGAATCCGCCCAGTATGCTCGTTCAAAAAATGAAGGCATCCTCTCTATTTACTTTATTTACCAAATCGTGTCCATTCTGCAGCCGAACGACCCTTCAACTTGTGTATATGCTCTGATACGATTTCCGCATGTTCTTTGAGAGATAGTCCAGAGAATGAACGGGCCTTTCAATTGTCAGTTGAAGGCTAAACGTTGCACCGGAAATTCCTCATTATTCCTTATATGGCAGACGGCTGCGCAAGGGAAAACTGTGTGTGTTGTATGCGCTCGCCCGGGTTGTAGAGAGTAAATCTCAACAAGAAAACTCCAAGTCAAGATGGGGAGTCCTTTCTTTTGCCGTCCACTTGAAGCGTAAAATTTCCTATCACATTTTGTGAGAGGAATCGGAAAGACATTTTATTCAGTCCCATTTACGAGCCGTGTACACTCGTTGCTGGGGCTGTCCGTTCTTTTGACTATCCGGAAATTTTTTTCATTTTGTCAGAGTAATTAATTTTATGGGAAATAAAAATCCTAACATTATACAAAAATATGGGAAAATAGCTTTTTCTCTGAAAAATCAAACGAAGCTAATACTCATCGCGAAGTTTGTTTACAAGTGTTTTTTCCTTAAACGAGTTGTGTAGTCGGCAAAAAAAATCGTTTACACAAGTAAATGCTTGTTGAGAAACTGTTAGGATTTTTCTAACACCTCTGTGCAAAGTGAATTGAATAACGAACGCACTTGTCAGTTAACAAGATCATTAAATACAATTTTAACACTTCGTTCGCCTTCAAATGTCAGACGTTAAGTTAGCACAATACTTCCGTTGTTGGCCCAACACATATGCGTCCGCATCCTGACTGTGATGCTTGTTGATGTGCATCATATCGGTATTCGCAGATGTGGAAATAATAATAACAGCCTGCATTTAACAAAAAGTCCCTTTTCGTAAAAGCCATATTTTTCAGCTTTAGCTAATAAAATTCTTTGCCACATTTTAATAATAGCAGCAAAATGCATCAATTAAATAACCGCAAAAAAATAAAAGAAGAAGTAAGTACTCTGTAAGTGAATTTTTAAATCTAAACACTGAGTTAAAGTATTCACTAACCAGAAAGACATACATTACCGTTATCTAATGCGAAAGTTACGGTGGATTATCGCTAATTACCATTTTCCCCCTCTACATATCTATATTTAGCTCGGCGGGAAAATTATGGATGGTAAAAATGGGGCCGTTCATTGAACTTCGCCAGCAATTCTGGCGTTGGAAATGGATTTATCCGCGGTGACTTAATCAATCCCACTAATGTCGCCATATATATTGCAACTATAGGGCTAGATTTTCCTCAAGGCATTTGCAGATGAAATTTAAGACAGTCGCAAAAAACTCGTTATGTTTTGAGCTAATTCAATTTGCTGAGGATTTTCAAACTCAATCTGTCAATCACACTTTTTAATACACTGACAAGCAGAGCGGGATATTTTTTCCTTCGCAAAATCTCACAACTTTTGAAAAACGTAGGATCCTACCAGATTCCTACCAGTATCGCCATAAATATTTTAAGCTCGCAATATTTATAGTTTTAACTTAGATAGTTTTAAGTAACTTTTAAATATGGTAATGATTTAAAATTATAAAATAACTACTCTGCAGTAACATTGCTTAGAATTTGTTATGCACAAAGGAAATCAGTAACGTTTAACTAACAGAATCTACTAATTTTATAGCCTCCTTCTACGGCGACAGTCACTTATGGCTTTCACTACAAGACGCGTCCAGCGCCACGGATTTGACGGTCAACTTCCGTACACATCAGCGGGATGCGATTATTTTTCTAGCAGCCGGCGAAACGGATTACTGCCTAGTGGAACTGCGCAATGGGCGATTACGTGTCCGGGTGAATTTGGGATCGGGTGAATCGGTCCTGCAGTCACCACGCGGACTCCGACTGGACGATTACGTCTGGCACACTGCACAATTATCGCGTCGGAATGCACAGGCCACACTAACTGTCGATCGACAGTATGTCTCACACCTCATTATTCCCGGGGTTTTCTATCAGCTCAACATCATTTATGGTACGGACATTCCAGTGTGTGCCGCGCGGCACGATATGCATTGCGCGCGCGCGGCCAACTGTGTAAATATGTTTGTCGGGTATTTTTCACCATATCGCCAGCGCGTCATCCATATTTTTGCCCGGGCCTGGCATCTCGCGTATGTAGTCGTCGTTCCGGTAGCCTTTAGCCTTTTACGCGAGAAACTATCTCATTCATGCATACAAGAGAAGGCGCACGCGGGTGATGGGTTGTTCACGTTATGCAATTTCCGCTTCCCCTCTCTTCGCACAAAAAGATTGGCGGAAAAAATGAAAATGGGTCACTATTATGAGTTTTCGGTATCTTCATGAAAGTCACAGAAAAAAATCAAATTTATAAACAATAAAATCGACAAGAAACCGATTCCAGTTGATAAGTACAATATCAAATATTCTGGTGGTGTGCGTGTGGAGATGCGCCGTTCCCATAATAAGCCGACCGTGGGAACTTGCTAATAAATCAAATTTTCGCCGGTATAACTGTTTTTCTTCGGTCGGTGAAACGTGTTTGAACAAGACGTACTAAATTTTTTCCCTTTTGCAGGAGTGTATCTGGGTGGATTGGGACAGTTTCGTGATCTGTTCTTAGGTCATTTTGTTCAATTTCGCGGTTGTCTGAAAAATGTCAAGTTCAATACAATCGAAGCCAATCGTGTCAGAAACTGGGACATTCTTCGTACGGCATTTCTAAATCAGAGTAATCCAGCTGACTGCGTACTACAGCACATCCGCTGGGACTGCGATGACGAGTTTAGCGCCAAAAATCACGACCCGATCAGTTTTATAAGCCAGGATAATTTCGTCACATTTCCGACACTACCAATTCGGCAAAATGGTCAGTGACAATAATTGCTCTGCCTTTTTACTCACAGAATACATGGACTGAATTAACCTAAATTCCCCCGTATGAAATACATTTAATAGGCAGCGTGCAGTTGGATGTGAAGACCATTGCCACGGAAGCCGTCCTGCTATATAACGGCGGTTCGCCATCACAACCGGATTTTTTGGCGCTTGACATCTATCAGGGCCGCGTCCGTCTGCAAGTGGAAAAAGGGAATGGGCCGGTATTACTGGAATCAGAGCAGAAAATTAGTGATGGACACTGGCACAATATCTCCTGTCAGCTGACAACCGCGCATGCCGCTCTCAGTGTCGACGGGAAGACGGTGACCTTTTCGCCGCGTTCCTCCATGAAGCGGTATCTGGATCTGGATGGCAGTTTGTTTGTGGGCGGTGTAGACGAAACGCGGAGGCAGCGGTTAAGGCAACAAGGTACCAAATAAGCACAGAAACTTTATAAAAAAAGCTATGCACTATACATGTGAATTTTACAAAATTATATGGTTTTTATTTTTTATAATTTGTATTTTTTCCTAGTGCTGTGTCGTCTGTTTTTATGTCGGGGAAAGTAGTTTTGTTTTTTTTATTTTGTCAGTAAGGAAAAAGTAATTTCTGGATTGAACAAGTTTTCCGACACTTCCTTTTTTTGGAATTATAATTTTAAAGATTTTTAAATAATTTACAAATGTACAAGTACTGTTATATAAAATCAATATATTGCATAATGCGCTTTATTTGTCAAGGTCTGTATGATCGATCATTTCTGGGATGCATCAAAGATCTGCGCATTAACGATGTGGATATGGGATTTGAAAAAATGCTGGTGTCCAACGGCATTGAGCCGCAGTGTGTCTGGGATTATCCGTGTTCCCGGCAGCCGTGCATCGCCACCGCACAATGCTATCAGATTGGACTGGACAGTTTCCGCTGTGACTGTCAGGAAGCCAAGTGTGAGAAAGATCAGGAGGATTTGATTGATTGGACGCAGGTTGTCCGTATACGCAATTTTACCGTCAAGGAAGCCAGTCATCACATAATTAATCAGGAGAATATTCGGGTGATCTGGAATTATCAAGGCGAGAGTATCCGCGACGGGCAGATTGTCTTTCAGGTTCAGCGGCCACCGCGCTACGGTAGATTACAAGTTAATCTCACGCCACGCATCAGTGAGAATACGTTTACGTATCTGGATGTACTGTCGGATCGGGTGTGGTATGTACATGATGGGAGTGAACGGCCGGTAGATCAGTTTGAACTGACCATCAACATTCCCACCACCATGGGGAATTTGTCCAGGAGTCTGGCGCTATCAGTGGAAATTGTCCCGGAAAACGATCCGCCCAAGATCATTTTTCCCAATGGACCGCAAATCGAAATTGTACCAGGTGGGAATTTTTGACGCCTGAATACTGTAACAGTATCGGTACTTATCGTTAGTGCAATTTGTATTGCATAATTTTACGTGTGTTAGCCTTTCGACGATGCAACGCAAGTGGAAGTTCAAATTACTGAATTATATCCAATGATTGCAAAATTAATTTTTTGGTTTTTATTATATATGCACAGGTATATCTGGTATTTCATGATTATAAAACGCGGTTCGACTCCGCAGAGGCTTAATACTGCAATGGAATAATGGAATCTTTTAAACTTTATATTATTTTGTTACCTTAAAAGTATCGATGGGCGATATTAAATTACTTTACTAATAAATTAATTTTCGAAAGCAATAATACTAATAATAATATCAGTCATACAATACATTGCTGTAAAAATTATTTATGATCAACTGTTCTTTTTTTAATTATAGGCACCGCTCGGACGCTCAGTGCGGATATAATGCGTGCCGTTGATCCAGATTCAAATGCCGGAGCACTAATGTTTACTCTGCTGGTGCCACTGAAGGTACAGATTTAGGACTTACAGAACTAGATAATCTGTTGATAATGGAAAAAATTTTAAAATGAACAAAAAAAGTTTTGCTCAAGTGCACTACTTGCCCTTGACGATCCTGCGTTTTTCCGTAGAAACATTGGTTATACAAAATTCTGTACGGTTGAGAATCGAGAAAGCCGAGAGGAATTTTCTTAATCGATGAAGTTGTAACGTGATCTGCACAGGAATTTATATGCAAAGCGGTGCTAAGGCGAGGCATTTCCGGTGTTTTTTTCGCAACCGATAGTATTTGACTTTAGCAATAAAACGATTCTTTCTCCAAAGAAACGTGATATGTTAATATTCAACAGCGGTTCTTATGAGTTGGAAAAAGGCCTCTCAAGTACTCTTGAAAAGCGGCATGATTATGAGATTTGCAATGTATGCACAGTCATCCATTTAGGATAAATCGTTATTCGATATGCCATCAGGATTGCGCACGCACTGCCAGCGATGGGATGGTGCGATAAAAAATCCACCATAAACATTAAATAATTTATCGATTTTTCTCTTTAAGTCATTTAAACATGCTCGTAGTAAACAAGTTGATAGCATTTGCTGTATCGCAAAGATAAGAACGTCAGCTGTCAATTACTGCTTCCAGCAATTTGCTAATGATGTTTTTCTCTTTTCTCCTTCACGCCAAAATAAAAATTAGAAATTATATTAAAAATTTTAAATTACTGAATTTTTGAAAACTCGGCAAATAGAAAGGTTTTGCATTGACTTAATATTCCGTTCGTTGCGTATTGCCATTTTTTTTGGGAGAATTACAAAAATAAATGTTTATAAACTTATAAAATAAATTTGCAACACGCTTTAAGCGCAATAAAAATTGTTCTACGGAATATTTTATAGAGATATTTTGGTTCCCAGGTTTCGCAAATCCGGTCAACACAGAACGACGGCCAGTCGATAATGTTATCATCCCCGTCCAACACCGCCAGCCTGTCGAACACATTAACATGGCAACAATCCTTATTAGTTAAACAGTTTACCCAAGCGGACATTGATGCCGGCCTGGTGGAAATCTATTTCAACGGATCACTGACAGATCAGGATCAAGCTGTCTTCTCCATAAGCGACGGCCAGAATAGCGGCAAAGAAAAGGGCACCATGTCCATTATTCCCTTGAAGCTGAATATTCAGCCAGTGGCCAATAAAAGTCTTAATGTGCCTAATAATTCCTCATCACTGATTACACAGAACACCCTATCCTATGCCACGAACGCCATTCATCAGAATCTCACCATCCTGTACACCATCATCAGTCATCCGCATTTCGGCCGGCTGGAGCATCTGTACAACAACAGCCAGTGGTTGCCGTGTCAGCAATTTACCCAAGATGACGTCAATACACTGGCTGTCCGCTATGTCCATCTGCACGACTGGCCCAGTCGCGATGCCTTTAAAGTCCGGCTCAGTGTTCTGCCGGTCAGCGGGCAGCCGGTCCCGCTGCCGGCCAAAGACCACCTGCACACCGTCCACATCCGCTTCCTGGAGAATCAGCTCAAAACCGTTCACATGGACCCGCTTGTCTTTCACACCCCCCACGTGATCATCTCCAGTATGTCCCTGCTGCACGAACAGGAACCCATGCCGTTGAGTGCCGAGGAGATCGTTTACACGCTGACGACCGTCCCGCGCCATGGCGCCCTGCAGCGGGGCGGCGGTCGCTTGAAACTCCACGGACAGTTCACGCAGGCCGACGTGAATGCCGGTTTAATCGTCTATTCCCTGGTTACATCGCAGAATCTCGACCTGCCCACCCGTGATTACTTTCTCGTTAATGTCAGCGCTGCCCGACTGCGGCAGGGCATCGCCCAGCGCCGTCTCCTGCTCAAATACGACCCGGTGCGCTCGGCCTGGGTACTGCGCGACCAGATTGCGCTGGTAAAAGAAGGCGGTAACGTGGCCATTAGTGATGAAGTGATTAACTTACAGTATGGCGGAATCAACCAGTCCTGCTCGTTTGGGATGGCCAGTTATCCCGTCCACGGGATTCTGCAGACCCGGGATAAGCAGAACGTTTCGGAGTTTTTTACCCAAGATGTACGGGAACGCGGGATTTTTTACACGCACGATGGAACGGAAAGCGAGCATGACGCGATGGATGTCATTGCCAGCTGTAACGGGCGCCAGCAGAAGTTGACCTTTCCCATTCTGATCAACATCAGTTTGATTAATAACCACCGGCCCGCCATCATCCGGATGGGGCCGATTTTTTTAATTCAAAACTCTACTCGTCTACTGACAAACGATGACATGGCCGTGACGGATCGCGATGGCAATTCACCGTACAGCAGTCTACAAATTGCCCATCGTGGTCTGGATAATGCGGATTTATACCATATATCCGATCGCACTACACCCATATTTCAGTGCATCCAGAATGACATCGCTCAAGGCCATGTACTGATTAAACATCGCGGTCCTTTGCAAGCCGTCTCCACCGTGTACATTTCCGACGGCGAACTCTTCACCACGGAACAACTGGACATTCAGGCTGAGCCGCTGCAGCTGCAGGCCAAAGATGTACACATGGCCCCATTACATCCGTTGACCTCGTTGCAGGAATTCAATATCCTGGACTTTAATTTCCAGACCAATGCCGATCAGCAGTGGAATCCGCTGGTAATCACCATCAGTAAGGGACCGAAATTCGGCACGGCCAGCGTGAGAAATCACTCGTCCGTGGTGTATCGGCGTAAGGACACCATGGCGGAGATGGTGATAATCGATTCCTTCCTGGTACAATTCGCTCTCAACGGTTTCACCACGCAGACCAACGTTTCCCTGGTTCCGGCCCGCTCAATTTCCTTAGCACAATCTGAGCCGATTCTGGTGAAGGAGAATGGCGCGGTGGTCATTACCACGGCAGTGTTGAATGCTACGCATCCGATTTGGCCCAGTTCGAAGATCGTGTATACACTGCAGAATGCGCCGTCCTTCGGCTCGCTCGGTCTGGGACCGGCCGCTACAGCCGAAAGCGCCACACAAGAAGATATCAATCTCGGTAAAAACGCCTGTTAAAACTGCAGAAAAATGTTGTTTTAAAATATTTTAAAAATCTGAGACACTTTATTTTATCAAAAATTAATTTTTTGTAGGCATTATGTTTCGAATTGCGATTTTTAATAGTGCATTTAAAAACAGTTTGTTTCGTATATTCGTTTTTCAGGCTAAAATAAAGAAAACGATTTTCAGGTCAGTGAAGAAGAAAGGCTCTTTTATCGGCAATTTATGTAGATTACATAAAATAAAAATATCTTTAATTTTTAAATTTAGAAATTGAAGTTCTTGAATTAAAAGGAAAACTGTACTTAGCGTAGAAACTATTTTGTGCAGTAAAACAGTTACGTTTTTTTGTATTTTTAGGTAAATTAAAATACATCAACCGGCTGGACTCCATCACGTATCGCGACAGCTTCGTCCTGAAAGTGGAAGCCCCGTTCGCGACGGAAGCACTCAGTGCGACGGTGTCGGTTTACATCGTGCCGGAAGTCTTACGGCTGACGTATCAAAAACCGTTTAAAGTCGTCGAAGGCGGCCATGCCCGGCTCAAATTATCCAGTCTGTTGAAAGGCATCCCCAATGCCGAATCACTGCCGCTGCGGCTGCACATGAAGGATAAACCCGGTCACGGGAAGGCGTTTGTCGATAAGGACGGCGATCTGATCTACACGCATGACGGCTCCGAATCCACCACGGACGTCTTCACCATCTTCGTCAATGTGGACCGGCTGGGCATCAGCACCACGGAGGAGATCCGTCTGGACATTGTCCCCATCAACGATCATCCGCCGCAAATAGTCATCAAGAATCCACTGGATGTCTGGTTGGGCCAGGCCGGCACCCTCACCCTGGACAACGTGGATGTTGTCGATGAGGACAGCGATGCCAATGCGTCGTCGGTGCAGTACTACGTCAACAGTTCCGACGCCAATGTTCTGGTGGACAATCAGAAGGTCCCGGTGTTTACTATGGCGCAGTTGCTACAGAATCGGGTGCGCTTCGCCCCGGCCAGTGGTCTGAATCCCAACCATATTAATCTGTATGCGACCGACGGTAAATTGGTGTCGGAAGTCAACAGCCTCCCGGTGCGGGTGCTGGATGTTAAGTTGAATGTGGTGCGCAATGAGAGTATCGAGGTGGGCCGCAATGCGTCGTTGATTATCACGGCGGATGAACTGGATATCTCGGCCAAGAAGATCTCCATAGCGGATAATCAGGAGTTGGGAGTGGTGCCCTTTAAAGCGCACGATCTGATATTTAATATCACCGCCGAACCGAAACTGGGTTTTATTGGGTATTTTCAAAATCAGGACGGAACCGGGACGCTGGTGAAAACCAAGAGCTTTAGTCAGAAGGATCTGCAGGAGGGTCGTATTGGCTACATGCAGTCGGTGCCCATAACGAACAACCAGATGGTGGATTCCTTCCATTTTGATGCGTCGCTGAAGAATCCACAGGAACGAAAGCTGCGGGATCTCACTTTTTTCATCAACATCAAGTCATCAGATTCATCCATAAGATCGTAAGTTGTATGGGTTTTATTCGAGCTGAAACTCTCACATTTCTATGTGAAAGGTCACATTTGGCCTTCCGTATAAAATCCATAGTTCTCCCCGTATTTGTAACTAGCAAGCTTTGATTAAGTACATAATTTTTTAATTGATTGAAATTTTAATAAACATTGGCAAAGCAATAATTACAAAGCTATGCGAAAGGTCACGGATCAACTGGTTCAATTGCTGCTTTTACAGTTATCCACTCTTGGTTCCATTTGGCCGTTCCGTGCTGGTTAAACGCTTACACTTGGATGCCACTCGTTTTCTACCACGCGGTGAATGGAAGAAAATCCGCTTCGCCTTGGTCACCGCGCCGAAACTTGGCGCGTTCTTCGTGGACACCACACAGCTAAAAACCGGCGGCAGTTTCTCACAGACCGACGTTAACAAACACCGTCTATCTTACCAACATCACGGCTACGAATCACAAGTGTCCATGGAAGAGGTCACCCTCCGACTGACCATTCCCGACCGGAAACCGATGACCGTCACACTGAATGTCACCATACTGGAATCGGACACGCATCTGAAGGTGCATGTCAAAGAAACGGATGTTGTCTCCGGTGAAAATGTTACCATTTCCACGGAAGTCTTGAAGACCAACATGGATAAGAATCCCAATAAGGTCGTGCGGTACCGGTTGTTTAAAGAGGTCACGGGTGGGGTGTTTCGGGTGCGGGGCAGCGTGACAAAAGAGTTCACACAGCGCGATGTAATGCAAAATGTCGTGGAGTTCTGTCATGACGGTGTCGATGACGCCAAGACCATCCCGGTGCAACTGGAGGTCATGCCGATCGATGAAGCCGCCATGTCGGAACTGGTGCAGTTCAACATCCACGTACACCGGTTCTTTTTTAAACTGTACCATCACAGCAACATGACCCTGACCCAGGGTAACTTCACCATTCCCGTCAACAACACCTTCATCTCCGTGGCGTCCAATGTGAACAATACCCGTATTGTCTACCACATTATCCGGCAGCCCGAGCACGGTCGGCTGCGTTTTGTGGACAACCATCATGCCGATAGTCTGACGAAGTTCACCCAACAAGACGTAGAGAAACAGCGCATCTTGTACGAGCATCGCGATCTGGATCAGTCGGAGGATTATTTTACACTGGATATTTTTCTAACCAACCGACAGGAGCGCGTGTCACTGCGCAACATCACCATCCACCTGACGGTGGTGCCGCTGTTGAAACTGGAGACGCCGGTGGTGCCGGTCGGGCATTCCATTCCGATCGGCCTGCATTTATTAGATGCCGGTGCGCTGAAACTGCGTGCCACACCCTATGAACCGCATTTCTTAGTAACCCGACCCCCGGCCCTGGGCACCCTCCTCTGGGCGTCACCCGACATCATCACGGTAACGAATTTCACCCAGACCGATCTGGTGGAGAAGAAGATTGTGTACAAAGCCCCGCCGGATATTGATCGCGGGGGGCAACCGGACACCACCAGCGTGCAGGATTCCTTCGCGTTCCTGTTGACCTCCGCGCCCGACATCCAGCCCGTCCATGTCCTGTTCCCCATCCGAATCCGGGTGCTGCATCAGCAGCTGACCAAGATCGTCACCAACGATCACGTTTTCATTGCCCTGGTGGTGACCGCCATCATCTCGGTGGCGGTGATCTTCTTTATCGGTCTATGCTGGTGGATGCGGCGGCAGCGGGAGAAACGCAAGCGCTCCGTCTCGCAGCATGCTCACTTATCGCCGCTCTTTCATCCCAAGGGGCGCACCGGTGATTCACCGGATGAAGCGCTGGTCGAGGCGCCCGCCACAGTTCCTAGTTGTAAAGTGATTCCCCTGCGCAAGCCGGGTAAGAATTTCCGCAGCCCGGAAACGGAGCTGCATCCCCTGGAGGCCTTCCGGGAGGATCTGTACGGCAGTGTTAACGGGAATGGATGTGTGTCGCGGAGTGAAACCACACCGGTTCTCAGTAAAAATCAGTACTGGGTGTAAAAATTTGTAACCTTTTTTTGTTGTTACCGACCAAAAACCGTGTTACACAAAAATAAAATTTGTGACCTTTAACCGGTTTTTCCGACCGGTCACTCCAGATACTAAATCCACGTGATCCTACTGTCGCAGTCTGCATTTTTGTCAATGGAAATTGTAAAAATTCTATTTATAAAAATGGTTATTCCAGATGTTATTGTTTCTTTGTATGTATTATGGTGTATGAGTTAACAGAATAAAAAAATCTGAATTCTGTCGCCGTTTCCTAATATATGGTCAGCGAATCACAGAAATTATCCGAATGTGTATTTATTCGTGATCGTCAAAAGGGCACAACCAGCAGATACCGTAAACTACAAACAAATAAAATAATTGCAAATGGTGCCAGCACCAGCAAATCAAGCAAAAAATGTCACAATTTTGACGTCTTGCATCACAATCATGATGTATGAACCAGCACACACTACTAACTGATATGATACATAATCGCACAGTTTCATCTGCATTGCCGCAGAAAAGCGCGTAGTTTCAGTTTTCCTGCAGAGCGTTCATAATCCACGGCACAAAATTTGATATTCTAGTGTAAACGCCTGGGAATTGGCCACAGTTAATTCCCCACGATACCAATCCTATAAACAAATTAATTAATAAACATTGAACAATTTATATCGAGAAGATATGGTAAGCTGCACAATGACTAGATTATTGCACATTAATGACGCGATTTCTTACCGGCAAGTCGGTAGACCCCATCGACTTTACACACTAATGGACTGCCTCCGTCACCCTACAAAACATAAATAACACATCATCAAACTGCAAAAACAATTTTGTGCCACAATAATTTACTAAAAAGAAGTTAACTATACCGCGCAAGCATCCTTCCCAAGAGTACCAGCACATAAAAAGCTGTTGTGCAGGTTAAAAATGGGGCCAAGTTCCTGGGATGTTCGGAGAATGCCTTGACACTGGTCGTTGGTCATGATGGGAACATCTACTTCTTTGAGCACATTGGAGTACTGTCCAGCTGCAAGAGATTGTATTGTCAATTAAGTAAACCCTTTAGATACAGAGTAAAACGCTTAATTTTTCGCTTTGATTTTCAATACAAAAAAAAACTGTGACATTGTCTCTTAACATTATACATTTATGGGTGAATACGGAGGCTGAATGTGGATTCGTATACTTTGACTACAAGTACGAGAAAGTATTCAATACTCGTATTAAATAATAAACGTTTCCACAATTTTTTAATGTAAGAGCATTACTCGTCCAAAGAGTCATTTACAAAGTTTTGAGTTAAATTATTTCCGGTCAACATACTTGGATTATTCTTTCCCCATCCAGTGACGGTACACATCATTCCCGTGAAGTCCACGATTGGTGGCAGACATACTGTAGAGAAAAGCATTATTTATATTTTGCCAACAAAATAATTTGGGCAGAAAAAGTATGCGAAAAATTACCCGGTCGGATGTAACTGGTCATTGCCGCAGGTTGGTCAAGGATCAACAAAGCAATATCATTACGCAGAGTTCCACTGTGATAATCTGCGTGAATGATTACGCGCTTAACATGGATGTCTTGGTACGGTGGTTCGGTTGTTTCGCTAAAAATTTTCCGCATATTATTAAATACATTCGGAAAAAGTGCACAAAGCATTTCCAATAAGTACGTACATAATAACTTGCATTAATAAAATTGTTAGCGATTAGCAAGTAAACCAGTTCCATGTGATGTATATGTCCATGTATTTCATAGTTTTATGTATATAATTTAAATATACGTATACCACAGTCTCGCAAAATTTGTGTTGGAATCGTTACCTGACATCATATTCTCCAAGGCGGACAATTAAATCCTCGTTTTTCACTCTGTAAAAATTTTATGAGTTACAGATATAATGGTTTTTTTTACCGACTTACTTTGCTACGCAGTGAGCCGCCGACAAAACGATACGAGCATCAATTAAAGCGCCACCACAAACGTAGTTGAGATCGGTTTTGAGGATGGCAGCCTATAATCCCGGTAAAAACAAATCTACATTTTTCTTCTAATTAAGGCGGCATATCGAGTGATTATCATGCATACCATCCAAGGATACTCCCCAAATTCCGCTTCATTGCGTGGATTCGCGGCATCAAACACCCGCGCCAGTGGATTTCCGCCCTTAATGCCACACCCTTGATTGCGTGGCGGGGACACCAGTCCGCCGGCGGGGACCACCGGACCGGGTCCAGCGGGTGTCACCGACGGGATCACAAGGGGCACCGGCGGGGGAATAACCACGGGATTACTGGGGCGGTTGGCATTGGTACAGCACAATACACGTCCCGACGGACAGGGGTCCACGCGCTGCCGATCGGAGCGAGCGAAGGCCGACACATCTCGACAGTCGGCGTACGCTTCACACCGACAACTGGGATCGGAGACTCCCGCGGTCCCGGGGATCACTTGGCCCACCGGGACAAAGGCGGGCGGGATGATGCCGCTCTGGAGTTTGGTATTGCCGGTTTGGATGGACAGGAAATTGGTCTCCAGACTGTTCATGCTGCCCGGTGCACCGAGGGGGATGTCAAATAAGGCTCGAGTTCTTAAACCGGAAGTCCCGTTAGTTATTGCTGTTTCATTGCGGATCCGCGCGTTCCATGCGGCGATACGCGGATTTATAGTGGTCGAACGGGGAGAGTGGGTTGTGGTGGATTTCGGACTTCCAAAAATAAAATTTTGGGAATCTATATAATTACCTAATACGTGTTAACGCAAAGCTCGCTTGAAATCAACCATTTTTACTTTACCGTCAATATCCTCTGCTAATGCCGCATGTACACCAATAAAAAGGATTAAGGTCTTTAAAGCCATAGTGGACACTGGTCAGCAAACGCCAATATATACAGTCAGATGCAACAGCCGTACACACAAATGCCGCAAGTAAGGCATAGATTGTACACAGCCGGGACAAATCAGTTTGCAGTTTGCGCTGGTACAAGTTTATGCCGCCGTATATATATACGAAGTCTTAGGCAATAAAGTGGACCCTTCCTCAATCGTTAGCAATCAGTTCCTCCAGCCCGCAGTTACGACACATTACATAAGTGGAATATTCACGAGCGGGAATACGTATATTCATATCTATACAGAGTAACATATCCGTAATGGCAGCCAGCGTGCAATTTACGCTATGACCGCCGGCAAAATATATGAGTAGGATAGTTTACGATTAACTGCGCCGAATAAGCAACTCTTCGCGTCGACACATAATACTTCCCACTGGTTTTCACTTTTCATTCACAAGTTGTTTGAGTATGCAGCAGCTTGTGGTAGTAATTTATCTTTTGCATCATCGTATGTACAAGATTACCGGGAGAATATGCAAACATACTTTGGTTCTACTTGACGGCCCCGACGCTTAAAGATTTTCTCATCAGTAGAAACGGAACTGAAATCTGATTTTACGAGCCAAATATTACAAAATAAGCAGTCTGACTAAGATACACTCTGTCAGTTTACAATCACGTTTGGATTGTGGGCACTTGAGAATATGAAGTCAACTTCTTGGTGTATACAATTCCGTATGGTTAAGGCGTTAAGTGGTACCGGTGGTATTCATGATCAATCATTTAGTAAATAAAGTTGGCACGTTGCTCTATGCAGTAAGCCATGTTATATTCATTCAGGATTGTCTCAAGTACTTCCGTATCTTCCTTCAGGTGATAAATGCATTATGCGATTTGTAGTTTTATACAGTCTGTGTATTTTATACTTCTATGCCATCAACTTATGTACAGTATAATGCCGTGCAATGAAAACCGCTTTAAAGCGAAATTACTTCAATCGTACTGACATTACAGGGATAGCGATCCGCCGATTCAATTAGATTTTGTTTTCAGTACAAGGTTGATGCTATTAATGCCGGGAAAGTTTTGGCGATAAAGCTTTATGAAACTTATGCTTTCGTGACTTACAACACCGGCCAGGAAGTCTCGGCTATATTTAATGAAACCTATGATCAGATATACATGTAGTTTCATGCTGTTTTTGCCATTCAGCGGTGTATAAAAAACTTCGCAAAATTATGCACAAAACACTCATGGACAGATATGCATTGTGCGAGTACTGTAGCAGTGTAGCTTTAGCAGAGCGTGTCGGTACATATACGAGTAGTATCGTTATAAAGGTCAACGTTCCATGGCCAAAATCAATAACGCTATTATTATCTTCTTCCTAAGAGTTCCATCCAAATGAAAGCAAAATGTCCACTCATGCCTGTTTTATCTGTGCATGGAACAGATGGAGGCATGGATGCACGAATGTTGTTAAAATTGGCACATGATCAATTGATGTCTATCCAGTACAGTATAGTCGCATCGCCTTTTCTGCCTAGTCTAGAAGATCCGCCAAAATTACCTGCAAAAAACAAATAGCGTGTTCAACCTTTACAAATTTTAGTTAATACAGCAATATTCTCACCGCTCCGAGTAGATCATTGCCGAATCCGCCAAATCCAAAAAATCCTGGATAACCGTACCCATATCCTAATCCTCCGTAACCATATCCTCCGTATCCTCCATAACCACCATAACCTCCGTAGCCGCCGTAACCTCCTCCGTAACCTCCATAACCTCCTCCATAACCTCCGTAACCGCCATAACCTCCTCCATAACCTCCGTAACCACCGTAACCGTGACTATGAACACTTAACCAAAAGCAGCTGGAAAAAATTATTAATCCAAAGGTCGCTAGTAGAGAACGCATGGTGGGGTATAGTGTTCTGCTTCTATTATTAGAAATCAAAATTATACACCGTACGATTAACTGACCATGTAAAATGTCTCAATCATTAAAAGTTAATTGATACCTTTTCGAGATCTATTTATGTGGGGCATGCCCTGTACGCACTACGCAGTACATAAGAGAAACATATTACATCAGACGCGAGCAATGCCGGTAATCACCGCACAAGCCATGTTTTTTCATAGTTCGTTCGCTAATCAAGCGCTTCCAGCGACCGCAGAGTCGAATCAATCGATTATGTTAAAATTCAAACCGTGAAAGATATGTACCTTCAACTTTATGGTAGACAAGAATTACCGGCATTGTATTCATTACTATTCTTTATGCATCCAAAGGGAAAAGAGTATCTATCGTCACAGACTCACAGTACAGTTTGGACATGCTTACATCAGCCCTTTTTCTACAAGGCTAAAAATAACTGCGGTGGCGTTCTTTCCGGTCACTCGCGCACGGATTTTACGATGGTAGCAGGCGTTTATCTGTACGTTAATTGACGTAACAATAGTAGTACGTGGTGGTACTGATTTGAAGTGAACAAAATACAATGGACATCGATACAGTAATTATAGATATCAGTAACTGCTGAAGCCATCCGGTGGAGTGGAACTGTCAGATTTGTTTTTAAGTTACTCAAATATGCTTTTATGCTCTAACCTCTGGAAATCTAACCGTTAGGGGTCATTCTGCAGGTTGCGATTCTTTTAAAATGTCACATTTAATACACGTGGCTAAAATACGCATGAAACGACAATAATAATGATAATACTGTTATTAATACATGAGTAAGTCACTTTACGGTAGGTAGTAAGACGTATTGCACGCATCGCATGCACTACAGTATGATGAACTGGTTAGGCGCCATCCATAAATTACGTCACGCAAAAATTCGACATTTTTAGGCCCCCCTCCCCCTTGGTCACGAGTGCTCACAAACTGAGATCCCCTCCCCTGAGCGTTACGTAACAAAATTAAAACCCCTCCATAGATATAGCATGGTGACGCCATAATCGTCACAAATGTTTAAAACCCCCCTCCCCCTTGTAACAAACAGTAACGCTTTCAGGACCTCCCCCCTCCCCCTACTCGCGTGACGTAATTTATGGATGGCGCCTTATAAATTGATCAGCGATCGCCGATCACGAATCGGAAACGACTGCCTTACATACGACTTTCTGGCTATTTTAGCTTTTTATCATGATCAATGGAACACGACTATCCATAAACAAAAAACGAAAAGAACAATGAGTCTAACGAAGCATGATAATTTAGGTTCTGGCTATGTATTTTTCAACTCCACAATCACTAACTTTAACAGCTACAAACATGAACTCACAGAACATTCTGTAAACTGCAATGCTAGTACTGCGCGTCAAGCAGATATGAAAAACTTGAGATACGCCGAATCGTAAAAATTAAACCAAACCGAACACGGGAATTCCACTGGCCAATGTGTCCTAGCGCGGTGTTGTTGCTGGCGCAACGGGGCATGCTCAAACATCATCCACATCCACCTCGTCCTTACTATCATCGCTGTCACTCTCAGTGGCACTGCCTCCTCCGGCCGCGTCATCAAACTCAATCCCGTCATTCTCCATATCCTCGTTGACGAAGGTGGCCTCGTTGACTTTCGTCGACTCCGGAATCTCCCCGTAGGACTTTAGCAAGCGCGCCTCCTCCGGAAAGTACTTCATGATAACATCGGCTTTACCATCCTGATAATCGCGCAGCCCCACCAGAATGATGTCACCCTGATTAATCCATACTTTCTTCCGGAGTTTGCCGCGTATGTGGCACAGCCGTTTTGTCCCGTCAAAACATACTGCCTCCACGCGTCCATTCCCCAGCATCTTGATCACCTGGGCATATTCCTGGCCGTCTTCCTTGAAGACCAACTCGCGCTTGTCGTTCTCGTTTTCGTTCTTACCACGACGACGATTCTTTCCTCCCTTTCCTTTATTTTTCGGCATGGTTGAAGATCAAGAGCAGAATACAACAAAGGAATAATTAAGTGTCAGTGCATAAATGAAGAGAATCGTCAATTTTTTTGGCTTTGGATTTAGGACACCAAAAGGCAAAACTGATTTTCTGAAAAAATGCAAAAACCTCGTGCGCATTACAGTCTCATAGGAACATTATTAACTGCGTAATGCATGAATTTTCGTAATGTGTACGTGCGCGTGGTTCACAACGTTACAGGGTGATTGACTGGCTGGTTCACATCCAAATTTCCATTGATTTCCACTGTGATGACTTCCTCCCCAAGGAGGTTGAGAACCGTCTCTAAATGCTGCTCTGTCATGAGTGTCATCAAGCTATCACTGAAAAGTGAAACCAGTTATTTTAGTTTCAGTTTTCTGTTTTCTTCTAAATTTTTAAAACATTTCAAAAATTAATATTTCGTCTACAAGTTTTCTCGATCGATGACGCATTGTAAACTTCCATTTATTCAAGAGAATTGACGCTTTCTTATGATCATGGTGAAATTCAGACAGTACAGTTTGAAATCACACATCGTTCCTGGTCGGATGGAAAGCGAGGACCTATGCTGATACTGGAAATCTCCTTCGTATTTGGACCATAAATGCCGTGGTTTTGGCCACTTTCCGTATCTGTATCGAAGCTGTTAAGAATTCTCATGATTACCACAGTTTGTCATGTGCTGGACGCGGCATCTAAAGGAAACACTCCGACAGATCCCGCAAATGGGAATGGAGAACAGAAGGGTAATGTCATTGTCACAATGTCACATTACTAATGTGGCATGCCTGTATTATGGCATGTGAATGTTTCCGTATCCTTTAATTTTTTCCCCGTGGATAAATGTGATCGAAAATAATTTTCTAAATTTTATTTTAACAGTGGATAGTTCGTTCAAGAAACTGGAGCCCGATGGACCGGATGACAAGCCGTTAGCCCTGGGTGCTCGTCAGGAGCGAATGCCTGCGGGAATGCCTCCATTCGACAGGAGTGTTCCGCGTTACTGGCCACTGGATTGGCATCATTTCTTTGAACCAAACTTTATTCCAGAACTGCCTTATCTCCCTATCTGCTCCGATCCAAATATTCCCTGCAGGAATCTTTCCGCTCAATGCCTTAGCTGTGATCTTCGGGATAGTGACAATTATAACTGCACATACGGCGAATCAGCATGGTACCGATGCGAGACCAAACCCAAAGTGCAGTGCAAGGTACATCGTACACACGTCTTTCCTCAAATTGTTTTGAATTCTGCTTTGTGTTTTAAATGGAGAGAAGTGGCTTCGTCGATTATAGTTTCCGAATTTGGAAATAAACTCTCACTTTTTTTCCGAATTTGGAAATGGTTTGATTTAATTTTCGAAGTCTTTATTCATCGCTGCTCCCCCGTTTGTATTGCCTGGTGGCGTTAAAATTGCATCTTGCTTGGCACAATTTGTGATAATTTGGTAATCGATAATCATTTTGAAAGCGCGATTTTTTTGCAGGGAGAATCCACTTTTTACTTTCCGGCCAAGTGCCGATTTTGTTACCAAACTGAATTCCACGAGCACACGTGCGTGTCGCCAGTGAACTGTCGAGTCGGTGGAGATCCATGGAAGCGTGTGCGAAAAAACTGCACAGCCAACCACGATGTGATATGCTTAGGTACGGATGTGTTTTTATACCCTTGCTGTATCGAAAACAAGAAATTCGTTGGCTTGGCCGTAACTTTTGTAGAATGGCATACTGCAGTATCGCTTGAAAGTTTATGTTATTTAGCTTTCGGTTGTCCAGTTTCTTTAAAAAGATGTTCGGGGGTTTCACATGTGACAAGTAGTCTTCTAAAACGGCCAAGAGAATGCTGTACAACTGCTTTAGCTGAGCATGCCGTTTAGTCTTTACTAATATGCTACACGCTTATGGTTAGTTGATCATTTAATTTTTAGCTGCTGCATTTAAATATGAATTGTAAGTAAAAACGCTCTGCATTTGTTTTCCCATTTTTAATTGGGTTTTGTGAGCCATATCATTTGGTTTACTTGTGTGATTTCTAATTTGTGTTTTCTTATAAACTTAACGGTGTTGTTAATTTTGGCTTTTACCGTTTGATGTATTAAATGCTTTTTAATTTAGGCAATCGGAGATTCCACAAAGCCGACACATGCAACTTCAGTTCCGGCCATCGCTGGTCAGTGGCCATGATTCTCAGCATTACACTGGGGGGATTTGGGGGAGATCGGTTCTACCTGGGACACTGGCAGGAGGGTGTGGGTAAATTGTTCAGCTTCGGTGGTCTGGGTGTGTGGACCGTCGTGGACATCATTCTAATTGCCATCGGTTATCTGCGTCCGCGGGACGGTTCGCTGTATATTGACTATGATCTGTAAACGAACCGTTTCCGCGGCAGTTCCATATACTGAGTGCCCGAGTGGCAGATATTTTCTGATCTAATGTGATAAATAATTTGACCTTTTATCGTTTTCGTGTTTGTACTGTTTGCGTTTTGTTAGCTGTTTTATGCTGTCTTTGTTCTTTCTTCGACTGAAATCGCGCCTTACAAGTTATAATAAATCTGTTCTTAAAAAATGTAAGCAGGCGTTTAATGTGTCGCAGTCCGAAAATTTCTGTTGATGTACTCGTAATTTATTCAGCGAAATGCTCATGCAGAACACTTACTTACAATACCGTTCACCATTCTGCTGTTTACAACAAGTAGTGCCAAAACAATCAATTAACGAGTGCTTTATGGAAATAGAGCTACATTAGGTTTACAAAAATTAGCGTGTTTTAGTATCTTAACCGTAAATGGTTTCCGTGTTTGTATGTGGGTTTTGTTGAGCTGTCTCATGCCGTCTTTGTATAAAGGGTTTCAATAACTTTTCATACAGCCTTAGCGCGGTCAACGTCCATTTCGTTCCGACAATTTTTGATTATTCTGTTTATTCAACAAAATAAGTAACACCTCTATATAGCCCACAGCGTACTTTGAAGAGAAAGAGCCCTGGATGGAATTTGTGAAATTAAAACTTTAAAACCGCTAACAACAATGAGCAAAGCTGTGCTACCAAAAGGCAGACGGGTTGCAGACAGATTCCCACCAAAATGAACAACGGCGATCCCTGATGTAAAATTATGCACAATCTTCGGAATGGTAATACTCTCTAAGAACCATCAAACGTGCATGCATAGATAACATTCTGCTGTTTACATATCAATAATCTTCGGTATCTCCCAGGTGAACTGAGGTCGTCCAAAATGCCCATAACTGGCTGTTTCATTGTAGATGGGGCGTTTCAGATCCAAATCCCTGCAAAAACAAACACATACAGTATATTTTCAAATAAGAATGACAGCAATTGCGTACTTAATGATTTTTCCCGGGCGTAAATCAAAGTTCTTATTCACAATGTCCAGCAGCTGTTTCTCGGAATATTTCGAGGTGCCAAAGTGGAAAACGGTCACGGACAGCGGAGCTGCAATGCCAATAGCATACGACACTTGCACCAGGACACGGCGCGCTAATCCCGATTTCACCAAAGACTTGGCTACCCAACGCGCCGCATACGCCGCCGATCGGTCGACCTTGGTCGGATCCTTGCCCGAGAACGCTCCACCGCCATGAGCACCCCATCCGCCATAGGTATCCACAATAATCTTACGTCCCGTCAGACCGGCATCACCCTGAAACGCATCAAACATCTCATTATAAAGTTTTTCAAAAACATTAAAATCACAATTACAGTCGTTATAATCACAATCATAATATCGTAAAGAAAATAAATAAAGCAAAAGCTTTAATTTGTTTCTGCGATATAAGCAAATAAGTGCTACAACTGTATGCACTAAATCAGCACTCCTACGATACTCTGAAAGTATGTTAAAAACCGCTTTCGGATGGGAAAAAAAAGCAAATGAAAAATTAAACTTTTAGTCTTACATATGGTCCACCCAAAATAAATGTTCCACACGGGTTGATATGGTAGATCGTTTTCGCATCCAGATATTCATTGGGAATAACCTTTTTAATAACTTTTTCCAGAACTTCATGTCGCAGCTCATCGAGTGAGATGTCCGGAGCATGTTGGCCAGAGAAAACAACGGTGTGCACTCTTAGAGGGACACATGCACCGTTTTCCAGACGATATTCCACTGTAACCTGTAATTACAACATCAATGTGTCAGTCATGCATACAACCTTTTTTTTGCATTCTGTTAATCGTACCTGAGATTTGCAATCCGGACGAGCCCACGGGAAGGTGCCGTTTTTCATGAGGTAGGCATACCGTTCCGTCAGACGATGCGAGAGATGCAGCGTGAGTGGCATGGCCTCTTCGGTTTCATCGGATGCATACCCAAACATCAGACCCTGATCGCCGGCCCCCACATCCAGCTCATCACGCCCCACGTGTACACCAGCTGCGATTTCGGGATGCTGCTGCTCCAGTGCCACCAGCAAATTACAGGTTTTAAAATCAAATCCTGCAAGATAAACACCATTACCGTACGCAGTAAATCTGAGTTTTCATTAAAATATTCCGACAATCCAAAGTAAAGTGTTTAAAACGCGCTGTCAACAAAATGCGGCAGATAGTTTATGTTCTCTATAATTCTAATACGAGCTGCATCAGATCTGCACCAGATCTGTCACAACCAACGTCACTTTTATTTTTGGCTGTGGTCCTGTGAATATGAGTATGACGATGCATAATTGTTCCGAACAATTTTTTGTCTTTTGTACAGTGTACATAAGTGCGCTCCTGCTTGCACATCTTTAAAATCTTTCAACACATTATTCAATTTGCAATATCCATTCATTTTATTCTACGCAATTTATTATCAGACACCGCAAAGACCAGGTCACCAGACAGCAGGAAACCGATGCCTCATGCCAGCATTCACTGTCATACGATAACATACAGCGGCTAACAATGGAAGTATTGCATAATCAAAGCACTGCCACCAGCAAATTTCAAGATTAACCATGCTGTTCCCAGAACTAAAGCCTTCCGGCGCAAACCAACGGGCTCAGCAGAAAAAAAGAATGAGAAAAACCTGAATTTCCAGCAAAGCACATGCGCCGTATTTGTTCCAAATGTGTAACAAATAATCCGGCTTCGATAATATTTTCACGACACTTCAGGGAAAAATTAAGCTAATGCTATGGATTTGAATACAAATAATGAGTAAACAGCAGAGCGATAAGCTAGCATGATTGCCGCCGGTTCACAGAACTTTGAAATCTATTGCGCAATAACCATGACCGTGAGTGCGCAGACAGTTGTAAACTTTGAACCACTCACTCAATTTATCGGTAAATCGACAAAGCCGAACCGCTTTTCTACGGTAATCGTAATTACCGTTTAGATTTCCCCGCACCGTGCCACAACTGCGGGAAAATATACAACGTGTTTCCTGTTTACTGTGTACCTTTTTCGGAAGTGTCGTAGCCAACATCCTTAATGACTTGCCGTACCACAGCCTGATAATCCACAACAGCTTTGGAGGTGATTTCACCGCAGATCAACACCATTCCGGTCTTCACTACGGTTTCTACAAAACAAGAAAAAACGACACATTCAGCACCATCTAAAAGCAAACTGCTGATCATTGCATAATAAACGATACGTATCTTGAAAAGCAAATGCAAAAAATTATAAAAAACGAAGAAAAATTTTTGGCATACCACACGCAACCTTGGCATTGGGATCCTGACGGAGATGAGCGTCCAGGACGGCATCGCTGATTTGGTCGCACAGTTTATCTGCAAACCAGAAGGAGAACCTTCGTCATGATAGCCATCGCAGCATAGCTTATCGGTTGATGAATTTTTCATGGACGGATGTCAGCGAATGCTCTACTATGTTCTATGCCCTCTGGTCACGCATTTTTGCCGACTACTGCCAAATTCTACCATTCCTTATCGGAGAAAAATGATCGCGAATTTCGAGCGACTTAAACCAGTTCATACCGATTTCTGATATTTCGAATACGACAAATAAACCGGTTATAGAGAAAAAACTAGGCTGAATCATATATCACAAAGCCGCTAATTTCATATTTCCTTGCCAAAAACAAAATGCAGCAAAAAACTAGGAACATGAAGAAAATTTAAAAATCGTAAGCCGTATCGGAAGACGTAGTTAGTTGTGTAGTTAGTTTGAACTTTTTAACACACTAATCAAGAAAACTGCAAAAGTCCCTGCTCGAATGACCAATTAAGCTATAACGGCTACTTTATTGATACGCAAATTTTCGATCCATATTTTTATTTTTTATTTCAGCAAATTAATTCAGAATGTACGATTTTCACGAGGAAAGTTTTAAAAAAAATTTAAACGAATCAATACGACTAATCTAACCGAAACACGATTCTAATATATTTTATTAATCAATATCAGTATCTAACTCGAATCAGAATTAAAGCAACGCGAATCTGAAATGTTACAAAGTTCCGGATCAACAGTAAACACTTGAAATTAAACTCACCTCGATAATTAATAATGATACTTTCACCAATAAATGTAGTTTCAAAGCTATCTGCTATTCTGTAAAGTTCATCTTGAACTTAAAGCAATTATAGCAATGATTCAAATTACCAAAAGAAGAAATCTACCGAAAACAACATTTTCGAGAATAATCAATAATGACGTGAATACTGAATATTAAGTGATTTACTCACCTGGATGTCCCGAACCGACGCTTTCCGAGGTGAAAAGAAAGGTATCGCAGTTCTGGCTACCGTTAACCATGTCGCCGCAGTTGTGGTCGTAGCGTCCGTGACTGTGTCCAGCCATAACGCAGAAAACTGTCCCTGCCGATCTTGAAAGGTATCGATACGCTGGAAACCTGCGGGAACCTAAATATTAGGCACGGACACCAGTTTCAGCTGGAGACACTGCAGCAACAGCAGCCGGTGATGGCAGTTGAGAAGTGTTCAGCGCGATTTATCGGATGGAAAATTAGGAAAGCCCAGATAGCACCGATCAGTTATAGAAAATCCTAGCCAGAAGGCAAATATCGGAACGCTAAAAAGTGGATTTTCTGCTCTAATTTTTCAGTGGTAAATCATACTGCGGCGAGAGAGCAACTGTTGTGTAGCAAAAAATCTACGCTAGAAAATCGTACTGAGTGTGAGCAGCGGAGCGTGCGAGAACAGACGACGCACGCTGCACGCACAGCTGCGCGGCATGAACGTGTAAATAAGCAAACACTTCGACCAGTCGTCAACTTGTGGGGGTTGTCTAATGACCATATACTGAAAAATTTTATCGTAAAAATTATGACTGTACATAATGTGTTTAAAATTTGAAAATGGCATTATGGCGTAATAATATGTTGGGATTATTTTTAGGTGCATCCTGAGAATACACCTAAAGGATAGTACTACTACACACAGGATAGCACTACTATCCTGGGTGTGTACTGTGTAGTTTTAAATTCAATCAGAACTGTTCAGCCAATTCTGGCCTACCTTTATACCGCCAAGAGCAAGTACTTTTAAAAAAGGAACAAGTTCGAGGAACCGGAAATGCCACTTGTCCAGTCTTTTTACAGATTATAATGAATGGCCCAGAAAACTGAGAAGTGCGCTTTGATCTTTTATTTTCTTTTAAGGCTATTTCAATAATTTTGTAACTTTCAACAAATAACATAGAACATCTGTACTAAAATACGTATTCTGTATACGAAAGACTTTTCTGCTGCCGTGGATTACATTTCGGAGCCGGTAAACGACAATAACTGCTGCTAAAGCACAGAAATCGTTCAACTGGATACATAACTGACTTCCATGTACTTAAATCTCCAATTTAGTGCTACCGGATATATCATCTGGGGTCTGAGATCTGACAATACAAGAAAAAATACATGAAAAACGAAGCCGAAATGGTCTGAATCGTCAACGTCATTCCGACGATTTCCCCGGGACAATCCGATTTTTATTGGCTTCGTGCTGGTCAAGCCGTCGAAGGACATCTTCGATCGTTCTCATAGTATCGTCTTTTTGCGGCAGCTCTTTATATGCGCGTTCCAGACAAGCCCTCAATGCTCGATAATTTTCGGCGCCAACAGTGTCAGGTAATCCATCCAAACCGACCGGCTTCTCCAGTTCATCAACAGATTCACTCTGAAACAGCACATAAAATACAATAAAAGTAAGCATCATACAAAGTTTAATGCATATTTACTAAGTGATTCTGTTAACTACCGTAAATGCCGTTTTGAAATTTAGGTGCTTCGATCCATAATAACAGGCTATCGGAAAACGAAATTTTACCCGAGTCTTCCAAGGGATGTTTCTTTCTTCCAGCCATGAGTGGAAAGCATGCTTTAAAGCATCAACAGCAGCAACATCGTTCTTTGTGTAATACACGTGGATAGCTGTCTCCTGCCAATTTGCAGGCAGCATGGTTGTAATCTGAAGTTTTTATAATACTTGTACATAATGTAAGATGTAAACATTGCAAGCCATGCTGCATGACATTTTAATCAGTGAAGCTACCAAAGATCGAAGAATGGAGTAGTTTACCTCTGCGCCTTCCAGGATTTTTGCCTGATTCTGCGAAGTTTTCGAGAAAAATCCGATACGGCTAAATGGGTTTGCATTCTTCATACCGTAGTCGAACAGAGTTCGAATAATAATGATATCGGAAACGTTCACGTCTCTGCCAACTTCTGCGGTGGCCGCACGGGCAAGCTCCATTTTCAAGGCCGTCTAAAGAAAGATGTTATTCAAAAAGGGAAAAAAACAAAACAAAAGCAAGCAACATGGTTAAGAACTACAACCGGAATGTTCATAAACATCGACCCAATTTTATTAGTAGTATCTCAAATCGATCAATACCCAAAACTGTAAGCAAGAAGAAAAGTACAATACATTGATACACACCTTTTCAAAATCCAACCGTTCTGTTGAAGCCGATCGGCCAACATACCGATACAGATCTCGTGCAAAAATTCGTCTGAGCAAACGTCTGGACGACTCCAGTTCTGGTATATCACTGCTTCGAATCATATTAACGACAGTATCGTCAGCTTTCAAATAAGCAGCCATGTTATCCACAGTATCCGATAATTTTCGCAGTTTTCCGTCATCTCCGGAAAATTTCAAGTACGAATCCGCAGCCGTTAATGCGTCAATTACCATCTGTTCAATCAAGCGAGTGGTCTTCTGCTGGTATAGAATGCGATGCAGCTCGCATCGTGTGTGGAAGATGCTTTTGACATTCGACACCAGCTGAAAATCATACGAGTAGTGGTTTAAATTAAAAACAGCAAAACAAATATTACTATCAAGTAATTTTAATACACTGACATACGTATGCACAAGAACGAATACGAAATGAACGAATACGAGGACATTTGGGTGCTGTGAACATACCCTGCACGATTAGGCTGCGATGAACAGCCGGCTAAATTTATAGCCGTTTGCATTCAGACCGTGATATCAGTAGCGTTGCGAGCTACGGCTAACCAGCTGTTCATCGCAGCCTAATCGTGCAGGGTATGTTCACAGCACCCAAATGTCCTCGTACGAAACGAACACATAAAAAAGGATTACTGTACAGTTCTTCCAGAGAAATCAAAAAACGATCTGCAAGTACGAGTACACCGAAAATACAGAAAAACACAAAAATTTTACCGCATTACCTTATCCCGAAAACATATCTGCCATTCTCCTTGAAAACAAATGGCGCGACAACCGCGGATGAAACGCTGGTAGTTCTCAAAGCCCATTTTGACGTTTGTGTGGTGACAATCCCGCAGAAAATAATCCCATCGATCGACGTCAATTCCATTTCGCTTATTGGCAACAATCTTAAAAGGAAAAGCATCGCAGATGTCTCCAAATATCACGATGTTTGATCCAGAGAAACTCACTTCATATAAGAATGCCTTCTCAGCAGGTCGAGCGACGTGGCGCTCACCGACAATTAGTTCTTCAATGAACATAATATCAATGTCGTACAATCCGTATTCCTTGAAGATGGGCTTTAAATCATTGATTTCCAACAAGTAACGGAACATTCCAAGGGACGCTTCCTCGTGCTAAAGATGATAATCGAAAAATGTTATTGTGCACAAAAATCCGTTCTGCGCACTGTCATAAAAAATAAGTAAGTTTTTTACAGATACTGCAAAGAATAATGCTAACGAAACAAGCAAAAAAACTTAATGATCACGTAATTTAACTAATACCCTATATTTATACTGAATACATAATTACGTATTTGACGCAAACAGGAGCCTGGGCAAGTAATTTAGGCTTTTCTAACCGATAATTCAATTTAATCCAGAAACAAACTCCCGTGCTGCTATGCTGAGATGCGAATTGAATTAATATAATATAAAGTGTATAATATGTTAATTTGCCACACACCTTCCACTTTCTATCACCCGCTACTTCATCCATAAAAAGCTCAAAAGTGTGAGATAAAGGACCATGACCTGCGTGAAACATTTTAATGCTCGTTAATCAGTAGCGGGTAAGAAAATAACGCATATAGGCCGTCAAATATGTACACTGTAAGAATTAGTAAAGCGTTCTAATTTATCAACACTCTGTAATTTACCTAAATCATGGCACATGCCAGCAATCATTACTGCCAGAGCATCCTGCTTCGTAATCTTCAACTCCGGCTGCCGTAAACGTAGGGATGTCACAAATTCGCCGGCAAGAAAAGCCACACTGTAAAAGTACAGCGTAAGACACGGAACGTTTTGGTTTACAATTTAACATTTGATTTGCAATTTCCGTAGAACCACATTTCCATGCGATTCTACGGAAACCCTAATACTTGTAACCTGTGATCTGTCTAATGCAATTTCTGAACTTCCGCTTACCCAATGCAGTGTTCGAAGCGAGTATGATTTCCTCCAGGAAAAACAAAATATGCCGGTCCCAGCATCCGAATATATCGTAGGCGCTGAAATGCCTCTGTATCGATAATTTTCCACAGCAACGGGTGCACTAAAAACAAAGTCTAACGTTTAAAACGACAAAAGGCGCCTAGGAATCAGGTTTTATAAGATCTGCACTGTTGTCAGTTTCACCATGGTTCGCAACTACGTCATCGAACTCGCGGTGACGTTTATCGAGCAGCTTAAGCCCACCGCAGATGAACGTACCTGTATTCTATACCAGAAACGTTTCAAAAACAAAAAATTAAAAAAACAGTTGATGTAATAAACAATTGCGAAGCAGTAAATTGGAATAACACTATACTGTGAAGTCACAAGTGTGAAGCATTTGATCAGATTTTGCTTTCAAATTGAGTACTGTAAACTGTGTGTACAATTCGATTTTCGATACTGTATTTGCTTTTTTCACAAGCATGCAACAAACTCTCGATAAACTTCGAAACAGCAAGCAATGACAATGCCTACGCAAACAACAAGTAATTTTATTATTTGAAGAGCAACACTACAATTCTTCTGCAAACTTACCCGCGATCTCTCCATGGATTGCATCCAAAACGGTCTGCAACAATTTTTAAACGAGTCATCGAGAAACCTGTTCCGTTCGTCACACAGTAAGCTACTTTGATTGTAAACGAACCCTGCCAGCTTGCTCTGTTTCCGTAATCACATCGTAAGGAGATCCAGTGGGACTAGAATCAGCATAAAGTGGCACATCGGGTGGAATTTTGGCAGACAACATGATTCTGCAGTTGCAAAAACCTTGCAGGAGTCAGGAGTGGCGCGATCGGGAGCTACGCGTAGATAGTCTACCAGTGCGCGGAGTTACAGCCCCGCTCCCACGTTTCAAGTTTTGGAAGCATCCAAAACGTTACACTGCATCAAATATTCCTACATATCTCCGCAAAAAGCAACTATAAACACAGTAAAATAATTGCCAGTTTAGCTGAATTACAGTTTGCAAGTTATGAAAAATCAAAATTGTTCGTATGCGGAAATCGTAGAATGAGGCGTGGGACGGAACGTGCACAGTGATTGCACACCTGCCAGCTGATATGCGAATGCGAATAGTGACGACGAGTACTGTTATAGTGACGTCATGCTGTTAAAATCTGGATGTGCCGGAACGTCAAAGCAATGGCCCGCGCCAAAAGCACAGCGCATTTGAGGTCGGCCGCTTTTTTTCCCAGAATTCCCGCTTCAACTGAAGCAACCAACGAATGTGGCAACAATAACATCAACATGAAAATGCATGAGCTAAGATCTCCATTCCAGTGCAGCCTCGAAATCATTTCAAACGTTTAGCGTTAAGTGATTATATTAAAACTTGTAAGTTAAGTTCTTTTTCACCTACGCCGTAGATCATACGTTTTAATGTGACACTGCGATTACAGGTAAGCACTAACTGTGAAATTTTTTTGACGAGTTATGGGTTCAAAAAACTACTCTTCACCTTAAATGTTTATTGGTCGTTGTGCAACAAATCGCCGACAGTCATGATCATGTTTATTCTCGCCGTTCGACAATTTCAAACTTTCAGATTTTTTCGCGAGTGATGTCCAATAAAATTCCTCCTTATCCCTCATCCATTTATCCACACTTATCCCGCCCTACCGCTGAGTCATCATCATTCAGCACGTCGGAACACGATGCGCGCCAGACTGATCAACGCCGTCAAGAACTGCGACGAACGGAAGCTGGAGCGTCTGATACAGTGCGGCGCTGATCCCAGCAGTCTGTCCAGCGACGGGGACACGGCATTGCACGAAGCGGCCAAACATGACCACGCCAATCACCTCGTGGAATTACTGCTGCGCCGCGGCGCTAATCCCAACCAGCCCACGACCTCATCGCGGCATTTCACACCGGTGCATTACGCGTGTATCTACGATCAGCCCAACAATCTGCGCATCCTGCTGAGTTATGGCGGTGATTTGTACCGTAGATCCACGGATAATCTGACCGCGATGGACTATGCGCAGTTCAAGCGGCCGCATGTTATGGCGTTTCTTCGCGAGCATCTGAGTCGCCTGCATCGCGGGGCGAATGTGGAGCGCTCGTTAGATACCACTCAGTACCGCTCGTGTGTGGAATCACCGGAACGCAATGTTCGCGAAACACAGCTTCGTCGAAGCCGCAGTGAACACCGATCCCGAAGCGCCAATCGGTCAGCATTACGATCTCGCCAGCGCTGCTTCAGTCGGTCAGTGCTGGACAGTTCAACGGACAGTAGCGAAGGCAGAACTGCCGGTTTTCGACCGCAGGCTCATCCGTCATACCTTAAAGAAAAAGAAAAAAAATTTACTTCCGCTGAAGATGTTTGCGCAGACACGAAAAATCTCCCAACGGGCGCCGGTGTTTTGCCGCTTTCGCGTTCCTCGCGATCAACAGGTTATGAAAAATTCCCAGAAGTATACAGCGTGGGACCCACGAAACCTGCTCGACGATCCGTGCCGGAGGCTGCACTGAAAACACCACCGTGTCCGGATGTCACGCTGAGTGAAATGGCTGAGCTAGGCCGAATGACCGACAGCGAGCTGCGACAGGAACTGAAGAAGTACGGTTACGACGCCGGGCGGATGTGGGATTCGGCCGCTCGTATGGCATGTATCAAAGATTTAGCGGGTTTCAGGCGCAAAGCGTATGTGACCGCCAGTGTCGACGATTTTGGTCAGGAGATGCTCTCGGTCATCCGTGAGACATACTCCCGGAATTTATTATGGGAACTGGAGGATGCGTTTCTGGCTGCGTTTCCCCGGCAGAGCGATGTGTGTCAGTACGGGAATTATTTATTACTCGATCCGCAGATTACCCGTAATCTGCCGTATCAATTCGCCGAGACTAAACGACCGAATCTGGAAATGTTCTTCCGGGTATTTCTACGTGGGATTTTTTATATTGGAAGCATGAAGACGTCCCAGCGGCCCCATGAGCATTTGCGCTGGGCTAAACTGCAGATTGAACGGAATGGATCCAAATTGGGCGTGCAGAAACTGTGCCGTATCCGGTCAATTTGGAATAATCACTATGGTGTGGTGTTGCTCAACTGTTTCCCGTTCGTTCCCGAGAAAGAAGCCTTTACGCGTGAAACGCTGATGGTCGAAGCTGTTGGCTTGGAGAAGGTGACCAACGAACACTGGGGCACGCTGCATGGATCCGTTAAGAGTTGGCCGGAGAGCGACAGGCTGTTGTTAGGGAGTTATTTTCTCAAGAAGGCTTTTTATATCCTCCTGGAAAAAGGTGAACGGCAAATTTTTCGTGAAGAAATCTGAGAAGTATCGTTTCGGTGCAGCGGAAGTGCTTTTCTAGTTTTGTTTTCTAGTGCACAAGTAATTTCTACAGTTTGTTAGTTTATCTTCCTGACACGTTTCGTATTAAGGTTCAACTACAGTATTTCGTGCGTTGAATTGCTGTAATATTTATTTCGTCAGGAGTGTGAAACAGCAGTTTGTCAGATTTTCCTGTTTTGAGTTGTATTTTGTTTTTTTTTTGCGTCGCGAAATTTTGTGAATGCGTGGCTGAGCATGCCATTTTTACTTTCTTAGTTTTGAATGTCTTATTTGTATTTGAAGATGTTGCAATCTGGTTATGCAAAACGATCTTGCTTCTGAAAAAAAATATTGTCATACTTTAGCGTGACATTGTGATTTTAATCAAATTGGAAAACACACCTATTTCCACGGATTCCCTTCGACACTCGGATGATAATTGTCAGATTTTCATTTTTACCAAACATCTAGTTAGTTATTCGACATCGGTGCTGATTTTACACAGAACATGATCTCATTTCAGTTAAAAGAGTAAAAGAAACTAAATGAAAACCTATTATAAAAATCCAATTAAAACAATAAAATTTCGGCATAAGAAAATCACAGCAAGTGAAACTGTCAACAGAAACGGGGAAGATGTTAAGAGCCAGAACCAGGAAGAGCAACACAGGAGTCCAGATAGGCCCAGGCCATTTCACTGATTATAGTACGATCCGGAATACTCTGAGCCAGTCCATAAATAGCTGCCATACCGGTATCCTCCTTGGGAGGATTTTCCATAATGTTAGTTATACATTCTTGCAATTCCTGCAAAAACTTCTCCGCCACTCCGGGTTTGGTATGTCGCTTCGTGATGCAGACATGTATGCTGCTGGGAAACTGCAGAGCATTCAAATGCCATCCTCGAGCAGACATGGCGTCACTGAGAAGATACACATTGAAATCTTTGGAGCCCACTGCTATCACGCTGACCAGCGGGTCACCCAGGATGTAAATATTCTTCATTTTCTTCAGCGCTTCCTTAATTTTCCGTGTGGTTTCAATGGTTTCTTTCGTGGCTTTCACATAACCATCCTCTCCCATGTATAACATTACCGACCATGCTGAAGCAATGGATGCACCCACGCGACTTCCGCTCATGGTGGGCGATGCATAAATCCCACCTGGCCAATCTGGTGTTACGGAATACTGATGATGAAGATATGTGTGGTTCCTGTATAGGATGACCGAGGATCCTTTTGGTGCATATCCGTACTAAAAGAAGGTAAAATGTATACGAAATTGCGTAAAACTGTAAAGAAATAAATCACTCCATCCTAATCCTGGGTAAAGCGCAAATAAATTGCAACAGTAAAATTTCACAACACAAGTATGCAACTCTATAAAGTCAATCAAAACGATTACGATGAAACCATCGTCAAAATAATTCCATCTTCCGAAAAATCTCTACTTTAGCGTAAAACATACCTTGTGAGTATCGGCAGAAATGCTAGTCACTCCCTCCAGCCGGAAATCAAAGAGTTCAAGAGGATAACCAGCCTTTTCCATAAACGGAATTAAAAATCCTCCAAGACAGCTGTCCACGTGCACCGGTATTTTGTACTTCAATCCCAGTGCCGAAATTTCCCCAATTTGATCAATGATTCCGTGTGGGAAATGCGGTGCAGAACCCACAAGCTAGAAGTGTGACACGCTAGATAGAACCTCAGATTAGTGATAACTGGTGCAAGAAACAATACCATGCATGTTCTTCCATCAATCGCCTTTTTCATAGCTCGCAGATTGACCTGGCAAGTGGTGCTGTCCATCGGAATTTTTCGAACGCCCATGCACAAGTAATCCGCCGACTGTAAATACATCAGACAATGAAATACTCAAATCAGTTTCAGTAAAGGCTACGTGGAAACAGTTCAATTTGGTCTTTCCATATATCCTCTCAGTAAATGTGAATTCAAAGATACAGTACATATGCATTACTCGCTAACGCTTCAAAAGTTTTACCTTTTCGAACGCAGCATGTGCCGTTACGGGAACCACCCTAAAATCCACAGCGGAAAATGCGAATGCGTATTAATTGCAATAACAGAAATTTCGCACGACAAATAACGTTGTAAAGTATGCAAATCAATACTCTGATGCTCACATGACGGGTTTCTTTATTCCTCTTGCCAAGGCATAATCACGGTACGCTTTGCACGCCATAAAAATGCTTTCCGTGCCACCAGAAGTCATCTGCAAATATACCGAACGTCAAGCTCATATCCAGTCATTTAACTGCACAGTTTCGCACTTCGCAGTTTGTTAATATTTCCAAAACGTCTGATAAAACACAAACCGGGCATACACGGGCATACACATTTTCGGGCATACACAAACCAAACAGAGCATGTGCAATCCATAAACACATTCCTTACCGAGCCGCAAGTCTTCTCATCGCCATTAAACATGGTGCAGCACATTCGCACTACTTCGGATTCCATGTGCCGTACGGAAGGAAACACATCTGGATGCAGAGGATTGGACCAAGCGAACATGGGATAAATGGATGTGCTAAGTTTCGTTATCTCATCCGAGCCCGAGTATATGGCTCCGGATAGTTTGCTCCAGTCAGCTGATTCTGTTATTGAAACGTCAAGAATGTAACATATTATTATCGCGTCAAACAAAACAAATTTAGATCAACTGTCAGACGGCCTAAATGTCTTTGTAATCTGTAGAATCATCATGCTTTAAAGCATGCATTATGGACACATTCAGCTATCCAAAAACAAACACGAAAGACAAAATCTACCAGGAGCAATTAGAAATAGCTTACCTGTTTCTTTATACTTTTTGGCCAAAGCCAGAACTTCTTCCTGTCAACACAAACCACGTGTTAAATAATATTCGAACGCTCTACAACATAGAGCTAATCATAATAACATTGTTTACAGCTTATTCTAACTGAATACTGGGAACGTTTGCACGCATTACAGTGATTACACATACAAAAAACTATAAAAATAGCAGGATGATATATGCAAACTCATAGGATATCTTGCTTTTTCACGTTTTCACCGAGGTATCTGCATGGCGCACAAAAACAGCACAATTGAATTCAACTTGTGAATTAATTATTAATTAACTTACAGCTGATCTGGACTGCGGTAAAGCCCTAATCGACCCCAAATTTCTCGTTGGTGCCATCAGCTCGTTCTCCATACGTTTTTTCGATACATCGAATTCCTGGGAGATTTTATTGCGAACAGCCGGAATTCGACGCGCATTGCGAAGGACGAATTTCTTAGCGCGAAGAAAAAGGCCTGTAAGCAAAACACACAGACTCAACACTATGCAAATGATCTTAAAATTCTGCAGAAACGAGCATCAGCTACAAGAACCAGTACGGGCGGTACCCACGAGTAGAACGATTTTTAATAAAAAATACGACTGCACATACTTTCATCTTGAAACAAGAAATTGTAGCTGATTATCAGGATGACGGTGGCACACGACGAAGCCAACGAAATCATCCATGGTTCCCATCCTTCGAACAAGTGGTCCAGATAACCACCGATAACTTTATCCAGCAGCATTTCCAGTTGTCGCTGATCACATCAAGAAATACGGAAACCGAGAAAGGTATGACGACTGATGATTTTCTTGATCAAGTTATCCGAAGCGCCACGTCCGAGAACGTTCTCCCTTCATACGGACTCGAAGAGGGCAAAGCCTGGAAGTTTATCTCACGAGTCAACACTGTGGTATTCGATAGTCAATGTCTAAAAATAACTGCGATATGATAATCACAATGGCAGCGATAAAACCCTCAATGAAACAGGTGAGCACTACTGATAATGGTCAACGTCCGATACAGATGTTCAGTTGTTCACTTGACGAGCACTCAAAATGTACAGCAGGCTGATAAAGCTAATGCGAGTACAAACAATTTACTTTTAAAACTGAAATAAACCCACAATTAAGAATACATTAATTACTATAACCTTCGGTGCTTACAGCTCACTGATTTTCTGTTTTGCCTCCACGTGTAGTCAAAATAAAAGAATTTTTTGTGGAGTTCGCTTGAAATGCTGCAGCTGCTGCACTGCAGCATACAAACCGGAAGTACAGGTACAGTGCAGGCTCCAGCATCAAACCGGAAGTGCAATGCAGCCCGACCACAAGGGTGGTAGCCAATACCGCGGGTGTTTACGTCAGTTACCCGTAGAGTAGCCAGCTGATTTGACCAACACCACGAACAAACCACAACCCACAACACAACAGCCACAAAGCTGAAATTCGTTTTAATTTTTTTGGTTTGTCACCGTTTGTAGTTCTTTTCTACATTTTGTAGGAGATATTTGTAGTTCTTTTCTGACTAAGTCAAGTTTAAACCATGACTTTTTGCATACATTGCGCTGGTTAGGTACATAACAACATTTATCAGCAGTGGATCCAGGAGTTGCAAACTTGTGATGCATCATGGATAGCGCTCTATAGGTGTTTTATGCTGCCAAATCGAATCCACAGCGAGCGCAGATCGCTAAAAAGTTGCGGGTGAATTAACTGTTCCGCGAAATGATGACTGAAGATGAAAAGGAATCTCCGGACCCGTCATCTGAATCTCCGAGCAAGAAGCCCAAGCTCACCAACGCTAGTGCTCACGAGCTGCCCAGGATCGCGACACGCTCACTGTGGACCGCTGCAGCTGCTGTGTGTGATTATTCTCGCACTTCCAGCGAGACGTTTTGGACGGACCATATGGTCCGCGGAGGATCCGTGCCAGCGCCGTTTCCAGCGTCTTTTATTGCACACCGAACAGAAATTTTTAAGGCTCGAATACGCACGCTGGATCGAATGCATGCGCATCCGTCGGATTTCAAGCCGCGCAGTAGAGCTGCCAGCGATAGCCTGGTACAGTGCATAGAAGAAAATTGCAGTCACGCTGATTTGTTGCAATTCAGCTGCAACGCCGTGGAATTTGTTTGCAGGAAAAAACAGCTGGTCCTGCATTCAAGCTATCGCTAACATGTTCTTCCAGTATGCATATGTACCGCTTTGGGTAAGTACACCGCGTTTTATAACGAAAATATGGTTTAGACTTTTTATGGCGATTACGTTTTCTTGTGTGAATTGGATTTAATTTAATATGTTTATTCACGAATTCACGCGATATACGTAATTCAGCGATTTCAGTTTACTTTAGCATTCGAGGGATTTTTTCAATGCTTTACCTTTCATTTTATCTTAAATTTCACTAATTTGTCTGTAATGGAATGTTTTCGGCGTCGTATTGCTTTTCGTCGCTTACTGACAGCGTTTTACAGCTTAAAACAAAAATCTGTCTTTTTCTAGTGAATTGATTGGATCTCAGAAGCTGCGACGCTTATCGCGACTGTAAGTTCTGCTCGGAATCGCGCATTAACAATAAATTTTTTTGGAAAACGGGCCGTTGGCCATCACTTTGTATTACCTGTATTTTTTTAACTTCAGGCAAACTGTGCCACATTCAAACGGCACCGGATTGGCGCTGTGTAATATCTGCGCTCCAGCTACCAAATCAGAATCAGAACATCCTTCAAGCGGCCTGCCAACGAGACTCCACAGTGTGTTATTTGTTCCCCGGAAATTCCACAGCACCTTCTTTTGTACGAATTGCATTTTCGTTGTTAAGATTAAACCACGTCTTTTGTAACATTCATTCAGTTACAACAATAAAGCATAACAATTTTTATTTCAATTTTTTTCAAGGAATATGGTAAATGTTTGTCCAGTGCTTGATAGTTTGCACATTGCAGAATCGCACTGGAAGCACTCCACCTGATCATCCCGTAAACCATTGTGATTTGTTGATTTCGACCGAAACTCAGCAAAATAATAATCGCATATTGCGGTTTGCGAGTGCCGCGACGGGCAAGGAGATTCTGAAGATTTGGATCGCATCAACGTCACATTTTTTTGGGTTGGTGTGTTGTGCCGTGGATTTTACGAGCCGTTGAGAAATATTTTGCTTCTCCGATTAGAGATCTCGCTTTTCACCGAGAACCAGACAGCCTCTGCGTAAAGTCATCACTCTTTTCGTACCGCTCGCCAAATGCGGCACCGACTTTGGAAGGCAGCCCGCACCCCGAGAAACGCATTATAGTGATGTATTGGGATTTGTTTCCTTTGCGATACACAGGAGGCTTTGTTGTGAGTGATACAGTATTTGGGAAGGGGCTCACGGGGGTCGGAGATTTTGAGGACACATTGGCCGTATGTTATAAAGCGAATTCGAAAGAGTTTTTGGAGCTGTTTGATTTGAAACCGTTTCTCAAAAACGCACAAGTGAGTCTAGATAGTGGATACAAATATTGTGCAGTGCATTTGAGTTGTTTATACACCGTATGGTTTTTGCAGAATGTCAGTATTATTTATGGAGATAAGTGGAACGAGTTGAATTATTCTCAAAGCACCAGTGGAGATATTAAGACCGGTTGTTATCCTATGCTTTCGGAAAATCTCCGTGGTTATGGTTTGTTTGGATGCGGGATGCCTTTGACGTTTGGTTTTGAAGGTAAGAAGCTCATCTCATAAGTGTTTCATTACTATCGTTTCTCATTACCCTTGATCTTGTCACAGATAAACCACCTGTGTTGCTGAGGATTTATACCAGTCTGCATTTTTTATGTTTGTCGATGCATTTGCACCATTTCTTGGTTGCTGACAAAACCTTAAATGAGTTCTATTTCATCAACGCATCTACTGGACAGCGGGTGAGCCATGACATTTAACCAACATAATAAGCATTATTATTATTCATGAAGATCTCGGTTCAGTCACTGCTGAATAGCGGGGTAGATAACAGAATCAGCACAGGTATTTTTGCGATGGCTTAGCGATGCCGTAATAACACGTCATAATTTCATAACAATAACATAATAAGAAATGAGTCGTGAGATGTATGGCTTTAACAAATTGTACCTTTTTTCGATGTTGCAGGTGGATGGTCCGGTTTTACATGGTGACAGTTATTGCGATAGTCCGGCTCTCGAATTGTCCAGTTTGCTTCTTTTCGATGCGAAAGGGGAGCGTTTGGCTTTATGGAACGGGATGCGCTTGGTGTTAGTATTACAGATAAGCGTTACGGTTTTCTTGTGTTTTTCAAACATATTTTTATGCAAACGTTTTCAGTCGAATGATTTCAGACCTCCTTTATTACAGTATCTATGTGATACGGCGTTCTGGTCCCGAAAAGAAGTTAGTGTTGGAAGAAGATCGCTACGTTTATCCGCCCGACACAGTGGAAATTCAGGGCGACACTATTCACCAAGTGTGCTTAGTCCCCGCCAAACACAGTGATGCTGTGGTGGTGTTGCCCAAGCAAAGTGGAAACTGGGTAAAATACGGGAAACATGAAAATGCACTTATTCTTCTTAAATGCATCTTTGTACGAGGTCTTCCTAAGTACGATTGTTGCAGGCCTGTGATCTGGTCTCTTACTGCTACGATCTCGATATCCTGATGGTGATGTTTCAAAAAGATCTAACTGAACGAAAGGGAGCGCGTTGTTTGCTAACGTTGTTGGAGGGGAGTTCGGGTGATTTGTTGACTGTTGTGAATCTGTGTGCACATCGTTTACATCAAACGGTACGTACTGTGGTGGATATTCACAGGTTTTATTTAGTCTGTTTTAGTACAGTCTCCGAACTACAATTATAACTTAGCCTGCTTGTTATGCTTATCCTTGGATCACGTTGCAGTCTATAGAGTAGTCGGACTAAAAATTCTTACTTTGCTGTTAGGATCATAAAAGCGAGGTGGAGCTGGATGAGTACGGATTATCTCATTATTATGCCGATAACGGCGGCAGTCATACGCTGGACGTTTACACATTCCGGGAATTGGGTGATGATGAAAACCAGTGTTGCGTTTATAAAGTGAGGCTTAAACTTGCAGAATCCAGCCAGGATTCTGGTTATCGGTTGTTCATGTTTAGGTTTTCATTCCGCCATCCAGTGCTGCTGCGAAACAAAATCGATCCTCGTTGGAAGTTGGGAAATGGGTCGCGAACAACCTTTGATTTCAATTGTTATTGTTTTCGAATCTAAAACTGCAGTTGTAAATGGTTCTTGTTTTCTGGTTTTTGTTTTATTAGTCTTTTCTAGGTAACAGGAAATAAAGGAAGCTGTAAAAAATTGTACATGCTTGTATATTGTGCGCGGAACTGTGCGCTACTGTTGTTGTATCGAATAATTGCAGTATACCGTATTGTGTATCGAATTAAACCAGCGGCAGCCGGCACGATGAATGCGAATGATTGCGTATACAGTACGCCTGACTTTAATTACTTACGGATTTACAGTACAACGATGACTACAATCTCTCAGCGAAAAATGCTCCACTTCATCCTGGAGTTCACGGGAACCGAGAAACGCAGAAGGCGAAAAACAGTGCTCACTCTACATCGGAATAAGCGTTCGTTTTTGTTGTTTTTAATAATACAATAGCGCAAACTGTCAAAAATCACTTCCAAAATTTGGATAACCTAATAGTAGCATCATATACGCTATTCTAAATTATTAGTAATTGATTCATGCTTGACTTTCATTACTTCCGCAAAGAGATGCTGGCGACATCGTAATACTGCTGTTCACAGAAGTAGCGTCGCAAAATGGATGAACCTTCTTGGAGGCTTTCAGAGAATGATACGCTACCGCCATGATTGCAATAACGATTAACAATATACACACCAGGCTTCCCAAAATTATCATTATAATTACAGGATACTGTGACAAGAACTCTTTTCCGGTTTGGCCAGTGGTTATGGCATCCTTTGCGTTCCATAGTGCCGGGAAAGGTGTATTGAATTTAATGTGAACGGATGCTGGAACGAAAAAAACCGTCATAATTACACACCACACATGCACTTTTGTGTTAAACACTACACAATTTTGGCATCGGGAATATTACTGTATTTACAGATGTCACCGCAACGAAGCGACTGATAACAAGCCAATGGTCGATGACCTTTCGTTAAGCGTTGCCGGTTGACAGCATTAACAGGATTAATTAATACGCGAATATCAGCTTATAGTACGCCGCATACACATACCAATATCCTGCATCGAGTCAACCGGTAATTTCATGGACGACCGCACTGTCCGCTTGTTGCGTATGGAGTCAAGGGCGACAACACGGAGCGAGAACTCCGCACCAGCTTCCTCCAGTAGGGCCGTCAGGTTGTCGGCTCGGATCACCATCGTCTGGTTGATGCCTTCATTGGGCTCGAGGATCATCAGCGGTTTAACGTAGCTGGACTGGCTGATATTGGATTCGATAAAGGCTACGAAAGCGGCATTATCGGACGTGTCCTGATCCACAACGGTCAGCTGGACGAGATCAACGTAGGGTGCGGAAAGTACGGTGGGCAGTAAATCGATTTCTTTGGATACCATTGATTCTAGAAATCTTGGTCCTAAAAATATATTGATAATTTACTTCCTAAAAAATTAAAGAAATTACAGTTGATTATAAATCTTGTTTGTACAATTCAGTTCAAGAAATCTGTAAAGACACAGACTGTAGTTTTTAAAAAATCGAAAACTGATACCATTGTCATTCACATCTTCCACGTAAATTCGCACAGCAGCTTTGGCAACTCTTGATGGATCATTATCTTGTGTTGCCTAAAACAAATTCAATTTGTTCAATAAAAAAACTTTGGCATATCCACAGAGTCATGCTGCATAGTTTTGTATTGTTGTATTGCTTACAGAAACGATCATATTAATGTAGCCGGATAAAGCCGACGGTAGCTGCTCACGGTCAATTGCGGTCAATAGCGATATTGTACCGGATGTATAGTCAATGGTGAAATGTTTGATGAAAGACTGTAATCCGTCGGAAATATCATATTTCAAACTTTCTGCAACGGAAATAGCAAAACATATGAACGAATGTGTACTATTGACTGGATCACCGAAAAGAATTTTCTAAATACATTAGATTTTAGATACCGCAAAAAGAAGTTTTTTTACCATACGCATAATTATAAGAGTACAGAAATTTAAAAATTATGCATTCGTGTCATAAACAATCTTCACTGAATTTTGTGGTTGGTTTCCGACCTCCATGCCGGTTTAGTAAGTATTCAGCGGTACTGGAACAGACATGCAACAAGTTACTGTTATATATTATACGTACCATTGATTCCCACATCCCCGTCCCACGCATGGACGGTCAAAATTGGCTTGAACTCCTAGAAAATTCAAATTTACGTGCGTATAACTTGTGTACGTATAACTGCTATAAAAATATAAAACAGCTACCAGAAAGCAAAAGGAACAGAGTGTAGGATTATTACGTTCCCTTTACTTTCTGCATCACTTTCCATCTGAATTCGTGTTATAATATTTGATCAGGTGTTGACAAACACCGGCTCCCATTATCAGCGAAGTGTATAACTTCTGCGTATGTAAGAGTACTTAATTTACTTACATCAGTTTCTTCGATAATGGTGGCTTCGTAAAAATCCTTCTCGAACACCGGATTCTGGTCATCCTCGTCGATAACGAAAATTGTCACCGTGGTATAGTTTGACCTTGGAGGTTCTCCTCCATCCTTGGCGGTGATATTCAAACGGAAAATATGTGGACCGGATTCATAATCCAGTTTACGTTGTAGAATTATAGTGCCCTCCAACGGATTGGGCACACCGAAATACTGCAGTTCGTTTCCGCCCTGCAAATTAGCGAAATGCAATTAGGAATAATTGCTGTATCTGTACTAGTGCGCGCAGAAAGGTATTGCCAGCTCGACAACAACACCGTAGTTAATTATGCACAACATATTTTTACGGATTATAAATTAGTGAACAAAGTAGTTGTTCAAAAACAAAACTTCAGTATACATAAACATTATCATTATCATCAAACTAACTGGAATCTGAATTGCGTTGGTTAATTATAAACTAATCTTATAAGCTAAACATCCAAATTTTAATTGGCACCATGTACAGGGTATGTGAAGCATTTTCCCTGCGAGCTTATGAAATTACCAATGAGTTACGTTTAACGATGTCAACGTGTACTATTGCACTATTCAGCACTGGTCAGCGCGTACCGTAATGGCATACTGAATTTCCGTGTTGGCTGTATTGGGTAAGTCTTTGTCGAACGCCGTAACACCCTCCAGAACTGTCAGTCCCACGCCGTGAAATTCACTAATATGCGCTTCATAGGGATAATCATAGAAAACTGGTGCATGGTCATTAATATCGATAACCGTAATGATAAAGGGCAAGGTCGTGAAGCTGCCGCTTGGACCGGTACATTGAAGTTGAAAATTGAGATCTTTGATGTGGGGCTGCAAACAGTTGCTTATACCGGTATATCCGATTGCGATGAAATTAGTTATGTGACACCAAAATTATGCTAACGTGAGAAAATAATATCCCTAGCGTTAATCTGCAATTAAATTTCATAGAGCTTACCAGTAAAGATGTAAGCTTTTCCTGTGTTCTAATCTCAACGGAAACGTTATTCCGCACCACGACGGTGAAAAGTTTCGTAACAATGTCGTTGTCGGTGGGGACGAGCGTAATTCGGAAAACAATTTTTGCATCAACTTGAGCAATCACTTTACCTGAAACCATTAACTTTTTAGTGAAACAAATTAGGCTGAACCTATGTGATTCTCTTTGAATATGTATTTAAAATAAAATGCATCGAAAATTTTTACCAGTGGGAACGTCTTCCGGCACACTCAAAAATGCGCTGGTAAATATTTCCGTTGTATTCGGATTGTAAAATAAGCAGTCTGCAAAAAAGTCAAACATTCTAAAGTTTTCGATCGATGCCCTACTATCTCGAATTTGATTTTGTTCGTCGAATGATTATTTAAAAACATCCTACACAGGAGACGGTAAATAACAGCGACAACACAACTACTCTGTCTTTTATTTATTTTCTAGTTTGTCAACAGATCATGACGCCAGACACGGATTACTGTCAACAAATCATTAAGAAACGCACCAAGATCACGACAGTAAAGTCACATACGGCACACGAATGCACGTTAGCTTACCCTGACAAACTGCCGCGGTGCACAACATCGACAATGTCCAGAAACGGATTAACATCACGTTTACGTCGCCGGTTGAACCGGCATCACGCACTCTTCCGAATTACTATATAAAAAAAAGGGAAACATTGGTGGCTAAAAATAAAAAAACTCAAAGGAATTATAGGTATGCGAAAAATACGGTTTAGCGATTCATTATTCCTGTAATATAATCAAACTTACTTTCGGACAGCCTGCTCGCATACTCAAGAAGTCGAAGTGATTGACGCAGAGGAAATGAACAAAGTATTGAATATGTGCGTAACTGCGTATTCCACAAATCAAACGATGAACAGGTGAATACATTCAGAGGAGCTGAATTCCATTATTTTAACGTGTTGCACGAAAGTATTTCACTTTAGCCGGAATTTTTCCGCTTTTGTTGTACTACCGGCAACAGACTAAATTTTACACACCGTAACTGCAGTTATGCCGGTAAAACATACGCACACTGCTCTTGAGCATCGAAACACACACGTAAGCTGCAATACCAACCGGATGTGCAGGATCATCACAACCGAACTGCCGGTACCGTATTTTACCTTCACAAGTGACCACGTTGTTTGTTATGGTAGTACGTGCACCATCGGATCTCTCGTTAACAGCTGATCAATCCAAAAGAACCAAAACCGGATTGGTTTATCATGATTAAAGCAAAATACAGGAGTTTAGAGTAAACGATATTACCAAATGCAATACCAATGGAAACTCTCGAAAAATCCTTTCTTATACAATTAGCATTTATCCAGACAGAAATTTATTTTCTCTCTGCTTTTGTCTAACACTTGTTGGGTTGTTTAAACCGGAAACGCTTAAGAAACGTAGTTCGAAATTTGATCTGCCGGGATTGATAAGAGGAAAAGTGGGACAATACACGCAGATTCCAAAGAAAACTTTGAATATTGGACGTTAATCTATTCACCTATTTGTAAGAGCCATGTAAGTTGTAAACCGGAAGAATGTCTAACGCAACTTGATCAAGAAAATCAGAGCAACTTACAAATCAAGAAAACCGCACGTTGTTTCCATAAATATCTCACAATAAAGCACAAATAAGCCGGTTTGCTTTTGATGAATATTCCTAAACCATTCGGAGACTCATTCAAAGCAGAGTCAAATCTTAATACAAAGTACATGTAAAACTTAACATAGACCGATTACTATACCATCACAGGTTGTGCGCTACGCCAGCAGAACGGCGCGTATACATCAGCTATAAATAACAATAATCGTTATGGAAAAAAGGGCCATCCGTTTACCCTTCACAGTAATGAAATGGAAATTACTCACAGGACAATTTTCAAACACAAGTGATGATTGAGGTGAAGTATTTCCCAGCTTCACCGTTGTCGGCACTCCACAACGAGCGGCCTCATTTCCATTCCGGAAAATAATCACAACTCCTCCAGGATTCAGTTCACATTGTCCTGCACTTCCGGCGCAATTTGGGGAACGGGGATTTGGGGATCGCCGAGAGGATTCGGCTGTTGGACACCCAAGACCAGTCGCTCGTCATTGACACCTGCCCGGTCTAATGCTTTTTTGATGGCATCCAGCAAGTATCGCTTCCAGAATATGATGGCAAAGGCGGCCAAGACGATTATGTTGGAAATCATGTAGATCAAACTGTTCTGCTTCCTCAATTCAAAATGGCTCAGTATTCCTTCGTTCAATCCAGTAATATTCTGCGTGTGTGGAATGTATTTTACATCTGAAAAATTCACTTTAGTCAATCAACAAGACAAGCAAGCACGCACTTCGAGAATGCGACAACGACCGAGTTGCCCAGATATACAACTGAATTTATACGGCAGTAAAACAAAAACCAAGAAAATATTCTATTACGTTAAAATAAATAACAAATTTTATAAGTCGATTTACAGTCAGTAAAGACAGATGAACATACTCGGCTAACTTAACGATATACAAATAATCGACTACAGTTTTACCAGTATAAGCCATAATGAATGCTCGGATAGTATCGCGAGCATCGGTTTTCGGGATAGTCCAGCCAGTAATAAACCGTTTCTCGTAAAAGAGTACAACCACTGGAACACCCATTATTCCATAGTGTCCGGCTACCCTGTATAAGCAGAACCAAGATTAACAAACTGCACACTACATGTACGCGTAAAAAAAGTATGTAGTCTGCACTCTACTATGTGACATTCAAATGGTTACGCACAATAAAAGTTATAATTACCATTTTTAACACTATTCAACCTGAAATTTTGCAAAATATGATGACAATACCGGAATTCACGTACCCTGGGGTTCTGTCGGTGTCCACAGCCAGAAATCTAATCTCCGGGAAATATACGGCTGCCGAATGCATGACAGGAGCTGCGCGATAACAGTAGGGACAAGTGCCAGAATAAAAGAAGACGACGGTGCACACTTGGTTACTGGCGGTGTCGTTGAGCACATCTTGGAGTTGGTAACCAGGGATAACACTCAAATGACCAGAGTCTTTGGAATAAATACTGGCGCAGCTCAAACGGGTCTTGTTGGATTGATATAAATATAAAATCGATCGCGCCTGCCATCCTGAAATATTAAAATCACCTTACTTAGTACTGCAGTCAAGTAACACAGTCGTAATTCTTCGAATTTGTAAGCTACAGCTTGCAACTAATCGGCGGTCGACAGCATCGTTTACGCAGAAAAGACTGAAAAATATTAAATGTGAAAAAAGCAAAGCAAGCTAGCAGACTTTGCTAAGAATTTGGATGTTTAATTTCATACGGCAAATATCACGCGAGAAAAAAATCTAATTTCATCAAACAGCACCAAAGCTCTGATGTTATTTTAAGAATTAAGACGTAAACATTATTTCAAAATAATTTGTTGCATAATTTTTAGTAAGGTAAAAACGGTGATAAGTAATAACTGTAAAATTTACTAATACTACAGTACAACAAAAAAGAGAAAAAATACAGAAGAAATGAAAAGCCAAACTTTCAGTACCTGTGGAAAAATCCAGCGGATCAGGCTGCGACGTACACGTATCATCCTGCGTCACGCCGACAATCTTCAGGAAGCGCTCCTTCGTGGGAGCGGACCAGTGGCGCGGGAAGAAATCCGCGGCCCACTTCATGAACTGCACGGATTCCGCGTTGTTCACCTGGCTGAGCGTGGACGCCACGGGCAACGAACGCAGCGCTTTCTCCCGGATAGACGCGTTGGCTTCAGCCGTGGCCTCCGCCATGGCATCGCTGTCACAACGGTCCTCGGCGGATTCACCATCCCCCAGCAGGCTGGAATTCGTGTAGCTGCGGATCAACTGGGCGAAATTTCCCTGCGCGCTGACGCAGTGGCCATCATCGATTTCTTCGGAAGTGCTGTTGGCCGAGGCATTCACGGCAACGGTGGTGTTGGGGGGACTGCTGGGAGCGGAGTCGGAAACGCTGTCATCCGACTCGGAGGCAAAGGGGGAGAAGGCGAAGGCGAAGAGGATTAAAATCCCTGCCAAGAAAAACAGCAAATCATCACCATAAATGATAAATATACTGCAGCTAGTAATATTCGCGGTTCGTTAGACGTAATATCATGCGGCAGTAATATCATGCAGTAATATCATAGAATAACATGGCAGTAATATCATGCGCAGATTCTTACATATGAGATTACTATGTCTGGCTAAAAGTTCCCACAACATGGTGAATGCGAACTAAGAGATCCCTGGACCTTGATTTTTGAAATGCACTGAAAGGACTCAGAGGAGGCAACAGGCGCGTTATTCCAAATTACAGTAAGTCAACCCATTTCCATAATTATGACTGCCAAGAATGCAAGATGCGGATCAAAACAGGAGTTCTGTTTACAAGCACTCCGAAGTGGTAAGAACTGATAAGTCACAAATATATCTTCTTGCAATTCAAAAGTGCATATTCCAGCACCTGCAGATTCTAATAGATAAAGAGAGTAGATCCTAAATTTTGATTCTATAATTACGATGAGCATATGAATTTTACGTAAGTCGCAGGCTCGCAGCCAGCGTTCATCTCGAATTTAGGTTCAGTTGGTACGAAACCGTCGCCCAGTGGAGATTTAGGTATCCTTTCCGCTTTTAATAATTATTCTTTAGACAGTGTGGATAGTACGCTGTTAAATCTCGCAGCTGTCTAACAAATTGACAACCGTTAAAAAGTAAATTATTTTAAAAAGAAGTATTTTTAGGAACAAAGTGCTGTGCTCACATACGCATATAAACTGAGCAAGTTTACCCAACGTTTAGTTGAGCTACGTTTAATGTTTTTATTAAGACAGTACGGTCCTTCAAGGCGCTATACAAGCACTTTGTACGTTGTAGAACTATTTACTTTCATGGATTTCTCTATCGGTCACCGATAATAAAAGCCGTGAGCACAAATTCACAATTTCACAACACAAAAGTTAACTTTGTGCATCAATTTTACTCGTATTTTGACTTCGCCAGCGAAATGTTCGAATCGTTCAAACACCACACTGTCTATTCTATTCTCAAAATAAAAGCAAAATTTTAATACGAGTACATAATATGTTATATCTATACAGGACACTGGTGTAATGCTACTGTACAAAAACAACAAATTAAGTAAATCCTACATAGCGTGTGCAGACATGCATACTGTATACCTTGCTGTAGCAATGTGCCATGTTTTTGTTTTTTGTATGCTACAGAATGGCATTGTTGTTAGAAACTACCGTTCAATATGAACAATGAACATTACTACGTCTCTATAGCGGCGTAAAATGTTCGTTCGCTATTTCCAGTATTTCGCTATATCGTCAAAACTCTCAAAATTTGGCCACACATGTGCAAGTGTTTACAACTGGATGGTACTGTGCGGCGGCTCCGAGAGATCTAAAGGCCCACGATCGGTAAAGTCTCTATGGTTTAATCGAGAAAAGACATACATATTGACGAGTCTTCGATGATTATGTGCCACGCGCCAAAACAAACGATAGAACAAACAGCGGGATGACTGCTATGATATCATGGTTGCCTCTTTAGTTCCATCTGATCACCTTTGCTACAAGAAGATCAACAGTGCCCGACAATTACCGAACGATTTACCGACCTTCTAATTAGCAGCACACCTCATGCATCACACCACACTTCTATTGGCCTAATTATCTTGTTTTCGACTAAACTCAAAGGAAGACCAGCAAAACAAGTCGTAAAAGCCTGTGTGATCCCTTTGACAGTTGCGAGTTACCAGTATTGTTGTCAGTACAGCAGTGCCCTTGCCCATCTGCAATTAATCATAATAATTTTATTATACAACCTCCAATTTTCTTTATCGCAATATATGGGATTTATAGGAATGCGAATGTTACAAGGCTTTCACTAATAAAATTTAATTATTAAGCATTAAGTATTGTTTACATAAGCGGATTGGATACGTAAGATCCATATTGTGCTTGTACTTGCAAGCCAACGTTGCGATTACTCAAGCAAAGGTCAATCGCATTTTTTTAACAATATTCTAAAACTTAATAGCGATCTGCTAGTTTCAAGCACTTCTTTGAATATTTAAAATAACGCCACTTTAATAGTTAAAACGTGCCTAATTGCGTACATATGGTTTAACAACAAAAATGTTCGGCTCGTAAACCTGTATTTCAGTCGGGTATTGTTTCGTGGAAATGCACTTAGTCCAGTTAATAATAAACCGGTAAGACCAAATTGAGCCACCTTTCCACCTAATTCCCACATACTCCTGCGAAATCGAAAACTGAATACTGGGATCACTCTGGTAGCGATCCTATCTGTAGAAACACGTGCGATGCCAGCTGCGCGCAGGAAGGTACGTATCGCCAAAATCTTTCCCTAACTGGATCATGCTGTGCGATTCCATCTTGTTTTCATGATACACAGTGTCTGCATCGTCTACAGCAAAGATTCTGATAAGCGATCCTTACAGAAGTGGAAATCGGAGTAGCGACAGCGCACGAGGTACTAATTACAAAATTAATTGATCACGGGCTAATCAATCGCACAGCAATAAAAATCAGCAAAACAAGGTAAGCTGTGTAGAAGAGGCTAGCAAAGACGCTATTAGTAAAGCAATCTTTATGCTTAGTGCTCTCTCGGAAATTGCAAAGTTATTATCCAACAAGAACTGCACCGACAGATTCCGCTGTACTTTTAGGCACCAGAATCTTTAAAGGAAGTTTGCGGATTACATTAAGATAAAAAAACTTTCCGTAAAACCACTGCACAATTACCAATTGTTGCATTTCTACAATGTGTTGGTTCATTGCTTGTAGCGCATATTATAATCTAGACATTTGATATCCTTTATAATACTAATATACACCAAATATTAACCCTCTTGTTATCTAATACTTCATACAGTTATGCGAGTTTGAGCAAACAGGGATGCGAATAATGCGATCACAGAATACACAACTGCCGTTGCTACTTCTACTCTTCAAAGTCTAACTGGCGAAAAGTAAAGCAAATTGTATGAGTTTATGTCTACGACTCGGTTAATGATTTAGTAAGAGAACTGTATTTTAAACTATTTTATTTTAAATGAATAACTTAAGGTGAATGTAGATCTTATGATTATTAAATCACAAAGTGTATTGCGAGATCAGCAGTTTCCATACTAATACTGTTTTTCAGGATGCGGTCATCGCGGGAAAACTGATATCCTATTTCGAACTGAATAGAGTATGCGCGCACATCCTGACTGTTTCTAATTGTAAACAAGATTTTTTGTGTGTGAAATAACAATAGAGGACGAACGTTTCTCACGCCTCCATTACCTGCTTTTAAATGTTTTGCCGGCTGTCCTTGCTCTGTGTCTAAGCGTGTGCTCTCTGCTCCCTCCATCCCTCAGTATTGGCATGCATAAAAGCCTTAATTGTTAGGTGATCAAATCTAATTAACGTTGCAAACTGCGGCATTAAAAACAAGCTGACGTCCAGTTCGCATGCTTGTGTGCGTATGCAGTTTCCAGAATAACAACCGTTTTGAATGGCAAGAGAGTCAAGGAATCGGGTGGTCGTCATTCGTTAAGTGTGGGACAAAGCAGATTGCGGATTGGTCAGGACATGCTTGGCTCCTCCTTCTGGTCACTCCGTCCTTTGCTCACGTCTCGAAGGAACGTCCAGTAAATACTCAGGAGTTATTCACGTACTTATATAAAAGTTTTGTGAGTTATAAATCATTCTTAGTCGTTGTTAAAACATTTATGTATGATCCGACTACGATGGGATTTTGATATGGTTTATGCTCGGTAGTATTTGATAATTGATATACCCTGTTGTTATAGTGTACAGCGATATAAGTGATACGGGTGTGTGTCCCCGAACATTCGTTTAAAATTCGTTGTTATCCTCGGAAGCCATTTATTTTTGCTTCGGAGCGGGTGCAGTTTGAGGTGGTCCTTTTTGCCAGACTGCGGCAATCTTTGTGTTCTTATTACGGCCAGTATGACGCGTCATCCTGTAAGCGAATCTAACGTTTCGTCTGCCGGTGCGAGCGGCACTAAAGCCCAGCTGGAAAACATCAATATTGAACTGGAGGATGTGCATTTGTGGAAGATCTTTTCGTGTGGACTTTTAAACGAAATGGTAAGTGTTGTACAGTGTACTGTACATTAATGTTAGGTTAGTGTAATTTTAACGGCCGCCGGCGGGCACCTGGATGATGCTGTGTAACTGTGTTATAAACGCTACAGTAGTCAAGCGTAGGAATTTTATTAGTTTAGTTATTAGCCAGTAATTTACACATCACTTACGAAAAACATTATAACACAAAGGAAAGCCAAGCGTTAAAGTTAAAGCGTTAATTGTTAAAGTCTGCGCGAAACGAAACCTTCTTATTCTCGTTGAGTTCTCTCCGGCAACTGCAGCTGCCGTAAAACCATGGAAAAATAATGCAGTGCACTTGCTAATACAGTCAATTTGCATTTTTAAAAGCGTTTTTAGTTTCAGAACAAATTAAAATTAATTAGGTGTAAATTAAAACCAACATTATGAGTAACCTGGGTGGTTTCCATGGACGTACTGACACTGTCAGGAACAAAAAATCCTGAGACGCAGTTTCGGCCACTGCAACCGATCTATCTGTAGTGGTGGTGTTGGTTTTTCACCAAATTTGCTGAGTGAGATTCGAAAAAAAAACGAAGGAAAATCAAGGACTTCCGCCGCTTTAAACCACTACAGCCGCTCGGTGTGGCAGCATAATGCGGTTTATGTATTGCAAACTCTTGTCAAAATCAAAATCAAACTGAAGCGAAAATAACCGATCTGCCTTAGTGGCTGTATGTTCACTGCTTTTATTAAATTAAAGGTCATTATGATCTCTTACCGACCGAGGACTACAGTCTACAGGCATAGTGGTAAATAATTTTGTAGTGGGGAGAATTGTGTTTTTGCTTTGCATCCACTTTGCCACATATATGCTGCTTCCTTTTGAAGTTGGGACAAATGCAAGGCATAGTCTCTTGAACATTTCTGCGGGAAGGATATGATGTATTAATAACGAATGTTGTACCACGAAAATACCCGTTAACACCGACACAGGGCAGTGTTCTTACACGTAGTGGCCGACACATTTAAAGTGTACACAAAGCAGGTAAAGTTGCAAAATTTACAGATTGTATTATCGATGTCATTCCTAACTCCTACAAATTCCATTTCTTTGTTTTCTTATATGAATCAAACGAAATTTTACCGTGTCATATTGTCCGTCGCGTGAAAACGTAAAGCCAACGGAAATGCTTGTGTTTATGAATACAAAGAACAAGAAGGCTTGTCCACATTTCAGTATAGTAAGCGCGTACACAAATTACATATTGCTAACACATTAATTACGTGTTTTACTATTTCTGTCATCGTTAAGCCAGTGGAAAAATAGCTTAGATTTAATTGCGAAAATCATATTACGGCTACGACTTACGAGTATTTTAACATAATTAAAAATTCAATAAGAATCCCAAAACATAGTCGCGTTCTGCAAAAAATTGAAGTCTGATTCTTATTTACAAAAGCGGCAGTTTGTGCGCATATGACCTTTTAAACAGATAATAACTAAGAGCGGTCGGAAGCTGTTTCCGGTGGTGAAGTTAAGGCTAACGGGACTGGAACCTCATCGGATGTATGCGGTCCGAATGGATTTTATCCAGAAAGAGAACTGTCGCTGGAAGTACTGCGACGGTTCGTGGAGCAAAGCCGGAAAAGCGGAGCCGTGTCCGGTTCAGACCAGTTACCTGCACTGCCGTTCACCGAACTACGGAAGCGTGTGGATGGATAACGCCATTCAGTTCGATAAGCTGAAGGTATCCAACAAAGAAGGAAAAGAAATGGTGAGAAAACCATTTAGTAATTTTTCCGTAAATTACTTGTCTAACTTACAAGTGATTGATTACTCATGATTAATATCTACATAACTACATTTGCAATTTTATTAAGGTTCGTCTTAATTCGCTCCATTACTACGAACCTGTGATACGCGTCTATAAGGCCCATACCGAAGGAATCCAAGGAACAGATGTGCTGGTCGCAGAAAAACGACTGCCGGTAAGTTTTAAAGCACGAACAGATTACTTCATATAATAAGTTAAGTTAATAATGTGTTAAGTGCATAGTACTCATACTTATGTCATTTATATACTTGATTCCCTTTGCAAAGTGAATCCTTCTTTTACAGGAATGCTCTTTCATGGCGGTTACCAGTTATCAAAATCAGACCATTACTAATCTGAAGAAAGAAAACAATCCGTTCGCAAAGGGCTTCAACAGAACGCCGAACGACAAGGATAACAATACGAAATTGTAAGCTGTTGTTGGCTGTGCGTTGACTATTTGTAAGACAAAGTATGCTGTAAAATTATTAACCGCTTAATCTCTAGATATGTATTATAAGTATTTGTTTTAAGCGTTTGCATATTTACAATCGTCGCGTTAATTATAACAGTCATGACTGCGTACCTACGAGTACAAGTAGGTAATTATAATTTATTACACCGTTGTCCGGTTGTAGTGAGATAAATCCGGATAACCACTGCTTTACTACAATTCAGCGTGCAGAAGGCAAAGATATTCAAGGTAACGTATGCAAAAGCTTTCCAGATTTTAGTTCAAATGACTTTGTAATAAGAATACCTTCCAGAAAGTAGTTAGATATATAATGTATTTTCTATATGGAATACGAATATGGAAAGTGTCTGCTGATGCGTACCGTATACTATACAACAGCTGTGAATTCCAGGTTTAGCATCAGATGTGGTCGGCAACGTGGATGCGACTGGGAAACCAATCCGCTCCTCTCATTCATACCGTTCATCGCGGACACATCCTTACGCCAACGTCCGAAAATACCTATCTGAAAACGGTAAAAACTAAAACACGCGAACGCTTATTTTTGTTGTATTAGCGCGCAGTTATGGCACTCGTATTCGTAAAACAAAAAGCACAAATTAATAGTAATCTGATTTGTAACAATTCGCGAGTGTTATTGAACTAATATCGTGTCAGAACCAAACGTTTTCCACTGTTTCCGGCTGCTGCTATTATCATCCAGCTGGTGTTTTACGTTGTGGCTAGACAGCATTTTATATACGGCGATGCTGCTAAATACAGGTACTCTGTACATCAGATAAACTGCAGTAAAATTGCAGGTAAACTGTAAGCCAAGTGCAGCCAATACCACATGTACCGTCAATGCCACACAACTTTAGTAGCAGCGCTTTACATAAAACACTGTCAAGAGACAACGTAAACAACCAGCTGGAAGATATCAGCAGTATCCGGAAACGGTGGAGCACGTTTGTTTTGCACCCTGCATACGTCTGTTTGCGTAAAGCAGAATCTGTGGTGCAACTTCATCCAACGGTTACGGTAATAATACTACATAGTACATACTTCTATTGTGTCCCTTTCTACGCTCTACAATTTATTGGTTTATCTTTTAGGTTACTCTGGATCATATTCGCACGGCCGCAATTATCCTACCACCCAACAGCCGGCCACATCCAGTCTAAGCGGCATTTACTCCACCGCTGCCGGCCAGACCAACGGCAACTACATGCCGGGTTACATGAACGGCTACACTTACTGTCCGGACGCAGCGCAATCCATGTGGACCACTGCCGATCACATGTCCAATGTGTCCGGCAACAATGTGGCATGGTACAATCCCTACGGAGCACTGGGCCGGGGAGCTGATGCATCGTACTACGGCCACGACACCGCGTACACGACCGGCGGCTTCGGTCCTTACAACGCCGTGCCATATACCACCAATTACCCGACGTATTCCGCACTGGATTACACAGCAAACTGCACTGCGACCAACGTTGTGTCCACGACAACGGGATCCGTAGACGACAGCCCGCTGTCCAGTGCATCGTCTACGGAGGCGACGCCCGGTATTAAATCGTCCCCGCCACCGATTGGCCAGCAGTACACCAATGTGTTCTTCTAGGGTTTCCGTGTTATTGCAGTTTTGTTGACCATTTGTTTTCGCCCATCCGCCTTGCACAGGATTTTGTGCGCAGCTTTAAAAGTTGTTTTTTTTATATTCCAGCGGTTCCATGTTGTAGTTCTACTATTACAATTATTTTGTTATCGGAGTGTAAACTGTTTAGTTTTGACTTCACTTACTTTCTTTTTGTTTGGCTTTTCGGCCACATTTTCTTTCAACTGGATTGTGATGATTTTGGGGCTTTTGTTTGGATTTTATGCGCTGTTTGTGATGTTTGTTTAAAGGGCTTTGATAAAACTTTTACACAAGTTATGCAGTAAAATCAAAGTAGCGTATTCCGAAGCTATTAAACATAAATAGCATTTTGCTTATCATGGTACTGTAGTCATGCCACCGCTAAACGCAGCAAAGCTTTACCGAATAAGTAATGACCAGCTTGTGCCACTTCTCACACTGAACTATAAAAAATGAAATGCATAGATATCGTAAATTACCATTTCGCTAATGCGGTGTAAATATTTGTGGTCGGCAGTCATTTGTGCCCGGCTGAACCCGCACCAAAATAAAAGAGGTACTCAAAAGCAGCTATTCATATTATTATAAATTCTTAAAATTCACAGAATAACGTGGCTGGATTTCCCACTGAATCAAAAGAGCAGCACTGCTAGGGTTAACCGTAACGCAGTTATCCAAAAAATATTATTACTGCAACTACATGCTCATTGCTTGGCTTATGCGTATAATTTCACACGGATTATTGATTCCATGTAAATATTAACGGACAACAGAATATATACGTAGCATTCGTGGATCGCCAAAGCTGTTCAAATAGGGAATCATGGATACTAACAGAAGACTGTCCGATTATGACGCTCCAAAACGGCCTCGCCGACCGGTTTCGGTTTCGTTCTCAACAACCCCCATCACCGAATATTTTCAGCAATCAAAGAGGACATCGCTATCATCCACCGGCCCACAACACGAAATTCCCGCGAAAACCTTCTACAGCCCGCGCAAACTAATTAAGCACATAACGGCCGGCATCGATATAGGATCCAAGTTTATCTCGGCTGGATACACTTTACAGTACACGGATGGTTCAGAAGAGTGCCACATCTTTGATCGTTGGCCAGGTAGTTCACGACTACAATCGATGGTTAATCTGTTTATTAAATTTTAACGTTATTTTACAATACGATTAATTTTGCAGTAGCAAATGTAATTTCGGTAATCGTAATCTTCAGACGAGAACTCTTGCTTCCTGAAAACCGATAAAATTACAGCAGCACTGCAGCAGATACCAGCAGTCGTGTTAAAATTGTAAAAAGCCGGTATTTTGGAAAAACGAAACAAATAAAATTATTAGTGAAATATTTATTACTTACTTACTATTAGAAATTCAGCACTGTTCATCTGTTATCTGTAATCACAGGTATTCATCTATTCATCTATATTAAAAATTCAGCAGTGCATAAAAATATCAGTCTTTTGCCGTCAGTGTCTCAAATCTCTTGCATTCTACCTGTGTGATCTGTACTTAGATGCAGCAACTGAATGCGATATAATATGTTAATTTGATTTGGGGTAATAGCAAAACACGTCCAAGTTACTCTACTTTTTGTACTTTTTTGTACTTTTATGTACTCGTAATATACTACTGATGCAAAAACATTACCTCGAGCAGATTGTGTACATGTGTCACTGTGTGGATCTGCAGTTTGCAGACACTGCCCGCAAAATGATTCCCGAATGCCGCTAAGCGAGGCTCTACTGGAGATTCCATCGGGAAAACTGGTCGCTTTAGGATATGAAGCGCACATTCGATATCTCAATGCCAGCCAAAGGCAGAGAAAAAAGTTAATGCTGATCCGAGATCTATCGAAAAATGTGTTTATGGAGGTATGTATTTAATGACATCTTAATTATTTACTGTTTTCATTAGTACCATGCTTTGCTTGTGCCAACGGGAGTTAATAATTAGTTACCGTACTACTGTATTTTTAGTTGCATTTTTCAGCAATAACAAAATAGCTTAACCAACCAGCCAACCTAGCTACGCTATAGCTAACCTAATCGTGTATTTAATGCGAGACATTGTTGAATAGTGTGCATTTTACAGCGTGTGAACATTACGCATATCCATACTGCATTGCAAAGAATTGACAAATAGAACGTAATATAACTGTATATAGCAAATTAGCAATTCTAGAATTATTGGTTTGCATCTGTAACTGGTAACTAACTCACTGTAGGATGCCGACAGAAACGTGACTAATGGAACTACAGCGTTGGACACCAGCTACATGACCTTTGGAACGGAAGCGCTGCTACAGCTGCAAAAAATTATGGTTACGGAAATGAATGGCACACTAAATAAAAATGCTGAAGAAAAAATTCTCATTTCAAACATCACGTGGATTATTACCGCTGACACGGAATTCCACAAAAAGAATTTGGAGAAAATTTTGGCTGCTGTGAGTCGCCATGCTAATAACATATGTAGAAGTATTGCACGGTATCCATGTAAATTACTTCACTGTACATACTAAAAAAACTTGAGTTACGAAATAATTTTAAAATGTGCGCACCCATATTATGAGCGTAAAGTTGAAAACCTCAATATAGATTGCGCACGGATACCGCGGGCGCTTGAAAGTTTTACTTTTCTCCAGGAGTATAGGCGTATGACACCTCAAAGCCGTGTACACTTAAACAGTTACTTGATTAACTTATGTTAAAATTTACAGCTTGACCTGGCCCCATACAAAATTATTCTGCGATCAAACGCGGTTCTCGCTTATCTGGCTGGATCGAATGTACCGCTACTTTTACCAGCAACATCGCCACGCATTTTAACAGCAATGCCACGTTCGACACACAAATTTATTTCGATGCATATCAGTGCAAAGAAGACTACGATAACCTATGCTACGGTTGAGGACGGAATACTTTTCCCGGCAGTACGAAAAACTATGGAATACGGCGAGCAAAAGATTTCCGATGCGTTGTGCCGCTTATTACAAACCACATTCGGCGTGACAATGATACAATCCTATAAGAAAGAAAACTACGAAGGCTACGTGGATTTGGTTGGAGGGATAGAAAAAGCCAAGCATTTAATGCGCATGGACCATGACCTGGTCGTCCACGTGCCCTTTTCATTCTGCTCGCATTTTCATAAGAAATCCAAAGCTAAAATTGCCGACTGCCCATCGCGTATGGGATACAAATTCAACCCCACCGATAATTCCATCAGCATCCCGTATAGCGTAGTCGTTAAACCGTTTAGCGAGTATATTGAAAAGGTCATTGGTTTACTGCACCAGTGTCTACAAGATCAGCCGCCGGATCTCAACGCTACCGTTCCCACGTATGTCACCGGTGTCTTTGCGGAGAATATCTTGTTTCTGGAGTTGTTACGCTCTAAATTAAACGGTTACGACGTGTTGGTACAATCGGAAGCAAAATTTGCGCCGCTGTTAGGTGCATTGGCCGGCCAGTCCATTAAGAGCGCCAAAATGCTGCGGAGTTTGTATACTGTTGGTCTAACGGCGGCGGCACACTGCGACCGCGAGGCACTGCACGTACCGTTGGCGCGAACACCAAGCAGTGAATCCTACTTTTGCGATGCCTTTATTGCGTTTGTCAAAAAAGACCAGTACCTCCCGGGACGGGACTATGCTGTCAGGAAAAGTTTCTTTGCGGCCACGCCCAACCAGCAAAGTATTTGGGTGCGGGTGTTTTTTGCACCGGAAGCGGTACAGGTGGGAACGGTGTGTGAGGATGATATGGAATGTGTAGCCCAGTTGCATCTCCAGGTGCCGCTGGAGAAACGAGGAGTAACAACCGGGAAATTGTTTGTATTTGAGGTGGCTGTGGAATTTGAAGCAGAGCCGTCCGGTGTACACATAGTCGTGCAAGATATTGATAAGGTCATCCTGGGATCGGCGCGAGTTGTACGACCAGTTGTGCAGTTGGCCTAATTATACACATCGTAGATGGTTTTCCTCCTGTTGTTTCGTTATACACAGTAGTTTGTATGTTTTCGTTGCAGTCTGCTTGTATCAAATTGCTAGGTAGTATTTCTTTGTCATGCCGTGTCATACAGCAGTTTGTCATCCAGTATACCCATACCTTAGCACAATTTTTGTTTTTTAAGATTTACTATTTATTTACCTTTATTTCGGCTAACAAAACGTTTACCAGGCAAACTGGAGCAAACAGCGAAAAAGCCACTTGCGTAAACCACTACTGCGATTTTTTGACTTTTTGAACGAAAAAAACGTAACAGGAACAAAAAATACTGCCCGGTTCGGCGGTCTGAAGATCAAAACTCAGTTTAAAATCCGCACCCTTAGCTTCTGGCTTTTGCCCGGACGTACTTTCCGGGATAATTTGCCGTTTGTGAGATGCTCGATACGCATTGTACTGTGTGACGGCCTGCAACCAAAAAGACTTACTGATTTTATAATTATGGAAAGATCTGTGTCAGCCAAGGTTTGCCATTCGGGTGTTCTGTACGGATCTCGAGCCAAAAAATGGAGCGTGGTTTTGGAAAGAAAGGCGCCATACTGTACCACTGGTGAGTGCTTTTTCTAATTTTATATTATAGTACCTAGCTCGCGTTTATTTTCTCTTAAATTTTATTTTTGAACGTAATGTGACTTTGTCATAATTTATGCTTCATCATCCTAGCTTTATGATGAAGCATTTGTTTGACAAAATTATGGTGAGTGATCCGCAGAGAAACCGTTTATTCTGTGGCTATTGTAATCCTTAAAAAGGTGTTTATGACGCTGAGCACATTAATCTGTTTTCTGACATTTTTCTGGTAGCGAAATTCTTGAAGGCTTTCGGTTAAAACCAAGATTTCAATTTGGCAATATCAAAGCACCATTTTGTTACCCAGTTAGTATCAGAACACAGTAATTTCAGTTTGATACGTTAAATGTGCTGCTGGCAATTACACTGGACTTAAAGATGGTGCTACAAAATATCTACACCAATATGCATAACACTATGCGGCTGCCGGTACGTAACATCTTTAAGAAGTCCACTGTAGATATAATGTTAATAACACCAACTGTATATGCAAATAATATTAATAAGCAGGTACAATTGCAGTTCTGGCGCCGGGTTCCTATTTGTATTGGTTGTGTCTTTGTAGAATCGGAGGGAAATTTTAGTGACGATGAATAGCATTAGAACCGAAAGTATATGGAATTAAGCATGCGCAAGGATTATGGACCCTACTCGAATAGGACCTGGCCGTCGAACGTGTTCGTAAGGGAATAGGTTTACTAATTTTCTGTTTGAATGTTTGAATTTCGTCGTGAAAATGTAGAACAAGTATTTCAAGTTGCGTAAAGCTTTTTTGTAGCTGAATACTGTTGTCCCTCTTTTTACAAGGTTTGCGTCTTCGTTTGACTGCTGTCTGAAGACTTACGTGCGTCCTGTTTCGTTTTTATGAACTTCGGTAACTCCGTTGACGAAAAATAAAAAGCTACAAAAGCTAAGTGAATCGAAGTACATACTTGCTAAGTGAAGTACATACCAGAGTGTAATTACATACTGTATATACTTTGCTGGAACGAAAGTTTACGAAGAAAATTGCTGGCACAGCTAAAAGGATCAGTATTTATGCTGTGTTTAATTAGTATTAATGTATTCAAATCAAAAGGTGTTAACGTTGCCACTTTCAGCCCAATTGCAGATCATAAGTCACTGATATAAAGTAGTTATTAGTAAATAATACTTAAAAAATTAAAGCTACTGCTTCAATCAAGCTAGTCAGAACTTACAATTATCACTTATTCATGATCGAATTCTTAGACTATAATAATCTCATAAACTAAATACGCGATTATGCATCATTCGCATATTAATATGTAAAGCGTTTGCCCAAATTGGTTAACCTAATTACAATGAGCTAACGCTTTAGCGATGCCGGCGTCGCATTAGACCATTTATTTAAACTGGTCAGTCACTTCGCCAGTGCGTAGTCGTACCGTAATGGCATACTAAATTCCCGTGTTGGCGGTGTACATGTTGGGTAAGACTTTGTCGAACGCCGTAACACCCTCCAGGACTGCCAGTCCCACGCCGTGAAATTCACTAATATGCGCTTCATAGGGATAATTATAGAAAACTGGTGCATGGTCGTTAATATCGATAACCGTAATGATAAAGGGCAAGGTTATGAAGCTGCAGCTCGGACTGGTACACTTCATTTGAATGGTGAGAACTTTGATGTGGGGCTGCAAAGAGTTACATACACCGGCATGTCCGATTGCGATGAAACTGGCTATGCGACACCAGAATTATGCTAACGTGAGAAAATAATATATATCCTTACCGTCTAATGTGCTACGGTCATGCTTACCAGTAAATCAAACGGTAAATTGCGGTAATTAGATTACGATAATTACGGTAATGCTTAAGGCCTAAAAGGCCTAAAGAGGCCTACACCTTTGGTCGGAATGTAGGTCCAGTAAGGGCCTGTAAAGATGTTAGCTTTCTCTGTGTTCTAATTTCAACGGAACCGTTATTCCGCATCACGACGGTGAAGTTTTGTAACAATGTCTTTGTCGGTGGAGACGAGTGTGATTACGGAAAACAATTTGGCATCAACTTGAGCAATCAGTTTACCTGAAATTATCAACTTTTTCGGTAAAAACGTTGTGCTCCACATGGTTTCTCTGAATTTGCAGAGAGAAAATCCTACCAATAGGAACATTTCCGGTACGCTCAAAAATACGCTGGTAAATATTTCCGTTGTATTCGGATTAAAAAATAAGCAGTCTGCAAAACAAAACTTCAAACATTTATCCCTTCCATAAGCTTTCGCTCAAAAAATGATGTACGAGCTCTTTATTTATGAATTTCATACAGGTTCACGAATTTTCAGTATAATTTAAAAAGCCAACATAGGAGATATTGGTAAATAACAGCGGCAACACAACTACTTTGTCTTTTATTTAGTTTCTTGTTTGTCAACAGATCATGACCCCAGACACCGATTACTGTCAACAAATCATTAAGAAACGCACCCAGATCACGACAGGAAAGTCACATACGGCACACGAATGCGTGTTAGCTTACCCTGACAAACTGCCGCGGTGCACAAGATCGAAAATGCTCCTGAGGATCGAAACGCACATGTAAGCTGCAATATCAACCGGATGTGCAGGATCATCGCAGTCGAACTGCTGGCACCGTATTTTACGTTCAAAAGTCAGGTTGTTTGTTATGGTACTACGTACACTATCGCATTTCTCGTTAACGATTGACCAATCTAAATACCCGAAAACGTATTGGCTTATTATAAGCAACATACAGTACTCGGTAACTGCAAACTCTCGAAAAATATTTCCTAAGCACTAAAATATTTCCTTATCAAGGCAAAAAGTTATATTCTCCCTTACTCCCTTACTTCTGTGGTCTACCATGGAAAAGCCTGCTGTCAGAGGCACATGACTGCGCCTGGTGCATACGGCCCACCATGGACGTACTGCACTCATGCTTGCCATATCGCCTCTCTCGCTGTACGTACGTGTGCTGCTGCACTGCACTCATATCCGCTGAAGCGGATATACGCGGCGCACACGCTGAGCATACTTGCTCTCTCGTCCCTCTCTCGCTGTATGACTCAGCGTTGATACGCTCGCGTTGGATCGAGTCCAGTCTGCGCATCAACACACAGCTGATGGCTCACACCACGTGCTTGCCGGCAGTTGCTTCTTTCACGCCTTGACGGACGCTCAAGAGCTCCTTCTAGCATTCACTTGCTTGCTTAGCCATCAGTGCTTTGTTTTGCTTTCCCTGCTATTACGCAGCATTGTTCCCTTTATTTGTCAATAAAGCTACACTCGTGATCTCCTCGCGCTTGCCTGTTACATGGTAAGCAGAATCGTTTGGTTTTCTTTCGACGGACCCTTTGAGGAGACGGTGAAGGCTTGATTTACGGAGAACTCGTGAGGAACCTGAAAGTCACTGTCAGATAGATTGCTGAAGCAATCTCTGCCCTTGACTTTGATCAGAACGATCGCATCGTCTTACAGCTGAGGAACAACGGGGATCACTGAAGTGATTCTTACCCAGCTGGTGAGCACAGTTTCTTGGTCTCTTCCACATTGAAGAGCACATTCCCGAACGCACGGACTTTTTTCTTCTCCCAACTGACGGATCAGACTCGAACGAGAGTCTGCAGCGCGAACGGATTAATCCAATAATACGGGGACCTTCGCTTTGAACAGCGACCCGCAACTTTACCCGCGGAATTCAGCTCGGAAACGACGGATTTCCGACCTCGGACGGAAGAAATCAAGCAGAACCGACACCGACACCGACACTGGTAAAGTCACGGTTATAGGTCGATTTTAGCCGAAACTAGGTCGGCATTTCACTTTCTAACGGTAGAAAACGATTTCTATCCGTGAAATTTAACTTTTTAACGGTTAAAAAGTAATTTCTGACGGAGAAACCGACTCGGAATTTTGCTTTTGGTCGAGAACCGACCTGCTAGGTCAACGAACCTGTCTAGACAGTTAGACAAAGGCTAACCGACAACAGGTCGGAAATTCTCTTCATTTTCGTTTCTAACGGTGTTTCGACCACCAGGAAATTTTCTTAATTAATAAAATTAATTTCTAACGGTAAAAAACTTCAAAATCCGACTAGATGAACTTTCTAGCCGACCTAAAATAATTTGTTTTTCTTGCGGAAAATAGCGCGAAAATTCTCGAACTTCCTTGTGACGTCATAACGACCGCTTATCAGTACTTAAGAGGCAGCCAATCAGAGTGCAGGGGAAAGTTCCCATAGCCTAACATAGGCGTGATTCATCGTTTTTTGTAAAATTTGCACGCGGCTCGCATTCTGTGACGTAGGCAGAAGTGCAAGACCACTTAACCTGTTACGTCACACTGGTCAGCGCAGTAATATAGGACGTACTACACCGTACTACTATTACGTACTGTACTGTACCATTGTACTGTATATTAATACTCTGTGTACTGAGTCACCAACAGACACATCAACAACAACAACATTTCACCGGACGTTCCTGACCCTCGGAAGTTCCTGAACAAAAAGACGTTTCTGATTTTACCGAACATCTTCACACAGAAGATTGTTCAATTTTCTTTTTCTAACCTATTAAACCTTTAAGGCTCCATCAGAGCCGACCTGAGTCGACAACAATGTCGAACTCCCGAGAAAACGAATACGCCAAGAAGTTCAATAAGGACTACTCGAGGCGTGCGAACACGACCGGGAAGTACTCACTCCGGTACGCCGGTCAGGACAAAAGTCAGCCGTCCTCAACCGACTCGACTAAGTCGGCTGAGGCAAGGGAAAGGC